TTGTAAGATTTATAATAGTCTAATTGCTAATATGGTTAGTATAGTGATATAATAATAATATCCTTCAAATGCATGGTACATGAATAGTCTTTTGAAGTACCTAGGATTACTTTTTAGATCCATGAATTGTTCTTGGGACATTTGGTCTAAACATAAGAAAAGTTGATTATTAAAAACCTAGTAGATCTCAAGGTCAATAACACGTGTAATTACTGTTTAGCCACCGTAAAAATCTAAGTTGAACGTAATTGCACCCAATTTTTATTACCCGCACAAAATTCACGTTTAGTATTCAAGGCTTTGGAGGCATTGAGCATTTCTGCTTAGTAGATAATTTAAAACCTACGCTCTTTTAAATTTGTTTTTGTCATACTCGGTTAGTCTAGTAAGAACTTGTTTTATTTTATTTTTGTGCTACATAGACTTAACCTTTTTCTAGTAATGGCTATATAATATGTAAAATGTCTATATCTCCATTGTGATTACATTAGTATTTATAACTTTATTTTATTGTCCCGTGTTTTGAACCAATGTATTTGTAATTTTTTACTCCGTCCCCACAAGAGTTTTTATAGCTATTTGAACACTACTTTTTCATCTAAATAATCCTAATTTGTCTATTCAATTTATTTTCCTATTATATTGTAACCGCTACATGTATATATTTAAATGAAAATACAATCAAATCTCTAGGATGATCTGACTGTAGCTGGTGTAAATAACTGAATTGGGTCGTCGACCTACTGAAGGGTTATAAGTATTATGTTTGAAAGATTTATTATGAGCGTGTGTACTGGTATCGTGTCGCCAGTTGTTTTTAGGTCAATTGTGAGTTAGATTGTAAAATTGAATATATCGAAAAGCTTTATTCATTACAGAGAGTGGCTCTAATATTAAATATATCTATTCCATAAATATCTATAATAGCTACCTCTGTAGAAGACAATAGACAGATACTGAGTTACTCGATTCATATCTTAGCCTATGTATTTACTACTAGGACTCCATTTTAAGAATCTTTACTAATATTGTGACTCTTTCACACAATAAGTACATCCCATTAAAATATAGTTCATGTGGAAGAAGTTAGTAGGTAGTAACTTCTTCCACATGAACTATATTTTACATGTATTGTACATTAAATTAAATAATTTCGATTTATTTTTAAATACTTTTATTAGAAATATATTATAAAACATTATATAGGTAAGATCTAAATAAACCCCAACCATTCATAAATATTTTCCATTGATACATGTTCAGTCAGTTTATTACACGACCATACTAATATGAATGTAGTAAAAATAGCAAGCCTGAAGTAATTTTCGTAGGTAACGTAATCATGATAATGAAATCGTATAACATTGGATGTTGATATTTACAAAGTAATATTACGATGTTGAGCGTTGAACATGCGGATTTATGTAATGCATTTGATACAATTTTGTGTACGTTATGACTAAACAAATCTATACAAATAGTATATAGATGTAAAGTTTGTACGTTAAGACTAATCTCCGATACTACTTATCCGATTTTGAAATTTCTTTTACTGTTGGATAACCTTTGTAAGTTTTCTATTTCCTTATAATTATGCGAGTATAAACTAGTTACTCATCAATTTAGAATTTATATTCCTACTTAGAATATTATTTCTTTAGCCTACCTACCTACTATTATCGAGAATAACGAAACTCAAGACTAGTTTTTTTTTATTGTTGATAATGGAATGGTTGTTGTAGTTCTAATCACTTAGTTTAACCATAACTTTACCCATGTCCTTATGTATTATAAAAAGTCATCTATACTTATCTTGGAAGGAGGACTATATAGTCCTCCTTCTATGTACTACTTTACTAAAATACGTATAAAGATGCATTCAATATATACTATGCATACAATTAGAAGGAAATCAATTATTTTTCCACCCGTGTCGATAATTACGTGACTTATATTAAAATGACTGACAGCTACCCGGAATTAACGAGTGTATAAAAAAAGACATACAAATGCTACTTTGTCGTCCCTCTCTCACTTCCTAAATAGATCAAATCGTTACGAAGATTGATGTGTACCGAAACGGTTTTCTAGTTACCGCTGTTGTTTTGTTTTGCTACTGAAATAACTACCGAATCCGCGACACACGTTACACAGTACAGCATGAAGTTTTGTTTTCTAAACTAATTTAACTTCAGTCATGAAAATATATTTTTTTTATTAATATTCAAAACATTTTTATAATGATCAAAATTTTATTATTTTAAAATATATTTTTTGTAAAATGGCATATTTACAGGGAATATGTCCATAGAAATAAAGTGTAATAGGAGAACGTTCTAAAGGTAGAAATATTCGTACAAAATAATGGGATCCTTTTGTAGATAAAATATTCTCGACCACCTATGTGTCGCGGCGTCCCATGCGGGAAATACAAAATCGTTGTTATACTTTGAAAAGGTAACTTTGTTTAGATGACAGAATTTTTAAAATGAGTCGAGTGATTTTTATTTAGACAGATCAAAATAAGTACCTAGGCAAAATACGACTTAATATTTTAATGACTAAATTAAGAAAAAATAAATTTTTCGGGAAAAATATATTTTATCGAAGACACCTACTTTATACCCATGATGTTATATAGGCTAGTTATGCAAGATCTCACTTTGGGCCTAAAATGTATTTAAGGAACTTTAACAGATATACCAAAGTGTTATCATGATTACAACACCGCATTGGAGGGCGGGCGGTTGCGCGCGCATCGCCCTCAAAATTTCGTAGTATCGAATCGGCTAGTCACTTTTCATAACCTCAAACCATCTACCTCTGAACAGCTGTTCACTAACCCTGTTAAATAACTAACGTAATTAGCAATGCAATTACCCGCGCCTTCTCGACGCGTCGGAATCCATTATGAAATAATTTAAAATTAGAATTCGGCTATATTTTTTTTCGGTTTACGGTTTTCTTGGCTTTCATTCAGTTTTCAGCTAGTACTGCTATCAGTCAGCTGTGTTCTTTATTTAAAGTAATTCTTATTGTAGTTATGTTCTTTGTTGTTTATTTATTAGGAGTGATTTTAGAAATGGTACTGTTTTATATAAAGTGATATACATATGTGAGTGTGGATTTTGTGATTAAGATGTCAGTGTTAAACAAACGAAATAAATGAACATTTTTTACTGTTTTATAGTAGAACTTTTGTGTTAAAATGGAAGAGTACGAGTATGACTTCGCTTATGAGTGTCGGGTTGGTATTCAATGTATATTATTTTTTAAGAAATGTCTTCATTTTAATTCTGTTAAAACTGAACCGGTAACGATATTATTACGATATAGAACACATTCGTCGTAAATTTACAATAAAAAACAATGTTAATGACATCTATGTACCTTAAGACAAAAGGTCGTATTACATAATAATACATATAAAACAGAGAAACAAACATTTATTGCGTCTTTCTCATGACAAGTTATTATATTTGTACAGTATGATTTTCTGCATCGTGGAAACGAACAGCCGGTTCCGAGTAATTCTGTGTCTACGCTTTGTCTAACCACATGATTGAGTGTTTAAATAATTACCAACTCATCTGCCAATAGATCGGTTCAAGTTCAAGGTATTTTTTGTTACTTAGATATGATACTTTTTTTATAAGTCTAATGTCCTCGAAGTAACGATCATTCGTTCGCTATATCATCAGGCTGTTGAAATAACGAATAATACTTTGAAAAAGAGATAAATGAAATTAGCACTAAAACTAGTACAAATAACTACTAAACAACTGATAAAGTGAAACGCATTGTTTTTTAAATCCATGCTAATATTGTAAATACGAAAGTGTATGTCTGTCTATGTTTGTTTCACGACTAAATAGCTGAATGGATCTGAATGAAATTTTATATGAAGATAGACTGCATTATGATTACGAATATAGGCTACCTTTAATCTTAAAAATAATCTAACAATTGCTGAAATAAAGCATGAACCATTACACCAATATTGAGAGGTTTTTCTTCAATAAATGTCTCTGGTCAATTTCTTACAGCCAAACATTCTACCAGTGAAATCACTTGGTCTTTACAAATGATAATTACACAAGGATGTAATTATGTTCTTTCGCCGGCATCCTGTACATCATTACCACTAACTGTCATGCCCTGTTAATGCTGATATTCCGTTATAATTAGTGTGACAGATAATATTTTACTAAAATAAATGTGACTTCAAATTTTTAACGCAAACCGATGATCCAAGTTTAACTGCTAGTTGTAATAATAATAACTTCAGGACAATTCACACTGCGCCATCTGGTCCCAACAACTAATATAAATATTTTTTTGTACATAAGTAATATGCATAGGAAACAACCAGATCAATACAAACAATCGCGACCATCGAAAGAAGATGGTGTACTAAACAGTTAAATTGCCTAATTATTATTTTTAGTGTTACCTTCTACTTCGTCCACTGTTATTGGAATGACAGACACTATTTCCGTGCTCGGGATACAATCTATCGTCACGTCAAACTTCATGAGGATTCGCTCACTTGTTTACACGTTAGAATATAACAAACATAGAGATGGGCACACTTTTGCATTTATAGTATAGTCAATACTGATATAATAATAGATTTAGTTATTAATATGGACTACTATAGATGCGTAAGCAAATTTTCTACACCGTTAAACTAATATTGACGAGTTTTAACTCCATCACATACACTTTACATCCGTTGGAGAACTAGGTAGGTCATCGATGAATTAATTAAATCAAATCCTACAGATACTTATGAAAAGTCAAGTCTACTGTCAGGTCGGAATGTACTTTCGAACCAATACATTGACGCTCTTATTCTTCTCAAATAACATTGTATGATTATAAAAATACAGACCACTAGCATATATGTATACTATTGCAGTTGTTAAAAATAATGAATGGTTTAACTAATAATAATGTTTTAGTATTGACTTTACATGAATTCGTTTCTTCATTCTCAGCGTCTCGTGGAGGCAATGGCTCCCCGGTCAGCGCGCTCGTTCCGTCAGGAGTTCAATATGCAGGATCTGGCAACAACAACCGAACATACATACAGTACGCATTATACCTCAGAAAAGTAAGTACATAAATCTTAAGGCATGTAACCTATATTAATTACTATTGTACCGACTTTGTATAATCTACATTCTTTTTCCCAACCACAACAGATATGTCAGAACATCGCACTCTACAGAGCATGATGCACCTATTAAATCCATGACCAATGGCAAACTAAATTCGCCTAAATATACTACAAAAACCGTCGTAAGTGATGATGACAGACTTGACCTTAGGAATCTCAAACGGGTCCACAAAATGTATGAAGGACCCAACATTATTGAATCTAAAGGAATTATACATCCTGTTACAAAAGAAATATTGACGGTTGGTCAAGCAATTAGCATGAGGATACTTGACGTAAGAACTGGAAAACTCCTATCTTCACCCGATAAAAGACAATCAATAACCATAGAGCAAGCAGCAAATGAAGGTCTCATTGACCCCAAACTAGCTGCTAGATTAACAGGCCCCTGCGGCATGACAGAAGATGGTAACGAAGTTACATTACTGGAAGCGATTCAACAAGAGCTGTACGATGCTGAGCAAGGCTTAACTGATCCAGCAGAGAAGAGAATAAAGGTAACTGTAGAAAGCCAAGCACCCACCACCCAAGGAATGAGTATCTCAGATGCCCTCAATTGCGGTCAAGTTGATCTACAAAGAGGTCTCTACAGGCTACCAAACGGAAATTACATAACAATATCCGAAGCCTATCAGAAGGGTTACCTCATTTATAATGAGATTATTAAAATAAAATCGAGCACTTTGTCTTTATCCGATGCAATCAGTCAAGATTTGGTAGATAATAATGGTTGGATTTTGGACAGAAATTCAGGTGATAGATTTCAATTAGATGTTGCTATAAAAAATGAATTGATAGACTCAAATATTAGAGAAATAGTTGACCCTAAAAATGATACCAAAATTACGCTTGCTGAAGCCATTGAGAAAAATATTATTAATACAAAACATTCAAAGTATGTGCACAATCTAACTAAAGAAAAATTAACATTTAAAGACGCTGCAAATAAAAGGTACATTTACAAACCTATGACTCTAAAAGATGTTTGTGACAACAATCTAATGACAAATGATGGTAAAATTTTGTCACCTGCTAATAGGGTTCCTTTGAATATTTTAGAGTCAATATCTGTAGGTGTACTCGACAGTGATAATATAAAATGTATAACAGACACTACAACAGGTCAACTCCTAACGTTATCAGAAGCACTAGCTTCTAAAATTATATTGCATGATAATAAATTTCGCGATAATCTCACAGGAGAACTTTGTACTATTCCCGATGCAGTTGATCGTGGTCTTATAACATCTGTGTCGCAAAGATCTATATTTGATATAGACGGGTTTAGGGACCCTAAATCAGGAGAATTTGTATCATTCAATATAGCGCATAGTAAGGGTAATCTCAAATATGTTAATGGAGAAACTTTCCTGAAATCTGAAAGCGATGACTTTGTTTATTTAGAAGATTGTACTAAAGTAGCAATTGTACGTCCAGAAGTGTTAGAAATGTTTAATAGAAAGATAGGTATCTACGAAAACGGAAAAGAACTTACTGTGTTAGATACAGTTTTTAAAAATATTCTCGACCCAAAATCAGGGCATTTGCTTGATGCTACTACTAAAAAGCCCATCCCGTTTAATAAAGCCGTTGAGATTAGTATGATTACACCTGAAGGTGCGGCTTTATTAAACTCGCTTCTTAATATTACTCTTACGCTTCAGACTGTCACTAAAACAGTTAAACGTTACGTAACAGTAACTAACACAAACCCCACTCAGAGATCTGAAACTATTATTACCTTCGCTGAAGCAGTGAAGCTCGGACTTATTGATGAGAAAACTCAGACATTCACAGATCCGACTACTGGTACCGTAATTCCAATACAACAAGCTTTAGACGAAGGTCTTTTGGGCGTTGAACAAAATGAACCGCGTGTAGTCCATATATCTGATATATCTAAAAAGGATCTAGTGCCGGGTCAAGTTGTTGAACTGAAAATTACTAAAAAATCTTTTATCAAGGATGTGCCCTCAAGTCCAGAAAGTAAAGTTCAATATGATAGCAAACCAGAGACAATCAAAAGTCCTGATTATGCTACGTATGACACTACTAATCCACGTGAAAGTTTGTTAAGAGAGATAAAGACAATTACTTCAAAGTCAATAGTAACAGAACCGTCGGTCACATCTATGACTATAAAGAAAAATACAATCGAGCTTCCACGTGGTGGCTGGACTTTGAAAGAGGCTATTCAACAAAACTTCTTAGATCCTGACATAGGTATGTTAACAATACCCGGCACGGACAGAGTTTTGGATCTCGAAGAAGCTTTCCATCTAAACATTATAAACCCCGACTCAGCAAAATTTGTTGACCCTAAAACTAAGCAAGAAATGCCGTTAAGTAGAGCTATGGAGCTGAAATTAATAGATAATACTGGTCATTATAAATTTCCAAGAGACAAAATTACAATGCGTGATGCAATAGATAAGAAAATAATTATCTTTGTACAAATTTCGACTGTCAAATCCTTGCAAAAAGTAATAACTATTACTTCAGTGGCTGGTATGCCTGATAAAATGGAAATAGCAGAAGTACAAGATTTTCCTCCTCATAAAATTGTAGAAGAGCATCCGGTTTTGGAGCCCGTTGAAGTTGTACCAGGGATAATTTTTGATCCTGCTTCTGCTCTTGTTATATCAACCACTTCTGGAGTATCAGAAAATATTTTGGAAGCAGTAGACCGTGGCGCAGTTCCATCTAATACTGTAAACGTTGTAGATCCGGAAACAAGTAAAGAAATCTCACTGAAATATGCTTTAGAAAAGGGTATAATTGATAAGAAGACAGGTGACTACACATATAAATCCGGTAAAAGAGTAACTCTCACGGAAGCTGCTAAAATGGGACTTATAGTCGTAGCAGGTGCTCCTCTAGTAGCCGCATCGAAAGTAATTCAAATTATAAAAAGTACAATGGTAGTAGATCCTAAAAGCGGAGAAAAACTTCCAATGGAAGTAGCATATGAAAGAGGTCTCGTTGATTCTGTTACATACAAAAAATATGAGGAATCTCTCAGAGAGCGAACCCCAGACAGTGGCAATAGTTTTGCTCCGGTTTCTACTAATCTCGTAACAGGTATGGAAACTACGTTAATAATCGAAGATCCACAAACAGGTGAAAAATTACCCATAGATATAGCATATCAGAGAGGAATAATAGACACAGATACATACAACCAATGCAAAACAGCTAAAGATCTAATGCCTATTAATAAGATTACCACCACCCCAAATGTTGAAACTCCTACAACCTCTACAACGACTATTTCTCAAGTCATTACAAAACCTTTATCTGTTGGTGCTGCAGTGTCGGAAGGGTTCATTACAGTCGAATCAATTCAAAATAGTCTATTGGCTGATAATAGAAAAGTTGTTACTACCATTTATACTGATAAGTCAAAACCTCCATCTGATGTCATCCAAATTACAAAACGCGACATTAATGAAAAACCAAAATATAATGTAAATATTGCAGAGCCACGAGTAACAGATACCCAGATTTTAGAAACGAAACCCATAGTTCTACAAAAGCTCAGAAAGCGTGTTGTAACACCTTTGGAAGCTGTTAACAAAGATTTAATGGACAAAGACACCGCCAAAATTTTGGAAGCTGTTAAAACTTTTAAAGATAATAATGGAACGCCTCTAACACTAGACAAAGCCATTGAAAAAGGTTTTATTGATCATAACAAAGGTAGAATTGTCGATCCTTTACGCGGAGATGTAATTACCATAAATGAAGCTCTTCAAAGAGGTATTCTAGATGGAGATGGACAGGATGAAGTATTAATACCTCTAGCAAGAAGTCTTTCAATACCCGAAGTTATGGAACAAGGCTTGCTAGATCCCGGTACTGGAAAACTAATCCATCCTGAAACTGGCAGCCATTTAACTTTAAGAGAAGCAATAATTTGTGACATTGTTGATCCTATGTCTACTATTACAACTGGGCCGAATAGGAATATAACGCTAAATGAAGCAATAGAAAAAGGTTTCATAGATAATGACAAGAATATTGTAAAGACTAGTGATGGGGAATTAAACTTAGTATCTGCTGTAAACATGGAGCTCTTCCCTAAATCGGATAGTGTACCAGTTGTTGAAAACATACCTCCAGCTGCACTAACACTGTCTGTAGCTGTTCAAAAACAAATACTAAATCCTTTAACAGGGGACATAAAACATCCTTTAACAGGAGAAATAATACCTATTGAAGAAGCTTTGCAAAGAGATTTAATTATGGCAATTCCTTTCCCTCAATCATCAGAAACAGTCACTTTAGAAGAGGCGTTACGTAAAGGTGTTATTAATTTGCATGATGGTACATACACCAATCCAAAAACTAAGGATGTTATACCATTAAATAAAGCTCTGGAACAGGGATTGCTGGCAGTGAAACTAAATACTGAACCAATGCAAGGCAGCGGTGTGGTAACGACAATTACTGAAACTTTTACTTCTGAGCATACCATTACAACTAAAATGATTGAACTTTTGGCAGATTATGTGCTTGTTAATGCAAATGAAGTAAGAAATACAAAAACCGGAGAGATTATATCAATGGATCAAGCTCGCCAAGATGGTATCGTTAGAGATGAACATACGAGTAAAGAACAATTTATCACTAGTAATACAAATATCAGTTTTGATGATGCTCTTTCTTACGGGTACATCAATATAGAACAAGGAACGTTCACACATCCGAACACTGGCGAAATTTTAACAATTGCAGAAGCTATTGACAGCGGTGTATTAAAGACAGAAGTGCCTCAAACTGAAACAACAGAATTAGTGTCCACTAAAAGAGATTTGGAAAGGCTGAATTTAAATGAAGCATTTGAACTTCTTTTTGATGAAAAATCTCAAAGATTCCGTGATCCAACATCACCAAACAAAGTATTAACATTCAAAGAAGCACTTGAGAGAAATATAATTGATCCTGAGTCTATTATTTATGATGTTAAAAGTGGTAAACCCGTAACTTTACAAGAAAGTCTAAATATAGGTTTGATTGATAAGAAGACCGGTAAAGTTAAAGAACTTAAAACAGGTAAATCGATTGACATTAAAAATGCTGCAAAAATGGGTTTAATAGCAGTAGTAGCTGCACCTGTTCTAGCAGGTATGGCAGTAGTACAAGGAGCAAAGTCTATAACAAGCAAAGTGTTGAAACCTAATAAAGAAAATATTGATGATTTAGAAAAAAGTAGTCAACCAGTGTCTACGAAGAGCGAAACCCCTGATATTACACCAAAACCACAACGCAACGAGGAAAGGTCTCTAACTTCAATTAGAGGTGAAAATTCTGTAAATTCTCCGAATACCGAAATTTTAAAAGTAGAAACTGTTACGAAATCTGTACAACCTATAAATGAAAGAGAAATAACAGATAGAAATCCAGTTCAGTCAGTGAAAGAGTATAGAGAAGTTACATCAGAGGGCGAAGAAGTTATAACAATAGTGAATACTGTGGTTTCCAAACAAGGTACTTATGATAGTGAATATATTATTAAAGATAGTCTCATTGCTGAGGAAAGTCAATTATCTCCAGAGAATGATGAAATTATGACGATTACTAAAACTGTTATAACTAAAGGGGAGTCAGAGGCTCGTAAGAATTCAACAGAATATAGTGAACATTTGAAACATTCTTCTTTACAAACTCCAGCAACTAAAGAGGGGCAATCTGAAAGTAAATCAACTGGTATATTTGAAGTGTACGATGTGACAGACGACGTCAAATATATTAATATTGCAGATAAAGAACCCTCCGTAGGTGAAATTATTAATGTGAGGCAAAAATCTGACGTTACTGATAGACAGAATGAAAAGAACATTAGTCCGATTAGTGTCGCTGATCCTGTAGGCAAAGACACAAAAACGAATACTGAAATACCTGTAGAACTAAAGGCGAGCTATGTAAGTAAAAGTGATGCACTAGTCTTAGACAAAGCAAAATTAGATGAACGTGATGTTTCAGAAAATATACAATCTACTTTTAATGAATCAAAGACAATTGGTGATGCCAAAGAAAGTGAACCGGTCATTGAAGAATATCGTCTAACATCTCCTCATGGTAATGAGATTACAACAAGTACTGTAACAACTGTTGTATCCACACCAGGACCAAACCAATTTGTTTCTGAGCAATCGAGTACAATAATAACCACAAAAGCTTCACAAATAACTACAGTTGAAATTACCCAAAATGAGTCTACTTCATATCATGTTGTTACTGAAGTGTGTGGATCGCAAAACCAAAGTGAAACTAAAATTGAGACTCCAGATGAAATAGAGAAACTTAAAACAGATCAAAAAGATAAAGATAATGAACCAATAAATGTTATTCAGAATATTATTGAATTCAAAAACTTACCACACCAAGAAGAATTAAAAGAAACTGTTCAAAGGAAGGAAAATATTGAATCACTGAAACCTCTTGAAGTGGCACCTGGAGTCATTTACGATCCTAATACTTCAGTTATTATATCTAAGACCTCGGGGATTTCTGATAATGTATTAGAAGCGGTTGAGAAAGGAATCATTCCATCTGAAACTGTAAAAATTTTAGAACCAAACACTGGACGTGAATTAACTTTGAAAGAAGCGGTAGACAAAGGTCTTGTAGATAAAAATACAGGAGATATAAAAGACAAATCTGGCCATAAAATTAGTTTTGCTGACGCAGCTAAGATTGGGCTTGTAGCTATAGTGGGTGCACCAATTTTAGCGGCAACAAAAGTGATTGAAGTAGTGAAAAGAGCATCAGTCGTTGACCCGAAGACAGGTGAAAAAGTATCACTGGAGAAGGCAAAAGAACGTGGTATAATCGACCGTAATACGTTTGATAAGTATGAAGAAGTTATCAAGAAACAAACGCCATTAGATCGTGGAAATGTTGTAGACCTATCAGAAACTACATCTGAATTAAGCTCTAATAAAATTATAAAAGAAACTGCTGAATACAAACCAGGAACTAATTATATTACTACCGAACAGAAATCTTTTGATTTACAGCCGGTAAAACACATAATTTCAGAAATAGATTCCAAAAATATATCGTCGTTATTGATAGATGCTGAAAAGCAGCCGCTACGTGTTATCGATGAAATTACGGAACAAAACGTAACTAAAGAGAAATTGGAATCTACAAAACCACTTTACGAAAATATTCCATTAATAGAAGCGATCACTCAAGCGAAAATAGAACCTAAAGTATGTCGAATAGCAATAAATGGTATTGAATCTCCATTAACTGTTCAGGATTCTTTAGACCAAAATCAAATAAGTAAATTCACTCCGGTGGACATATTATCTAAAAACTACGTCCTTATCAGAGAATCAAAACCTAAATATGGTGTGGCAATCTCTAAAAAATTAACGCCAGAAGAACTGTCTGAAATGGGCATCTACGACATTGAAAAACAAATATTCTTGCATCCTGAAACCGGTGTAAAAATATCTTTTGAGGAACTTGTATACAGTTTGCATATCTTCGATCCTGAAAATATTCTAGTAAAAGATCTAAGTTCTAAATCTGATGATTATATTCCATTTAATGAAGCAATCGCGAAACCTATAATTGATAAAACTACTGGTCACATGGTTAATCCCAAAAACGGTCAGCGCATACCATTCTTAAAATGTCTACAATTAGGTTGGATAGTTGAAAAACCAGAAGACGTTTCGGTTTATGAACAAATTTCTGTTGAGACAGCTTTAGAACAAGGGCTTTATAATCCAAAAACTGGTAAAATTACAGACATTAATACAGGTGAACTGGTACGAATTGAAGATGCAATTGAAAAAGGTCTCATTGACCCTGAATCCGTGCTTATCAAAGTACCACGTTCTAACGAAAATATATCACTATTAGATGCTACTGAAAGGGGTTTAATAGAAATACATGATGGTGTAATTACTATAACGGAGACTAGGGAAATAATCGAAATATCTTCTGCTATAGAGATGGGAATAGTGACAATCATTCAAAGACCAATATCTATCGAAGCTATCATTATCAACAGCATGTACAATCCTAAAGAAAATAAGATTATAGATAAAGTAACACAACAGCTTATTGGTATTGGGGATGCAATAGATCGAAAAATTGTCCACCCTACAATTTCAGAAATCAAAGATACGGCATTAGAAAAATTTGTTCCGCTTTTTGAAGCTCTCAAAATAAACTTAGTTAATCCAGAAACGAATAAAGTTATAGACAAAAAGACTGGTAAAAACATTCCATTAGATGATGCATTGAAGAAGGGTTTGGTTGCAACAAAAACAGTTACGTTTTCCCTATTTGATGTCATAGATTTAGGGTATTACTCCCCCGATACGCATAGAATCTTGAACCCTAAGACTGGTAAAGTAATTACTTTAAGTGAAGCTATTAAAGATAAACTTGTCAATCCTTCCGACGTAAAAGTGAAAGATGACAAATCTGAGGCCGTTATTCCATTCGACCAGGCAGTAAAAACAGGTTTAATAGACTTGGAACAAGGCATACTAACTTTACCTGTTTTAAATCTTAAAGACGCTAGCGAGAAAGGATACCTTTTAAGTGACAGAAAACCATGGACACTACAAGAAGGTTTGGTACAAGGGTTCTATGATCCTGAAACAGGATTTTTAACGATTAATGATAAAACTATGACTTTAGAAGATGCCATAAAAGTTGGTAATATTAACCCGGAAGCCCTCACTGTCAGAAATTCCAAAACAGGTGATATAATTTCGTTAGCCGATGCAATAAATGTAGGTATTATAGATTCAAAAGCAGGTAAAGTCCACGATCCTATACAAGGTGATAAAATCTCTCTAACAGATGCTTCGGAAAGGGGCTTAATAGTTCCAGCTAAACGTAAGCTTAGCTTGCCAGAAGCTGTATTTAAAGGCTTTTATGATCCAAAAACTGGCAAATTTTCACACCCACAAAGCAATGAAAAAGTTCCAACAGATAAAGCTATTAAAAAACGTATGATAGATCCACAGTCCACATTAGTACATATAGCAGGAAAAGTTATTCCGTTTGAATTCGCAGTGGATAAAGGTATTGTTGACGGTAGAAGAGGTACTGTAATATTGGGAGATGAAAAAATCGATTTCCGAGAAGCATTTGAAAGAGGGTTATTAGTCGAAGTTCGTAAACCTATTTCGCTTATAGAAGCTTTGGAAAAAGGAGTTTATAATGAAATTTCTGGACTTTTTATGGATCCTCAGACTGGCAAAAAATATACCCTAACAGAAGCGATTAAATTAAATTTAGTTGATCCAGAATCAGTCCACATTCAAGACAACAGATTAGGAAAATGGGATAAACTTAGTTTGTCTGAATCTCTCAAAACTGGTATTATTGATGATAATACAGGTAAAATAATAAACATAAATAATGAAAACGAGGAAATTACTCTTCGCAAAGCTTTCGAAATTGGGTTACTTGTCGATAGTAAAGCATCTATTAGTCTCCAAAGAGCTTTACATCAAGGTTTATATGACGATAGCACTGGCAAAATTATAGATCCAACTACAGACCGTAAAATCACTCTCCATGAAGCTATAAGACGGTCTATTATAAGTACTAAATATCTTTGCTATTTCGATAAAAAATCTGAAAAACCTCTTACTTTGGCGGAATGTTGTCGTAGTGAAATCGTTGATCGGCGAAGCGGAAAGTTCCGTGAACCAGGTTCTGATGTCCAAATACCGTTATCGGAAGCTATGAGCTTAGGCCTTGTAGTAGACATTGAGAGTGCAGGTTTTACTCTTTATGAAACATTAGCAATGAATATGTATGATATAACTGAATTTGTATTTATCCATCCAGTAACAGAGAAAAAGATATCTCTGAAAACCGCTGTTATTGAAGAGCTTATCAATCCCGAGACTTCATTAGTTAAACATATACCTTCAAGTAAGTACATAAAACTCAGTGAAGCAATTGAAAATGGTATTGTTGATGACGCCAATAGTGTATATATATTACCCAATGGAAACCAAATAAATTTACTAGACGCTAAACATCGAGGTTTAGTAGTAACTGGAAAAAAGAATTTAAGCCTTGAAGAAATTATAAGAAATGGTCTTTTTAGGCCCGATAATGGTAAAATTGTTGATCCAATCAGTAATGAATTTATTGACATTAATAAAGCAATTGAAATTAAATTATTAAACCCGGAACTTACCATTGTCAAAGATAATTTCACTAATAAATTTAAACCATTACCAATTGCTATTCAACAAGGTGATGTCGATGTCACTAAAGGTAGAGTCTTAGATACAAAAGCAAAGAAAACTTATAGCCTGGACATAGCTTTCGATAAAGGTCTCTTAGTTACGGTCATTCAACCAATTACTTCTCAAATTTCAACTAAACGTTACGTACAAGATTCAGCAACGTCTAAAGAACCAGTCCTTAGAGAATTCACATTAGAGGAAGCTATAAGGTATGAATTTATTGATCCCGATACGGCTGTAATAAAAGATCCTCATAAAAATAAGTACATTCCATTAAGATTAGGTATTAGTGAAGGTATTATAGATAAAAACGCAAAAGGTACATTTGATACTCAAAATAGGTCACGTACGCTTTGCTTCGTCTTTGAAAATAGTTTGATTGTGTATGTTCGAGAACCTCTAACGTTTGAACAAGCGATTGAAAATGGTCAACTTAACGTCAATATCGCTCGATTTACTGATCCACATTCCAGAGAAATGTTAACTATTAAGGACGCCGCTATTTTAGGCTATATAGATTCTGACACAGCGCTCATTAAAGATAATCTTAAGAAGAGGTTAGTGAAACTTCCCGAAGCATTCCGTAAAGGTCTTATGGATGCCGAAAAGGGTAATATCTTAGATACAGAGACCTCTAAACTTAACACCTTATCCGCCGCAATAGAAACAGGGTTGCTGATGACTCCAAAGAAAAGTTTCAGCTTGATAGAGACATTAAACTTTGGTATTTATAATCCAACAACTGGAGCACTAAATGATCCATTTATTACAACAAGTGTAATGGACCGAAAACGTTTAAATTTGGGCGAAGCTATTCAACAAGGCATTGTTGATCCATCCAGTACAGTTGTTAAGGAACCAGAGACGGGAAAAATATGGCCGTTAGTGCAGGCTATTGACCAGAAACTCGTTGATCCCGTAGAAGGCAGACTGATAATAAATCCAACTAAAGAAGTCAGTCTAGACTTAGTTAAAGCTCTTAAAAAGGGATATTTGCTGCCAGCAGAAACGAGGGTGAGTTTCTTCATAATTTACTTCTTTATTTGTGCTTCTATCAAGCAAAAGGTGTTGCTTTATTCATCTTTCTATTTCCATTCTTAGATGGTGATCTATCTTATCTAAAGCGTTTGGCTTAAAATATTAGCATGCACGACACCCATAAGACATGCAGTGTCGAATATTGGGTTATTTGCAATTTTTCTGATGAAGTCACGATTTGTAATGGTGGCATACACATTTGAAATCATCTTAACATTCAATCCTTGATACCTAGAACTTAAGACATCCTTCAGTTTGATATCCAAAAATATATTGTTTATTACGGTAGTTAAGGCACATATATGAATCACGTGTTGTTTTGTTCTTAATATATAAAATTTGATATTAGTTTGTACACTTAATTAGGCAAAAGTTATCTCGCTTTTGATATTATTATATATTAATGTAGTCATTATTATTTAAAGTTGTACTTGCCTTATGTGTTGTGTCTAGATGCTTAAGTTTAGGTTATGGCGCAATACAATTGCCAGTTTTCCTTCTGTTAACAACGACTGGGGAAAACTACCAATTGAGAATGTGCTCACACCCACATTGTACTAAGGCTCGATGTATGTTGTTTTTTATTTCCAGCCGTTGCCTGCGATGCTAAAGAACCCTTTTGAGCTAAATCGTGAATGCTTGCCTGTGAGGGATCATATTAACGACGATAAAAAGAACCATCACCGTCTCGTCAAAATACATAACCATCCCATTTCACTTTGTGCTAAGATTTTTTTAGAGGTCAATAATGTGATCGTTTCTTTCGATCTGTTGACCTCTGCTTTATTGTTCGCTTTCATAAACAAAGACCAGCGAATTATGACAGCTGGTCTTAAAATTAAAATGAGCTCTCTTGATTGTATTTCTAAATAGTCCCCGATTTATGATATACTCATTCCTTGGAGCCGTGCTCACATGAATGCATGACTGCGCTATGCTATTGTGATGTTGGTTAATATGCCGGACACTCGCGACGCAAACATTCACAATATCATGAATGGTAATATATTTACTTCAAAAACACACACGAAAGGTAGTATTTATGATTCATTTTCGTATATTTTAAATGCTCGTTTCGTTTGGGATCTTATTTCAGTGCGAACATTAACATAAGTCATCAATTTAAAATCAGAAAATCTAAAAGTCACACTTACTTAACTTTGATTAATTTTCTCATGAAATAATGTCCCACTATTATTATTATTATAAAGAATGTATACAATTCATTCAATTATATTTTTACGTGTAAACTCTTTAAGAAAACTTTTACTTTCTTTATTGTACCTCATTTTACTGTACAAAAAACAATATTATTTCAAAGTTTCAGATTTCCGAGGAGGTATTCTTTTAACATTTATATACTTTTAACAAATAACTCTAATCCAAACATTTATTAATTAATAAAAATATAAAAGATGTTGGGTACCATGTTATTATGTTTCGTTTCTTTTGGTAGTGTCATAGACAATATTAAAAATTCTTTTCAAATTACAATTGATGTATATATTTTTAATTTGTCTATGATGTCTGTTACATTCACTGCTTGCATGCCTCGCTTTTTGCATGATTATAGTTGTCTGTATCCGTCTGTATACCTACGCAACATTTGGACTTGTTGTGTTTTGTCACCCTCATACTGAATTTGGCTGTCTATCGTTGTTGGCCTATGTCTCTGTCTCAGGATTGTCTCTGCTTACTGTTTGCATAGTCTATTGTTGTATTTTTTGTTTTTATTTACAGGTACTCTTACCGTTTTATTAAGTAATCGTTCGACGTTCTATTATTGTACTTAATAATAATAAATGTATTCTATTTTTTATTATTATATTTATTTTATGAAGTACTGTAATATTGGAATATTGGTCATAGAAGATCTTACAGAAATGATTACTTAGATAAACGTGTCATATTGGATAACTAAGTATCTACTGTCCGTGCATGAGCTAAGTTATTCACGTTCTCATGTTTATAAGGTCTGATCAAAAAGTGTTCAATATTTTCGGGAGTCGAACAGTAGGTGATAACAATCTTACCTATGAAAAATTTTAAACATATATGTTACATCATACATGATGTTTTTTTATCATTATGATTGTAGTTGAGGAGTATATTGGTTTCCTAATATTCATAAAATGTATCAATCAAATTAATATATGAATTTTAGACTTTGTACTAAGTCATCTGCTAAAGTATACCTGCCTCGCCTATATCGCCTCTATATTTACTTTTTGAAAAGTAAAGTAATTACAATACATCGGCATAACGCCTTAGTCCTCCGTATGGCAACTTATGAGGGCGAAATATAGACATCCCATATGATTAATATGCGTATTGCTGTTCATGTATATAGGCGACCGTTCACTTGCAATTAGAAGATAACTTATTAACTGAACTTGTTTCCAGTCATACAAAATTTATAGAATTAAACCTACAGTAAAATCAATGTTAGAATGTAGACGATGTGAACATATTATAAACAACCAACCAAATTAAAATAAAGAATAATACTAATAAATGCCTGTATATTTTTTTTTATAATAAAAATCATAAGGTTTGCTTATGATCTACTTGTCGATGTCCTAAATCATTGAACACTATTTTTATTAGACCTTAAGTAATGTTCGTTATTAAGAATGTTTGTAAATATATTTGCATCTCTAAATACCATTATTAATGCACAATTTGTTACCGTAAATGTCTGTAGACAGTCGTCCTTTGTAAAGTGATTGACCTGCACAGAAATATGTAGATAGATGCATTGTAAATGCTCGGTAGCTATAGACAAGAATGCACAGCTCGGAAGGGCTTTGTAAATAGTTGTTTATGTTTTGCGCAGAGTATAAATTAATTATGTTTATTTAATATTTAGCAAGCAGTAGAAGAGAAGTACAGGCTTTGCGATGAGACGCTTTCTAAGTTACTGGAATGGATTGCCGTTGTTGAAGAGAGACTGGCCAATCAGGAAGCGGTTAAGGAAGACTTGGACGAATTACGCAATCAAATTAACATTCTCAAGGTAAATAAGACTAATTAAGTTATAACATTGAATAACTCCGGTACAGAAGTCGTACTTAATAGAAATATAATTATATCTTAATAATATTATAAACGCGAAAGTTTGTGAGTATGGATGTTTGTTACTCTTTCACGCAAAAACTACTAAACGGATTTTGATGAAACTTTACAGTAATATAGCTTATATATCAGAATAAAATATAGGCTATAAATTTGACGCGGGTGAAACCGCGAGCACAGCTAGAGTGAATATAAATTAATAAATGTGTCACATTAACAGCTATTTGTGTGTCTTGTGTGTGTTGTGTGTTTTGTGGTCACGAATTTTGTCATATATTAAATGATAACTCAAAAACTACTGGTCAGATATTGATTAAATTTATGGGACTACTTTCTATGACAATTATTGATAGTTAGACGTACACTAACAAAATTATTGTATATTTATCTATTTGTTTAGAAATGCAAATTCTGAATTTAAACTTGTCCAAATTAACCCTTATTTTATTTCCAGCTGATTAAGGATGATCTGGAGAGTCATCAACGTCAAGTGTCCGCGTGCGCTGACCAGGCGAAACAGCTGTTGGTATCCGGAGGCGATGTACTGGCCCCACATGAGGTACTGTACTCATTCATTTAAAGCTTCACACGAATATTAACTTCAATATTGATACAGTTATACTCGTGTTTAAGGCATATAAACAAACTTAAATTGTTAACGACTATGAGAATTTTCAAATGGAAATACCTCAACTACTTACTAGAAAGCTTAAAGACCTATCTCTAAATCAATATTACAGGACAAGAGGCATGATGTCTTAGTCCACTGGAATGGCAACGTATGAGTGGTGTTAGTGTCACATGATAACTCGTGGTCCGTGACGCTGTTCATGTATATACTGTTTACCATCGGATGAGCCATTTCCTCTACTACCAATACCTTTAATCTGCACAGTCATTTTGGCTGCTGGTTTTCTTTCCTCATAATTGTCTCAACCAAATTTATGAATTAAGTACTATATTCTGGATATACTGAGCTAATGTTGATTGCAATTTTTTGTACAGGTTGCAGCACTGGAGCGAGGTGTACGACAGTTGAAGCAACGTTTCGACAAATGCACAGAGAAATGCGATAAGATGTTGAGACGTTTGGCGGCCGCCAGAGACGAGCTGGGCAAGTTCAAGTGAGTGTATAAATATATTTTTTACTTAGACAATTTATACTGCACAGTCTCAAGCTATTAAAAGCTTATATTATGGATAGTAGAGAACTGATGGAAATAATTAAATCTTTTTTTTAATACATAATGTATCTAGAAAAAACTTATTGTAAAAAAATACAAATACAAACTGGCGTGTCCTACAAACTATAAATTAGTGTAGTACATTATTAGAATCCGATTCTTTCTTATAATTTTAATCATATACCCGGGATGTACTACTGAGGTAGTCTGTAAAATGTTGTCTACGTACAGTCAGGGTACCTCAGTCTTAACTACGTCCTTCACCTATCAGCTTGTTTTGTAAGCTATACTTCATTTATAGGATGAGCCAATCAGAAGATTCAGTTAAATTACTTTATAAGACATATCTTAGTCATACGTGATAACATGATATCCACAATGTACCATAAGGTCGACTGTCAGGTTGTTTGTCATTCCAAATGAATAATTAAATCTCCTGTTCTCTTTTTAGTAACGAACTGAATGCCTTCAACACTTGGATGGAGGGAGCGTATCGTAATCTTGAGGAGAAAGAGGCAGCTCTATCTAAACTGGATAAGTTGCCCGGACAGAGCGAAGACGTAAAAGATTTCGTGTCGGACGTGATTGCACATCAAGCGGACCTGCGTTTCATCACAATGTCCGCGCAGAAGTTCGTCGACGAAAGCAAGGTTCGTTGTTATAGAAACAAAAATACACTGCATAACCGTATATTATACTTCTCTGCAATAATTACGTATATGCGAACGAGGCGCTATATTTTAACAAATAAATCTATTTTATTGTCGTAACAAAATATTGTTTTCATAAATAACATTATATTTTTTTTATTAAAATTTAGTTAATTATTCACTCATAGTATGTCTAATACATATAATATAGTTTTATTTGTTTCACTTCTGTTGTGTTTAATTTTTCATTGGATATTTATATGAACTACTTCAACCGCGATTTGATATGACAAGCCAAGTATAGTAGGTTCATGAAATATAAAAAAAAATCTAATCTTTATTTCGTTTAGGATTATAACAAAAATTTGTGACCTATCCATGTGGTTTATAGGAATTCCTATCTCTGCTGAACGACTATCGCACATCGCTGCCGTCGCGTCTGTCGCACGTGGGCGCGGCGAGCGACAGCGCAGTACGCGAGGGAGCGGCGCTCGCGCGACGGCGACACGCCGATCTTGTCGCGCGTGCGTCACGACTTCAGGACAGACTCCGCGCCGCCGCTCTACTCACGCGACACTATGGAGACGCACTAGACCGGGCACACCGCTGGTTGGCTGACGTGAGTCCACTTTTTACGTGTAGTTATGTGGTTCACCCGAGGTAGACTATAGTCCTCAGTCTCACATACTTCTAGTATCAAGCAGCTTGCTTAATAAGCTATGTACGGATAGCATCTTAATTCTCTAGAATGGTAACCCACGGGCGTTATATCGTAGCGTGATCTTCGCGTATATAGACGACACTTTTCATTAGGTATATCGTGAGCTTGTTTGCCAGTTTATTTTCAAATTTATTCGGTTTGTGGTGAGTAGCCATATTTTTTTTATAATATGTCTCATTGATTCAGGCATATTTCGTTTCTTTTATATATCCATAAATAATAATTAAATTGTTTATTAATAAAACAATATTTTAAACAACAACAGTAAAAATTATTTCGAGAAGTCTTTGGTTGTAATACGAGATGTTTAAAATTTTGATTGATTTGTAAAGGTGGAACCACAAGTGCGATCGGTACTGTCGGAGCCCGTGGGCGGTGAACCTCGTGCGGTCGAGGCGCAGCTGTCAAAGGCGAAATCTCTGCACAACGAGATACTCTCACAGGGGCGACTCATCGACAACGCTAAAGACGTAAGTATTATTTTATAAATAAAACTACCTGTGGATATTATTATAAATACTATTACGTACTGACGATGACAATACCAATGTCTCTCTGTATAATGGTTGAACCAGTATATAACCGAGACACACCGTCTTCCAGTAGTCATATAAAAAAAAATAATACAAAATATTTTTTGAAGGAAGTCGGTGTTACACTTTGCTACTGTCGTTTTTAGTTATATTACTTTTAAAGACAAATAAATACATACTTAATACAAAATGGAATTTAAAAATATAATGATAATATACGGTCTCAACGATTATCTCAGATGAGGTAGTCATAAGCTATGGTGCTAAGCTATGGCAACATTGACATATCCACTGTTTGCTCGGTATATTTGAATCCAACGTAGCAGGAGGCCAGACTACCGCTGTCTCTCGGATTTACATATTACTTTATTTTATTATACAGGCCTGCGACCAACTAGTCAAATCACTGGAAGGCAACCTGACACCGTCCGAGATCAGACAACTGGAAGTTCCCATACTGGACTTGACGGCCCGGTACAAGGAGTTCAGCGGCGCGGTCGGCTCCCGTTGCACCGAACTGGAAGCCGCCCTGCTGCAGTGCCAAGGACTTCAGGACGCTGCTGAAACCCAGGCGCATTGGCTGGGACAGGCTGAGAGCATATTCAAGTTAGTAACTATAATTTAAAATTTTCTGTTTCCTTCGCAATGTTGATTGTAAAACGAGAGTTTAGCTTAAATTTTAACATATTCAAAGAACATTGACAGGTATATATCCATTTTTTTAAAGATTGAAACGGATTAAAAATAGAACTTAAAAATCTAGTATACATATTTGTAATAATAAAGATCACATTACTGTGTAAAACTTACTAATAGAACATGTAATTAAAATCTAGTTTAATGAACTTATACAGTACTTATACGTTAGCAAAATGTATATTTTATTAAAGCTAATAGTAATTAATTTATAAAATAATAATTTTCAATTACTTGTGTGTGATTTATAATACAAACGTTACATTAATCATAGGAACCAACAAAAGCCCGCGTCCCTGATTCGCGAGCGGCTCGACGAGCAAGTACGAGAGCATCGCATCGCACACAACGAGGTCGAGGCGCGGCGCCCCACGCTCGCCAAACTAGTCAGCAGCGCTCGCGATGCCGCACTCACTCCCTCTAACGCCAGGATTGCCAAGAAGTTAGAACAGCGAGCCGAGGACATTTATGCTAGGTGACTGCATCATTTTTTTATTTATAAATATTTGTTTTATGAAAGTAGATTGGCTATTCACTTGATGGTAAATGGCAATCGTCGTTATCTGTATAAATTGAACAGCACCGCGCTTTGTCATGTGTCGTCCGTGACACCACCCAGGCGTATCTATTTCTAAAGATTAAGATGTCACACACTATAATTTTATTGCTATTAATATGATTACCCACATGATAGTAAGTGATAAGCGTTGAGAGTTACGTCAAGAATCTTTAATATTATCTTTGATACATTTCAAAATAATATAGGTAGAATTGCTCATATAAGAATAAATTTAAATTAAAGGAATCATTTGTTTGTAGGTTGTTTGTTGCGTGGGTACCGCTGTCTTCCTAATTCGAGCCGCTAAGCAGCTTGCTTTGTAAAATGTGTTTGTGTATACTTGATATCTGATCTGGTTTTATCTACCGTTTTCATATCATGATCAACGTTTGTAAATAACCTAAAGATATACCATAAATATTAAACATTTTATTCCAGATACGAAAAACTACTGGAGCGTTCGATAAAACGCGCTCAGTTCCTGGAGGAGGTGTCGGGTGAGCTGGCACAATTCTCGGCTCAGGCGAGCGAACTAGAGGCGGCACAGGCGGCCCTCGCAGAGCGAGCCGACGGCCGGGAACTGGCGCGGCTACCAGCCTCAGAACTGGCACCGCACCACAGGGAACTTGCCCTGCTCAGGTTAGTACAGAAATGGTTATTGACTTATGTCTGAACTAGCAATTTACTTGGCTTGAAAATATATCTAGTCCTAAACTAAGCAGGTTATACTATGGCTAATGGTGGAGAACTGATAGAAATATGTGAAATAACTTACTAATCTCCTTACAGAGACAAACAAATGCCATTACTTGAAGAGTGTCTGCGCAATGGAAAGCAACTGATCTCCAAGAAGGATGTTACCGACACCCACGTCATACGAGATCGCATGAAGGTAATATCCCACACAATCATACAATATATCATGCAATATACATTATTATTATTATTGTTGTCTCATTAAGTCAGCTTTTGCTGTTTTTTTACGCTTTAAGCATACCATTGCATACCACACAATTTTTTTTTATTACCCTATCTGGTGCCACTGCTGGGCAAAGATCTCCCCAACTCCCTGCGCTCTTCCTTCCCATTTTCAAGAGAGTTTGTGAACATTACTTATGTAAATTGTAGTAATACAGAGTCATAAAGGGTAGGTCCAACAAGCCAAAAGCCGTGTTAAAACTGAACCATTTCTGTCAAGAAATTAATTGGAAATCTAAAAAGATTATTGCTATTGATCCTTTAATATTGAATGTGTGACCTGCGCGCTCTTTATGCGCATTTTAAAACTTATTAACATATAGGCATAACCTATTTGAAATTACCTACGAGCGACCTAACAAATCAGCAGGTATTACTAGGGAGTTTCTATGTACTCACAGAAACCCCTTGGATGTAGCGTATGCCCTGAGAGAAGTATACAACGGGATATACTCGACCAACCTCCGGATTAGGTCGCTGAGGCTCATGGAATACGACAGCAAAGTCATACCATCGGACCAAAGCAGGACTCTATACCTGGTTCATACCCAAGCGGAGAAAGCAAAGCTAATATCCGAGGGATATGGAATGGACGAGGAGTCTAAAGTGCTGACGATACATGAGGCCCAGGGACTGACATCGGAGAGGGTTATTATCATCAATACTAGAAGTAAACCCTTGGAAATGCATGGCAGCTACTCTCATGCCGTGGTAGCCATCACCAGGCACACAGGCGACTGCGTATATTATACGAGAAATCGAGAAGACGCAGTTGCTCGTTTTATACAAGAGGCCGAAGGCGCGACTCACTCGGACATTCGTGAGTACTCACTGCAGATGGCGATTAAAAATAGAGACAGGGCGATTGTTGATGCGCTGATTGCGCTAAAATAATCAGCACATAGAAAACCAGAACAGCTGATGCATCGTCGGGGCGCTTTGGACTGGAAAGGCCGGAACATGCTCGCTAAAAGTATAAATAAAAAAAAAAAATGAAAGGAGAAAAGAAGGAAGAAAGGAAAAAAGGGGAAAGGGAAGTGAAAAAGGGAAAAAAAAAAAAATCGAATTACGACAAAAAGTGAACTGTGAAATTAAACAATCAATAATTAAACAAAACCTGGACTATAACAAATAGTGAACTTTGAAAATAGTGTTAAAATAAGAATTCATATAATTGTATAAGCAGTGTAAGAATTCATAATGTGTATTGTTACATTATGAATTCTTACATTGCACAATGTAATGAAAACTGTGAAATTAGTAGTAGTGTAAGATTTATATAATTGTATATGCATATTGATAAATCTAATCTTCCAAATAAAGATGGGTGACACTGCATGTTGTCAACTCACCCGGCCGGCCAGCGGTGGTTCTGGGCCAGACGGATAAGGTCTGCCTCGGTGTCACTGTTAGGCAAATTGTAACATCTCGGCTGGAGTTGTACAAAAATGGAAATTAAATAAATATTATAATATTAAAGTAAATTAAAAAAGGCACGGACGAATATGTCTGTGGAAAAATGTATTTAAATATAAAAAAAAAAAAAAACTTATTAACAATTTTCCACATTGCCTCATTGAACTTTCAATAATATTAAGGTAAGAATACTACCGCTGGATTCCGTCTTAATAATATCCTTTACAAATAACCTTGTATGATGTAATTTTTTGTACATTCGCCATTTTAATTTCTTAATGACCTCACTTTTCAGTTAGACTTATAAAAAAACTATTTAGAGTATTATAACAGAATTGATAATATTAATATTCATTTTATATAATCTGTATTATTGTTTATAGGCATTAGAAAACCAATGGCGTGACTTCAATACATCACTGGAAGAGAAACTGAAGTTATCTAAACAACGTGCTGATCAACTCAACCAATACGAGACACTTAAATCACAAGTACGTAAATATAAGACTATTACTGTTACCATATCGTAATGTATATGTCTACTTTCATTAAAACTATGAAGCATATAGGATATTATAATATAATAAAGTACTAAGCTCATAAACAACTGGTCCGATTTAGCTGAAATTTTGTGTACATAATTTGATGGGTTCCTGGTTGGTTTGCAAACGTTATTCCAGCCGGTAGGTGTACTGTTTTTTTGTATATTTGGAAATAAATCTTAATATTATTGTATTATATTTAATTCTAAAGATACCCGAAAAAACAGTATCTTTAGAATTTCTATGTTCATAAATACATTCCTATTATTATAATATATATAATAATAATTATTATAATAATAGGTAATCCACTTATCTTACAATAATATTAAGATTTATTTCCAAATACAAATTATGAATATGCAACATCCTCCAGACAACTTAGATGAATTCTTTTCATTAATCTTATGGTCTGGAGTAAAAGATTACATTCTTCATATTATAGAATACTTTTATTGTAGTAATATTTCTGTTTATTTATTTAAAAAAAAATATTCCATTAAATTTATGTTAATAACTATTTATTATTTCATATCAGGTACTAGAGTGGCTACAAACTATGGAGAATCGCGTCGGCCGTCTACAACCAGTCGCTGTCGAACTGGACGTATTGAAACAACAACAAGAGGAATTGCGTCCTCTCACTAAAGAGTACAGAGACTTCTCTGTTACCATCGACAAGGTATGTAGTCACTTTTAAACAAGTCTTACATTTTTGGTCCTTTGAACCGGATTTATCGTTACCAATATTCAAGTGACTTAGAATTAATTCGGTGTCTAATTGTGAAAATCATATTTAATGAACATTATTAGAGATTACTGCTTGTCTATATAATTGTGTGTTTATAGATGTATGCATAACAGTTGAGTTTTATTGTGCAGGTGAACGAAGCCGGCGGTATGTACGAGGCACTGTCTCGATCGGAGCGGGCGGACAGTCCACCTCGCAGGCGCGCGCTCTACAGCCCCACCAAGAGACACACGCCAGGTACCAATCACCACACACACACACACACACACACACACCATGTTACACTCGTACACATAACTTCATACATACTCTCACATTCATCGTCACCACACATACAACCAATAATACAAAATATTAATACAAGCATATCAACTTAACAAGTGTCCTCATAATAAAGCAATTGTCCTAGCAATTAGGTCGATACAATAATCAAGTGTATCCCTGTGATATAGAGCTCAACTCAAAAAACAAAATAACAATGTCAGATACCTAAAAAATAAATGGTATATTAATATGATAAATGTATACAGGCCGCACCCTAGACGGGCGATCCCCGTCCCCGACGAAAGGTCATGGACTGGTCAGTCCTGGGTCCACTCACTCCACATCCAGTGGATTCTCATCTCGCCGTTCCAGCCAAGAAGGATTCCATCTTGAAGGTAATTTATCATGAATGCATGGTATAAAATCCAGTTGAAAAAAAACTACTATTGTGTGACTTTATTATATGATAACAATTATTGTAAGAATTTTGTTTTGTTCATCTGTGCGCTCTAAACTCAGAAATGAAACTGAAATTCGCAACTTATTATTATTATCATGTTGGTAAACGGTTACCTATAGATGCTTAAAATACCAAGGTCGGGTGCGCTTTGTCGACCAGAAAAAATTATAACCAGCAAAAGAGACCAATGAATATCCTAAATGAATAAATATTTGTGACTATATTCTGTGAATATTTTGGCGCACGGGTACGAAATCAGTAAAGTCAGTAATAAAAAATATGTTTACATTAAGATTTTGTTCAACAGAACTATCACCGGTTCAACAACAATTATCCGAGATCAATAACCGGTACAGTCTGCTCGGCACCAAGCTGTCCGACCGGCAGACGGAGCTCGACGCCATCAGGGAGGAAGTCAAGAAGCATTTGGAGAGCTTCCGAGCATTGAACACCTTCCTTGATAAGGTAAGGATACCTTTTAATATATTTTTTTAAAGATATACGTCTCTGAACTATATAACTAAAAGAAAAAAAGGATCGCACATGGTCTTTCTTATGCGTTGCGATTAATTAATATTTAGCTACCGTTGTCCATACTATATTACGAATGAAATAGTGTGCGTCTATCTGTTTGTTTTTCACAACTAAACGGATGTTAATGAAAATTAAAATTAAGATACATCATTTCACGAATTCTCTTATATCCATCCGGACATACGATTTCTTTTATAGCCCTAACCTGTAAGGGGATTGAGGAAAGTTTATGTAAAATCAGGTAACAGCTAGTGTCTTATAACTCACTACAGATAAAGGATAAGCGGGGCACTGATAATGCTATTTAAGATATAAAATAAATTGTAAAATTTATATTCAGACCATTATACTTCATCATTTGCAATAACTATTGCTTTTGTTATATATCAATAGACAATTTCATGTATTCTTTTTTTTTAGGTCCAAAGACAATTGCCCAAAGACTCCGTGCCCAATACAAAGGAGGAAGCGGATAAAACCATCAAGGCCGCGCGAGCGGTACTCGAAGAAATGTACGAGAAACAGAGTATTCTGGACTCTACTAAGACTCAGGTGAGAGATTCATTATTACAAATAGAAATAACTAAACCATGCTTTACTTATGGCGTGGCTGATACCTACACAGTAATGTTCATTGCGATTATGCAAATACAAGTAGATCAGTAAGTTTTTCACCAAAAACAGCAAGATGGGAACGATTCGAACCAAATCTTATAAAGATATAGAAATATGTACTTACTTAATTAATAAATGTTCCCAAGTGACTGATTTTAACTATGTATTTTTAATAATTTGTTAAATTTTGGGTTGTTAATGATTTATACGCAGGTTCGAGAGCTACTGCGCCGTAAGCAAAGCGTCCAAGGCGCTGATCGATTACACGACGGACTAGAAGAGGTCGCAGCCCGATGGAAGACACTACACGACGCCTTGAAAGACAAGTAAGTACACCAACATTTTGTTAACGTGTAATACTCGAGAGAGCGTCATGACTTATTAATTTACTGCTTTGATTTAGAAGTTATGAAAAGCCGCCAAGCAAATTGTTATGTTTGTTTGGAGCGTGAGATAAGATCTTAAGCCTTATGTTAATAATAAATAATTCTGAAAGCTTAATAATTCAGTGGAATTATATAGTGGCATGATATTTTGGTCCTCAGGAAAGACAAACGCATGAGTAGTAGTTCTGTTCACGTGTATAGACTAAGGTTTATTGGCATTTGACATCAGGTGGTACTATCATAGTTTCCCATTCCCAATTTTGTTAGTAATAAAAAATATATATAGACACTGATTATAAAATATAAATGATGACAAAGAAGAATAAATAACTGCTATATGTGTATCATACGACTAGCCTGCTCGCAATCATGCTCTGGATGCTGTTTTGATGTTAGCACGTACTCTCAGCAACAGGAATACGCATATTTTCCGCATTGTAGCGTAAAAACTGTCTACACATATGATATAGGCGACGAATATCTCTTTTCAACAAATGGGTTTCATTATTTCTGTTACATAAAAAAAAATATTCTCTTTCTGCCAGGATCCGTCTAATGGAAGAGATGAAGGACTTCCACGACACACACAGCAACCTGTCCGGATGGCTAGCAGCCAAGGACCGCATGATGGCTGCTCTCGGACCGATCTCCACTGACTCCAGGATGGTGCAAACACAAGTGCAACAGGTAATGATTTGTTCTGCATTTTTGTACATTGATCATACCTGTTGCGCCTATTATAGTTCTTAAGTTAATTTGTAAGCTTTACCAGAGGTAGACTGCAAAATCTATTCCTATGTTTCGGTTGTAAGGTGAGCAAAGGTAGTGAAATTATATCGGAATACATTAAGTACGCATGAGTATACCTCTATGCGTGTTTATGTATGCTTGTACGGGTGATAATGTTCGTAGTGCTGTTCATGCGAATATTTGCAATGGGGGCAGTCAGTTGATTTGCCATTCCAATTGCATAAAGAAATTTCTCATATTGCCCTCAGTCAGATCCGTGACCATAGAGACAATTTATATTTTATTATTACTTTGTATATGTTAGTCTATAAAGTATTTATTATATGGATTATTAGCGGCCTGAATTAAATAATACGACTAAGGTATTTTTTAATAGCAATCTCACCCTTGTTGCATTCATAATCTTAATCTTAATAATATTATAAACCCGAAAGTTTATAAGTATCGATGTTTGTTACTCTTTCATGACTGATGAAACTTTACAACAATATATTTTAGGCATAACATATGGTTTAAATTTTATATTGAAATTTAACCCGAGTGACACTTGAATGTAATTTTAGTCAAAAAATCCCCTAATTCCGGAACTAATTTACCTAATTATACTCTAATGGCAGATGAAATTAACTAGTCGTTTACCTAAATCCGCACGCAGCAGCTTGTATATGAATATTGTAACCTTTTTAGACTAACATGTGTTAGACCTACAATGAGAATCGCTGGCAGTTTTTATATTCGTTTATCCATATTGAAAATATGAGAGTACTTTTTATACAATAGATTTATAATCACTGGGTTCCGTTATAGTACACGTCTATAGGCATATGTAATATTGTCATTAGTTATTACTGCATGGACGGTGTTGGTCGTGATCAGGTGCAGGTGCTGCGCGAGGAGTTCCGCGGGCAGCAGCCGCAGCTGTCGCACCTGGCGGACGTGGCGGCCGCCGTGCTGGCGCGCCTCCAGCCGCGCTCCCACCACGCAGACACACTGCGACAGAAGGTCCAGGATCTTCAAGACAAATGGAACGACCTACTCAACAAGTCAGTACTGTCACCCTACCCTGCCTATATCTATAGCTCTACCGTGTATCACATGTATTTTTAAATGTAAATGTAACATGGTATTTAAGGATATTTTTGTGAAATTAACAATAGTTTTTTACATTGTATATTACGTTATTATTATGTAAAAATAGTTGATTTTCCAGATATTCTCCCCTATTGTTGTTATTTTTCTTTGTAGTTCCGCTCCTATTGGTCGCAGCGTGATGTTATATATATAGCCTATAACCTTCCTCAATAAATGGGCTATCCAACACTAAAAGAATTTTTAAAGTCGATTCAGTATATCCAGAAATAACCTGTACAACCTCAGAAATTTTAACTCTTCGTAATATTAGTATAAATGACAGAAAATGCAAGTTTGTCGGTACGTCCGCTGTGACCACAACTGTGGCATCGCGCCTTCGTGTGTGATCCGTTGGTGAATGACGATGAGGTTGTATATGAGTTGGCGCCGGGTGTCCTCAGACTGGAGCAGCGCGCGGAGTCGCTGGGCGCGGCGGCGGACACGTCCCGCGAGTTCGACGCGGGGCTGGCGCGGCTGCGGGACGCGCTCCACGCCATCGGGGACAAGCTCGACGACGTCGCGCTCGACGCGGAGCCAGACGAACAGCTCCGCAAGATAGAGGTGACGCTGACCTCATTGGTTTACTACAAAACATATATGTCGATATACATGTCCTTTGCCGTTCTTCGCGTTGCGCTGATAGTTACCGCCCGGCTGTATTGCAGCTGTGCGCTGAGTTACAGCGCCTCGGTCGTTTACACCCTCGGTGTGAGCAGCGGGTATTTCCGTCTCACTCATTACATACGTCATACTTTTTAGGGAATACAACAAACATATAATTTAAATTTGCAAATAACTATTAAATTTTTTAAAAATATAATAACCACAAAAATGTCTAAATTAGTAGTTTCATTCTGACTACTACTACAATATTGACTACTAATTTGGCTTAACTATGTTTGTATAAACAATTACACTATCTACCATTAGTTATGAGATCAAACTTAAAATTTATTTTAAATAAAAAACATTGAGAATTTGCTATAGAAATCAAGTTTGCTTTATATATCATATTATACTTGAAATCACTGTCTGTTTAAAATTTATATATATATAATTATGTCTAAATAATTACATACAGATTTTATGGAAATTCAAAGCAAGAGTAAAAAGTGAAAGAAGAATTAAAAATGGTATATTTTCTCGGTTAGAATCTCGAGCGGCAGTTAGAAGGACAACGCCCTCTACTGGCAGACTTAGAAGCGGCTGGAGCAACCTTGGCCGACGTCCTCTCAGACCCGGCCTCCAGGCAGGACATTCAGAGCAAACTGGCTGCGGTCGCCCGCCAATACGACAACCTGCAAAGGAAACTCGACCTTAAGAAAGCTGAAATAGAAGCTGCTCTTAAGTAAGTACACTACAGTGATCCTTTTGTAATTTCTTTCTCATTTTTTGTACTTAGTATAGAATTTTATTCACATCGAGGGGAAAGATCCTGTTCTAAGAGACCAAAATATTTTGGATCCACGTTTTATTATACTTTTATACTATTTAATATTATTATTACTCTCTGAACAATTATTTGGGAGACTATCTTGATTGGCGTCAGTCAAGGGATTTGATATTTTAAATATGTTACATATATTCGCTATTACGGCGCTGTGTTTTTTCATGATAGAATCTGAATAAAAACAATGAAATGTTCAAGTTGAGCTTCTTGCCAGTTCTTCTCAACTGAATTAACTAACTAAACTGGATGTTAAATATTGATACATGATATGATAAATGATAACATGAATGATGACAACGCTCGAAAGTATTTGAGTTTGAGTCTCAGAATCTTATACACTCAGTTGTCCTGCAATATATGTCTACTGACCCACATTTCTTCTCCACCAGGGATGGTCGCAATCTAGAAGAAAATGTGTCCCGTACTCTCGGATGGCTGCAGTCTGAACTGGGCGCTTTACCGTCACGCCTCCAAGTCTCAGCAGACAGCGTCAAGTTACAACATCAGCTGGAACGACACGAGCCTCTCTACAGAGAGCTGACGCAGCGTGAGCACGAACTGATCATGCTACTGGATAAAGGTCGCGAGATGGAGAAGAAGCCAGCTCACCAGGGGCTCCGTAAAGATCTGGACAGGATCCAGACGCAGTGGGACAAACTGAAGAGGGAAATAGTAGACCGTCACACCAGACTACAGACCGCTATGGTAAGATTCGCTACGTAATCCTAAATCAATACTAATAATAATAGGAATGTGTCTGTCTGTTTGATTCCTTGTTACTTCTAAACGGTAGAACGGACTTTAATTAAATTTAACGTTAAAATTGATTGTAACAAGGTCAAAGAGGTTATCTTTTATATTAAGAAAGATGGATTAAGTCGCAGCAACAGCTAGTGATACTTTAAATGCATGCAAAGTATGTGTGTTATATCTTAACAATTTCATGAAATGTTATAAAAAGAACTTACATATGCTGGGATATTAATCATTTTGGAAGAAGTCGCGGTAAGCAGATATTGTTGGTATTACCAGCTCTATACTTTTCTTTATTGCGGAAAAAAGATAAAAAGAAGTGTAATATATCTCTTAATAGAAAATTTATTATCAGTGAAATTATAATTTCTATTATATAAAGAGTTCATAATTTACCTTTTTGTATAGGAACATTGCCGTAAATATACCAAGGCACAAGAGTCTTTCCTACCCTGGTTGTCCGAAGCCGAGGAGCGACTTGCCAAGCTGCCAGCCGCCGCCTTCACCAAGAAGGAAGTGGAGAAGCAGCTCCGTGAGTTGCAGCAGATCAGAAACGATATCTGGAAGAGGTCAGTTGTATTATTTTTTTCTAGAACTCGTTACATACTTTGCCCTATTGAAGTGCTGAAGAGCAGAACGATCACGCGCCTAAGAATGAACGCGGTCACAGTGTCCCAATCTCAATATAGTAGTTCAATAATTAGAATTGGAATATTATAAATTTCCAATTAAATATGTAGAACGCTGACTACATAGTCAGACTACATAGTCTCTGAACTTGTAACAGCTCCCACTATAACATTATAGTGGGAGCTGTTACAAGTTCAGAGACACGTTGGCTCAGACTTCGAATGGCCTATTTTTATTATTATACTAGCTGTCCCGGCAACCGTTGTTTTGCCATATAATTAATAAGGCTATAAAAAAATAGGGGTTGATGATAGAAGGGTGAAAATTTAGGATTCTATGTATTTTTGTATGTTGTATCATAAAAAAAAAGGAACTAAAAATTTTGTCTAAAAAATAAAAATAAAAATTTTGGGGTGGACTACCCCTAACATTTAGGGGGATGAAAAATAGATGTTGGCCAATTCTCAGACCTACTCAATACGCTCACAAAATTTCATGAGAATCGGTCAAGCCGTTTCGGAGGAGTATGGGAATGAAAACTGTGACACGAGAATTTTATATATAAAGATGTTTTATTGTTATCGATATTGATTTTGCGGTTTTAATCACTAAACATGTCAACCCCATTACATATAATCTAATCATCACAAAGCTAAAAAAATCTAAATAAAAATTGTTACTCTCTAATTCCCGGAGAATAATTGCGGAAGCTGTTTACTGCATTGTATATAGGTATTTTGTTTTTATATGTCCTATCTATTTGCACTCAGATCTGGTGAATACGAGAACAACAAGACGCTGGGCGAGACGTTCATATCGGCGTGCGACATCGACCAGGAAATAGTGAGGAGGCAACTCGACGCCATGAAGGAGAGATGGGATCGACTCAACAACGGTAAATATCTTATTACATATAATTCTTTACGTGTGTTTTGTCATCTAGTTCCACCTAAACTACTAGACCAATTTGGACGATATTTTAAAGGGTTCCTGGACGGTTTCATAACTCAATTAGATCTTGTAGAATAGAGTATTCAAAGACGTTAACGATCCGCATGAAAATTACTATAATGTAGCCCGTGTGAGAAATATGCAAAAAAGTCCTTATATGCCCGTACGCTTCGGAAATTATTGATATGTGCAAAGTTATGTTCTGTACTTTTATAGAGGACTTCAATATTTAAGAGTGTATAGGGGTGTGTGAAAAATCTATAATTTAAATTATAATTTTTTTGTTGTCCGGCCCAGGTCTCTAGTGTAATATAATATTAAAAAACAAAAAAATATTATTTTCATCAGATGTGCTTTCACAAGTGGAATTCTACGAGACGACAGCACGCAAACTGGGCGATTTTGCTGAACGCGTTCGCGCGGTTGAAACACCGCTACAGCGCTGCGAAGAACGGCTTCAGGATGCTTTGTCGGCTCCTCCAGCCGCTGCAGCAGAAGCTGTGGCCCGCTTGACGGACCAAATACACGCTTTGAGAGCACCGCTGCAGGTAATTTAATAAGTCCATAAAGGTACGAGATATAGGACTGTTGTAAACTACGGTTTCACTAAATATAAATATAAAGTACGTATACAAAATATTGATTTATAAAATCCGTAAGTTTTTTAATTTAAGTGCACTTTCGAAGTGATTGGAAAATATTTTATTTGTAACTAATGATGACAACAATTTTTGGAATGCAATAGAAGTAATGTTTTGTTTACTGTAAGAGATTGGAGAGATGAAAAATTAAAGTATTATATAGATCTTTACCAATATATATCGATACGAATCAATATCATATTGTGGAATGAACAACCTGCCGAGGTTTTCTCGAGACATTACAGTATGGGGTTCTCTTCTTGAGAAGGTAATTGTGTTAGGTTTCTTAAGGGTCATAACACAACGTAACACCCACGCTATTTCAGGCGTCCATAGGCTACGGTAGCGATTTACCATTAGACGGGCCATATGCCAGTTAGCCACCAACGTAGTATAAATAAAATGTGATGCAGTAAGTGTGTGTACAGAGCATCAACTCGGCCGCGGACGACATCGTGACGCTGGCGCTGGAGTGTGCCGGGCCCGAGGCAGCCGGCCGCGCCCGGCCCGTGCTGGAGGAGCAGGCGGCGGCGCTGGCCGACAGGCTGCACCACCTCCAGGAGCGCGCAGCACACGCCGGCGGCAGGCTGGCCGGCGCCGCACAGGCCATGACGCACTTCCAGGTACTATTACACCGGCTCCATGGTAGCTGACATACGCCTTCAACGCAAGGACAAGCGGGTAATGAGCAAGATATGCTGTGCATGTAATCGCTCCCCGCGACGAGTTCTTTCACGCGTGATCAGGAGCGTGTGCTATTTAGCGCGGATAAGCCATCGCACGCAATCTTAAGGAGGATTGTATTTAACAACTTTTTTATTCACTCTTTACTACGTGTTTGCATGAACCTAGTCGTTACACTTTCTTTTAAAAAAAATATTTTTAATACATAATTATAAATTACAAATACATAAAAGGAATTTTAGGTGTACAATTTTTAAAATAACCTAAATACCTACTCGATTAGTAACCTAATAGTATGAAGGATACACTTTTTGTTCCTATACGTTTTTCGGTATCCTACATTAAACAGTAATATGACTATTTTTGTATTCGAAACTGTTTATTCCTGATGAAATTCCGGTTAATTTTCGTACAATTATACTCCATATTAAAGTTGTATATTTTAATTATTAATAATTTACAGGACAAAGTGAAGAGTCTAGCGCATGATCTCTCCGAGCTGGAGAAAGAATTAGACGGAATGAAGCCGCCTGGTAGAGAAATCAAGACCGTTAAACAGCAACTGGATGATATCGTGCGCTTCTACAAACGGCTGGAGAAGGCCGACGACCTGGTGGGTGACACTGAGCATGCAGCCGAGAGTCTTGTCGACAGCGGCTACTCAATAGACACCGGCAAGATCAGGGAACAGGTCTGTACATAACTTACAGTATTTTGGTATTTAGAAATTCGTTTAAAATTTACTAGATGGCGCTGTTTATATATATTGATTTACAGAAAAATAATTATGCTATTAATAAAAACGAAAATGTGTCTGTTTGTCTATTTGTTAAATTAACTTAATTACTTTTAACCAGGCATGATATAGATAAATTCGATAATTAAACGTTTATCAAATGTGTTTTTTACCGATAGCGCTACTACGGTCTCTTTTATTTGATTCCAGCCAAAAAATTCTATATTAATAGTAATTGTGACTAAAAAATGACTTATTCTATATCAATAAATGATGATTGACATTGAATTTTTTTATGCAGGTGGAAAGTCTGCGTAAACAGCTAGCCAGGCTGGACGAGCGCGCGCGGTCCAAGGAACAAGACCTTGACGATACCCTCAGTAAGCTGGAAGCGTTCTATAAGGCGTACGACTCCGTTATGGACGACGTTCAAGAGGTAAACATTAATATTAATAGGGTTGATTTCTACTATAGTTTCAACATAGCCCCGGACTGTAAGCATGGCAAACATTGATCCTCGACGATATTCGACACTCGTCTATTCCATTTAAGATAAAATTTCAAATAATTTCAATATAAACACTTGTATAGAATCATTCTACCACTCATTCGGAATGCAGATTCAGTACAAGATATTGAGCAAGAAGTTTCCCTATTGCTCTTTTAAACAAATGTTTTGCAACTTTTCCATGTTATTATATGTTTTCCATGTTAATATTTTGTGTCGATACAAAGTAAAGAAGGTATATCGGTAAAATTACACCGAAATCATTACTCTTCCACAGGCGGGAGAACAGGTGCGAAACCTCAAACCTGCGTCATCCGAGGTGGAACAGATCAGATCGCAACAGAAAGATTTCGCTGAACTGAAGCGACGTACACTGGAGCCGCTCGGGCAGAACGTGACACACTGCAACAAGATCGGACAGGGCCTGGTCAGGTCCGCGCTGCAAGGCGTCAGCACACAGCAGCTGGAGAAGGACCTGGAGAAGATGAACGACAAGTGGAACACGCTTAAGGAGAAGGTATGTTTACGATAAGGAACAGTATTTACTTTAAAGCCATTTCTTAAAAACTTTCTTACTTAGAGGATTTGGTATTCTATCACCACTCTAGCAAGTAGAACTTGTACCAAATGGTGTACCGGTGCGTACCAGTTACTATACCAGTAACGACTCAGTAGTGACGAGTACCTCGTTACTACTATATCGTTACAAGTTTCGGTTCTTTTTTTGTAACATGACTGCATCATACTGATTGATGGAAAGTGCTAACCGTCACATGAATAACATCACGGATGTCACGTTATCATGTGACGCCTGTGATACCCCGCATGCGTTGTCTTTCTGACTTATTCTGTACTCCGTAATTTTACTGCCATATCACACCATTCAAAGCGGAACATGGCTTACAAAGCCAACAGCTTAACTGCTGAATATTATCTCAGATGACTTTGTGTAACGTCTACTTAGGTAATAATCCACATTACTAATAATATCTTCCCTTTCAATGATAACAGATGAACGAACGCGAGAGACGTCTCGATGTGGGGTTACTGCAGTCAGGCAAGTTCGCCGAGGCACTCGCCGGCCTTGAGAAGTGGCTCGCGGACACCGAAGAAATGGTCAACAACCAGAAACCACCGTCGGCTGATTATAAGGTGGTGAAGGCGCAGTTACAGGAACAAAAGGTAAATATATCTAAACATATAAATAATGGTGAAATGTCTGTTTGTTTGAATTTATGTTGCCTATCCCATTTTTTTTTAAGGTTATATGTGGGCTATTAAACAATGGAAATGGAATTGCTTGTTATTCAGTGACACATGCAGAAAATTAGATTGATGTGTGGTCAAATTCTTTATTTACAAATTACAGACTTACAATAAAACCAGAGTTTAAAACAATATTGAAATAGAAAGCTTAGGGGTAGCTTTATGTGCCGTAAGAAGTGAATAGGATACCAATCCACTATAAAGTTGCAAAATACTTGCAGATATGAGAAAAGCTATTATTGGGAGATTTTATAAACATTATAGAACCCAAAACAATTATTGTTCTACTTTTTTTATATTGGAATAAGCTTTATTTAAAAGTTAGTGCTAGTTTTATTCCAATCGGTAAAAGAAACAAAAACGGCAAGACTGGTATGAAGTCACGTGGTTTAATATTATTATCTCTCCATAACAGTTCCTGAAGAAGATGCTGATGGACCGTCAGAACTCCATGTCGTCATTATTCGCGATGGGTAATGAAGTGGCGGCTGGATGCGAACCAGCCGAGAGGAAGTCTATTGAGAAGCAGCTCAAGGGTCTGATGCAGAGGTTCGACGCTCTCACCAACGGCGCTCAACAAAGGATGCTGGATCTTGAGCAGGCCATGAAGGTTAGTCAACAGAGTAAACTGACAGAGTTTAATATTAGATTTTAGTACTATGTCGTCTTCGTAGGTAACTCAGTTTCACCTATTTCAACCGCCAAACAGATTGCTTTGTAAGATTTGTTTCAGTTGAAGGGAGATAAGGTAGGGAAAATATACAGAATAGAAATGCATGAATGCTGGTATCACGAGTTTTACATGATAGCATGATGTCCGTAGTGCTATTCGTGTATATATAAGACAATTACCACTTAGAATCAGGTGGACCGTCAGATGATATGTCATTCCAGTTGCATAAAAAAAACTTCCGTGGTATGCTAAAAGGGACTCACTTTTTATTGTCACTTTAGTTAACTTCTTGTTTGAGAAAATAATAAAAAGGAGATCTTCATTCCCTATACATATAGTCACTGCTAAGACTTAGGAGGTCAAATTTGTTTACCACTAAAAACTTTGTATTACTACCAAGTCAACAATTGATAATGCCACTGATTACCCAATCTGTGAGAACTGTCATGAAGGTATTACACGTAATCTATATCAATAAACAGTCGTAAAAACACACTATATAAAACTGAATTTCGCTTGCAAAGGTCGCGAAACAATTTGAAGAACAGCTGCAACCTCTAGTGGAATGGCTGAGCGTGACAGAACGTAAAGTGAAGGCGCTTGAACTGGTGCCCACTGACGAAGAGAAGATACAGCAGAAGATCAGAGAACACAAGGTAAGATTATAACATAAACAACCACAACCCCATTATGATATAGAGACTAAAAAAAACATTTAAAGTATAAAATAGAGTCTAATCCCTACCCTTATTTATACTATTGAATCGTCCAGTATCTATAACAGCTCATATATTTATAACAATTTGCCTCCAGAGCCTAAATTGGAATGTTGTCGATTCTAGTCTAGTCTAGTCGATTCGTATAGGCCAAACATCTTTAATTACATGTATATTTAACACTTTAACAATGACCTCCCATACTATAATCAGAATATCCCTCCATTCCTAGTTATAATATAGAATTGTAATAGTGACTTTATATATTTTTTACAGAATTTGCACGACGACATCCTCTCGAAACAGCCTCCATTCAAACAGCTAACAGAGACCGCATCTATCCTCATGGGATTGGTCGGAGATGACGAGGCCACCGCGCTGGCTGACAGACTACAAGCTGCTACTGACAGGTATTTAATATATTTATTCCAAAAATAAAATTTGAACCAATATTTCCCAATTATCAATGCTGGCTGGTTAGAAATGCATAATAAAAATTTTCATGGAGGACTAGATAAAATTTTGAGTTGTTAGCTATTTCTTGGCAATTGAAAGCTAAAGTACCATTAAAAACTTACCCACTAACGAAATATATGAATAAATTAACTTTTGTTACTTTGACTTGAGCATTCTGAGTTGATGCCTAATATGCTTATCTCATCTGTCTTTTAAAGTTCAAATTCTGTTATTATTTTTTTCCCTATAAAATATTCGTACAGGATAATTTTTACTTATAATTTGTTTTTTTTTTCATTCAGTTTAGACACTAATGTTTTTTTTTTCTTTAACAGATATCAAACTCTAGTCGACCACAGCCTGAACATCGGCTCACTGCTGGACAGCTCCCGCAAGGGTCTCAGGCATCTAGTCCTCACATACCAAGATCTGTCCGCCTGGATGGACGGCATGGAACAGTATCTAGCTAAAAGGAAGATTCTTCCCGTACATATGGAGAAACTGCTCAGACAGATGGATGAGCTTGCCGTAAGTGAACCATATTCTATATACAATAAAAACTATTTTCAATTGAAACTAGTAAACTTGAAACTAACGAATGAATTGCAATTATTTTAGTTACATGAATTAACATGGCAATATATAAGGTACGTTACACGTTAACAGGGGGAGGGTGAGGGTCAACAAAATGTGACATTTTATAACAAGGGGTTAAGAATGGTTGTTTTGTCCTTTTCTATTAATATGTTTTCTTAAGTAGAAAGAGACAGAATACTAATACCAGTGGGGATCAATGGCATAGTAGCCATTTTTAGTTCGAAAAACGGATTTAGATGGCGTCATTGGTATCGAATGGAATTCAACATTGTTTTGTAATCGTTTAAAACCCAAAACTATGTTTTTAAAAAGGTTTAATATATTTTTAAAAAGTCATATATAGATGTTAAAATGAAATAATGCGTTTTGAAAAGTAATTTTCATATATTTACTAATTTTGTTGCTGCCCTGTATTTGTTTACAATTTAATCATTGCTAATTGGGGCTTATTGTTTCCAAAATACTTTCATAGATGGCGCTGTTTTCATTTGTATCACCGTATTTTAAATGTTTATTTTATATTTTCAAATAATAAGTACTTACTATATTATTATGATAAATTAAACATAAAAAAAGTTTAAGTAAATATAAAACAGCTAAACAAGAAAACCATATTATTCCAGTAATACTTATTTAGAAAGTGTTGCCATATTAAAAATAAATGCATAGATTTATCGATTTTTTCGAATAATCGATAACAAGATATTACAACGCATTATTCGATGGTGCTTTTAATTAGTCTTTGCAAACAGTAAAATTTCATCATTTTGTATTATACTCTTATTTGGAACGAATTGCAATGCATAATTTTTACTCGACGACGGCAAAATAGAGAGATTTTGACAGGTATGCAAGTACTATATATTTATCTGTTCGCTCATAACTTCGAAACTTGAAGAGGGAAATATTAATTAGATTGATCTGATACAAGTGTACTCTATTATATCAACCTCCACGCGGTCACCCTGGTAATTATAGCAATTAATGACATTAGTGACATAGTTCTTCTATTAAAAAAAATAAATACCTACTTATTGTAATTTAATGAATGAGAATTGAATGTGGTATAGAGTATATAAGGTCAGCTATACCTTTATGAAACCTCAATAAACAAGTGTTATATGGTATCTAAATTACTGACATTGGTAGCTAAATATGAGGATCCTCGAATTTTTAAAAATACTCATAAGAAACTTTACATATACTCGAATTTTTGCTTTTGTAGAAGGATATTTTCAACCTTACTAAATTGTACAAGGTTTTGAAATGATAATCATTCATAATACTATGATATATTACTGATCCTAGTACCTACTATTCATGATAATTAGTTTTTTAATATCTCCATTCGAGGGTAGGTTATTCATAATTTATATTATTAGATTTCATCACAAATAAAAATATCGATTTAAAATCGTAGGTTGGTCCATATTTTTTTATTATATCGAAATGACAACGAGTACTGGCAACATAAATGAAATGTTAAAAATATAAAATATAGGAATAAAAGAATAGGATAAACGACTTTAAGTCAAATGCTTAAAACATATTTTCACTAGCATTGGATTTTTTCTCTTTTTTCATCATTTAAGTTAAGTAGGTACTTCAACTTTTGAATTGTTCCTGTTCAGAGTTCATTGAACTTCTTATTTTTTTGTCAAACTCAATAATTTAAATGTGTCTAAGGACTACTACAAATATTTAGTAAACTATCGTGTCTTTGAGGATTATCTCATACCAGGTATAACTATAAGTTGTTAAAAACTTGCATATGTATGCGTGTGTATCTTTCATATTAAAATATAATAAACATAGGTACTTGGTGACCGCTTTAATGTGGTATTATTATGTTTTTATTATTGTTATGAATGTAACTTCAAAAAACTAACACTGATTTTATAATTTTTGATTGATTGAGAAAATACTGAAAATTATTAATCAAAATAAAGTGCTAAACAGTAGTATTATTTTTATATTTTATTAGAACTGAATGAATATGATGTATGAATAATATGTTTATTGTGCTAATAAGGTTACAGTTTAGTTTCATTTATGTAAGTTCATGAAAATGTAACATGGTATATGATATTGTTTTCAGATTTTCCTGACATCAACAACTTAATACTGAACAAATTTTAAACAAATAAGAGATGATATTCTAAATCTCCTAGTCATTCAGATGAAGATAAATAACATTTTTACTGTAAAGAACAGGAGTTCAAAAGAATAAGAAATATATATATATATATATATATGAACATTTTACTGTATAAAATAATAATGCAAGTAAAAATAAGAGAAAAAAGCAGAAGAAAAATCTGTAAATTATTAATCACAATGCAATTAATAATATAATTAAATAAGTAAGAAAGCAACGGACTAGTGATGAGAAGAAATTCCAAGTAATTATATTATGTGTAACCGACTGCAAATAAGTTTATGATTTAAGCTCATGATTATTATTATATTGCTTCATCAACAAATCCAGGAATATTTTGTGTACCAGGAATTAATTATGAAATGATTTTGATGAAATATTATGTCTTGATATTGATTTATTTGGAATATAATATAAAAATAACAGAAGTGTTTGAAGTTTTAGTGGTATAACAGACAAGCAGTGAAAGAAATATTATTGTAAATTATTAACAATTGTTTATTCTGTGATTAATAAATTATTTAAAAGTGTTTTATTACCTGAAATAAAAATTATGATCTTCAAGTGTTGTGTTCATGCAATGTTAGTTTCACCTCATTCGATTTAAAATGTCAGGAATTATTTACTACATAATGATTTTGTATTAGATGGTAATCATATATATTTTTTAATGCAATGTGTATAATAATTCCCATTTACATCAAAAAACTTTGTGTAAATCTATATTTCTCTGTCTATAGACTTTGGTTGTGGAATACTAATAAGAAACAAAATCTAGAGACAGTAGTATATCACAGCATCCCAGAACCTTGTATTTAAGTCATATAAGGACTTAGTACCTACCTAATACTTGCTACTTTTTTAATCAATTAATTAATTTGATCTCAATCATCATGATGATAATGTTGAGAATACTGCCAATGATGAATTTTATGGTGGTCATAAATAAATACCACCGTCACTATCGTCAACAGTCATTATTGATCTCATCATCATCACCGTTACCCTCCTTCATCCATATTGTCAAAAGTTACTACCTACTATTAACTATGAACTGAAATGGTAAATAAGCTGACGATCCATCCAACCACGACGCTATCCGACGTACATACATACACATATATTATTAAACAGCATTACGTCATCATGTCGTGCCCGCTATATCCCGCATACGTTATCATTCCGGAGAACATAGATGTTATGTCCAAATATCCTGTAATTTCGCAGCTTAATTTCAACTGAATAACAACTTACATAAATACCAAAAAACTAGCAGTAAAGGCGTAGTTTGTAGATATCGAAGGTTCTACAAATAGGTATAACATCAAAATAAGTACCTACATGTCATTAGCACCGATGTAGTATCCCTGAAAGAACCTATACATATAACAGATTGATGGTTTGCAGATATTATTTTCAGTTTTACAAATTGTCAGTTTACCATAATTAACTACATATTGAGAAATAATTATATACTGAAAATTATATGAGGTACCCATATGCACATCAATTGATTATAGCTAAAATCTATTACTATCACATAACAATTTAAATAAAAAAAACCGTATTAAAATCGGGCTATTCGTTAAGGAGCTATTGCTCCTTAACCGATAGCCCGATTTTAGTGCAGACGCGTTAAGACATATCTTCGTCGGGAGAAAAAAGTAGGCATGTAAAAAAGTAACTGTAACATAGTACATAGATACATAGGTACATTAGCCGTGTCTGTAGACTGTCAGCGAACAATATTATACCTACATTGAATTTTCGATTGTACCCAATCAGGAGTTCGATACAGTTATATATCTATTATGTACGTATCTTTGCAAAACAGATGTCATGTAGACCGAATTCTCTGCCATCTATTTTCATGCTTTATTACTAATCACCCACTAGTAATCCGAACTGCTTCAGATATAGCGACATCTAGCGCCTACGGCGGCGAAATAAAATAGCCCGAAGAATAGCCCGAGTTAGGAAGGAACCATTTTCTTGTATGGGATGGGGTATCTGTATGTAATATTATATTATCTGTGCTAATACTTATAGGATGAGACTTTGTTTAATAAGGCGACATCTTTTTGTTGCATTCTATCCTACTCCTTCGAATAGAAATATGTTTTGATGTTGATGTTTTATCCTTCTCTAATAGGAGAAAACGGAAGAGATAGCCGCCAAACAGGAAGCCGTGGACAGCACAGTGGAGTCAGGTTTGGAGCTGATGAAGCACATCTCAGGGGACGAAGCTCTTCAACTGAAGGACAAGTTGGACGCTCTCCAGCGTCGGTACAACGACCTGACTAGCCGGGGAGCTGAACTGCTGCGCGTTGCCACGGAGACTTTGCCGCTAGTCCAACAACTATATAACAGTCACGGCAGGTGAGTTATATGAACCTTTTGTTTAGTAATCCTTTAATATCAGATTAAATATAAATTAAATGTATAATTGAATGAAAGTAGTGTGGTCAATATCTACTGAATCTTTCAATTAAACATGAAACTGTTTTCTTTTCATCAATAATGTACCAACTGATTTTAAAAGAATAAGAGTTAAGTTTCTCCATTATCCTTGGCTCGAAATTACATGTAATTACTTTTTATCATAAGTGTCATGACGATATATATTGATTTCTAATATTCATGACTCATGATAATTATTATGTAAATATACAGGCTGACCGACTGGATGGCTGGCGCCGAGTCGTGCCTACAATCAGTGGAGCCACGAGAGGAAGACATCCTGAGACTGGAGGCTGACCTACAGGAGTTCAGACCTGTACTGGACAACATCAATCTCATTGGACCCCAGCTCTGTCAGGTATTGACTATAGACCTTCATAACAGTAATATTTTTATAATAATACTAGTTATGGCCGCGTGTATATTTGTTGATCGCCCTCTATTAGCGGCAACAATAAATAGATCATCTATATATATGACGCCTTATTATTAATAAACTAGTTTTTCCAGTGCAACTTTGCATCAGTTTACCTCTTTTCTTTCCTTTTTTTGTAACACTTCATCGCAGCTCTGCACCTATTGGTCATATCATGATGTATTAGCTTATAGCATTCCTCGATAAATGGTTATTTGTATTTTATTCTTCATAATTGTCAACAGATATCACCAGGAGAGGGCGCCACCTACATCGAGGGCATTGTAACTCGCGACAACCGTCGGTTCGACGCCATCGCAGAACAAATACAGAGGAAGGCGGAGAGATTGCTGCTAAGCAAGAAGGTAGGGATGTCTATTTGAAACTAGCGATACGTCCCGGCTTCGCATTACTGTGAAGATCAACATATTTTTGTATTGAAAAGCTACGACGCTTACCACGCTACTATTACGAGATGATAATGTGAATTTCGATACTATTAGATTATATTGAGAGTAACCAATATATTTTATGTATAAAAATGTTAACCAGAACAAAACGAGAAAATTGAGTAGTCAAGGGTAACAAGTCATGAATTGAATAATAATTTATACTATAAATAATAAAAATATTATATTTATTTAATTCGATCTGTAAGAAAATAAAAATTTTTTCAAGAAGGGTATATTAAGGTTTCTTAAGGGTCGGCAACGCGCAAGTGATACCCCTGGTGTTTCAGGCGTTCATAGGCTACGGTAACCATTTACCATCAGATGGGCCGTATGCTTGATTGCCACCATAGTAGCATAAAAAAAAAAAATTCTCGCTGTGTACTTACAGTGACTATATAAAATATCTCATTGTAACGAGGATTTGTATTACAGCGTTCGCTAGAAGTAGTGGGCGACATGGAGGAAGCGATCGAGTGGCTGCGAGCTGCCGACGCTCAGCTGCGGGACGCGGAGCCGCCCAGCAGCGCGCCCGCCCGCGTGCGCGCCCAGCTCAAGCAGCAGCGCCCGCTCAACGACGACGTCGCCGCCCAGAGGGTGCGGGTTCGAGACCTGCTCAGTCAAGCCAAGAAGGTCCGTCATTTTAGCTCTCTTGATGCCACTTAACGGCGCACACGTTACAGGCCCAGCGTCATAGGTGGTCATAAGCTACGGTAACCGTTTACCGCCATATGGGAATTGTCCTGAGATACTATTATATTATTAGAATAGAATAGAAAATCATTTATTCGAGTAAACTTACATTGCAGCAGTTTTGACTAGTCATGATAAAAGAATCAGCAAGAAACTTGCGTATAGCTCTTTAAAATAATTTAGCATTTACTTTACATTTTTAAGTTGAAGTGTATAAGTAGAAACTACTAACTACCACTAATTCAATTAAACACTCAAATAGAGAAAATATTAAATATACTTCCAACTGATTGAGTAACTAAATAAGAGTAAATCAGTCGTAGTGATTAGAGCAGACAGTCCCTACAAGCAGGACTCGTTCACGAGTATGACGGATAAGCTAGCTACCACTGCTCTCGACCATATTTTAGGGCACCACGCCGCCACGTGTCTGGATATTTCAGTAAGACACTTAACCACGTCATAGCTACTTAAAATTGCCAGGCGATAAGATTACGATTAACAATAATTTGTAACACTAGGTGCTGCGTGAGTGTCAGTCGTCAGAGGAGACGGGCGTGATCCGTGAACGCAGCGAGGAGTTGAAGGAGATGATGGACGAGGTCGGCCAGCTCAGTGCCGACCGCCTCGCGGCTTTGGAGCAGGCCCTACCGCTCGCTGAACACTTCGCCGATACACACCACGGGTACTATATCACTACTACCAACTACCATTACTGTTTCCACCAACAAACCAACCACTAACAAATAACTATTATTACTAAATTAAATGTGTAATCTTTACATAGTATAAGACAAAGTCGCCGCCTCTCTCTGTCTCTTATATCTTTTCAATTACGCAACGGATTTTTATGCAGTTTCCAGCAATAGTTAGAGTGATTCAAGAGGAAGGTTTATATTTATAATACATGCGTTATATTTATATTAAGGCAAGATGAGAGATTTAAATATTAGTAATGCATCCTTGCGAAGTCAGGCGGGTCTCTAGTTACACCTAGATACTAACAAAAGGCAGTACGGCTCTGCCTGCTGATAAAACTTTAACATAATTAGTTCTTGTATATCTATCTATAATGCAAATTAGTTAATTGATTAAAGAAAGTGGAACTTTCTCCACTCACAAAATCTTTTGTACCTTAAATATAGCAAAGAAATAATTAAACTTATTTCGAGCAATGGAAGATACGAAATCAAAAGCAAAAGAAATCATTAGGCTTTAAGATACTAATACTATAAGTAGTCCACCTATAATTAAGAGGGTGCCGAGCGAATGTGCAACTAGAGGGGAATTTCGCAAATCTGATAAGGACGCGGTGGTGGGTGTAATTCATAGATGAACCTAAAACATTTACTTAGTGAGTTCTACAACTTCTTGTAGTATAGACAATATAAATTTATTAGTAAATATATATTGCAGTTTGTCGTCGTGGCTGGACGATATGGAGAAGCAGATCGAGATGTTGGCCATGCCGGCTCTCCGGCCCGAGCAGATCGTGCAGCAGCAAGACAAAAACGAGGTACATCTATAATTTTCGTTATATTAAACATCATTTATTTTACTCTTAAACTACTATACAAAAGTTACAATGCATTAGTAAGGCAAACATTCGGCTTTTGATTTATATCTGTGGATAGAAAATAATGATAACCCAGGACAGTGTTTACCCATAACATACAGAATATTTTTTATCTGAATTGACACGAGCTACGCAACGAGATACAGCTTGTTTATATATTTTGGTGTTTCGTAGATGTTGCAATCATCGATCGCCGGGCACAAGCCTCTCGTCGATAAACTGGTGAAGACTGGCGAAGCACTCGCCCGCCTCTGTGGCGAAGAAGACGCCAACAAAGTACAGGATATAGTGGAGAGTGACTGCGAGAGATACAACGCGCTACGAGCGGAGCTGCGACAGAGACAACAAGAGTTGGAACAGGTGAGTAAGCGAGATAAATATATTATTATTGAAATGTGAAACAAAAAGTTATGTTTGTCCAATCGGACGCACACTGAAAATTATGTGTTGATTTATTATATTTCTTCTTATAAGATGGAAAACGTAGAACGTGATCCGAGAGACGGCTGTAGACTCGCTCCTTAGCCTGTTGGATTCAAATACTCTTTTGAATAGATACACATTTTTTACCAACGAATCTTTCGGGAAACAATTTCAACAGAAGAACAATGAGCAAAAAACTTGCCTCTTGCCGCTTTTAAACAATTGTTGTCTAACTTTACATTTTGAAGTCAAGATATATGTGTATATACTTTTAAACTACCAACTACTACTACTACTTAATTCATTCAAGTCAGCATTTTAATACAGTTGTCGAGTAACAAAGTAAATTTGCCGTGGTCAGACCAGTTCCTTCTTGTCATATTAATATGGTTCACTGTAATTGACAGGCGCTGCAGGAGTCTTCACAATTCTCAGACAAGCTGGAGGGCATGCTGCGTGCGTTGGCTGGAACTGCTGATGCTCTGCAACACGCCGAGCCAGTCTCTGCACATCCACCCAAGATACAGTGCGTATTGTCTGTTTTACTGGATTTTAGTAACTACAATGTAATGGATCTTATAATTAGTAAGGCATACCTTGCTAATGGAATTTAATGTATTTAACAATTACTAAGACATATGTTAATGCTAAATGTTTCTATAGTAATTATAAATGATAGAAAAGCGAAATATTTGTAGATGTTTAATATAGCAGAGTGCAGTGACAGTAGTAAAAAAATGTATATAAAGAACACTTACATATAGATGAACGAATACATAAAACTTCCAGTTATTCTCATTGTAGGTATTCTAGGGAGCTACTAGGACTACTGGGGGCATTATTTATATTGCATTATATATGTGGTATGTATGTACCTGTGTCAAATTCTATATTAAACGGGGATTTGATATTATTTTTTTATAACAGAGACCAAATCGAGGAAAACAATTCCCTGGTGGAGGACTTGGAGAAGCGTCAAGAGGCGTATAATGCGGTACAACGCGCCGCGTCTGACGTCATCAGCAAGGCCAACAAGAGCGACCCGGCTGTACGTGATATACGCAACAAACTGGACAAGTTGCACAAGTGAGTACTACTACACTTTACACAAACAGTACGGCTCCGTTACTGTATCACTGAGAATGAAAGAGATGAGATTATATTCGAGTGAATGTATGCAATAAGGCGCTTATTGATGTCCAAACTAGATTGAATCTTATTGCGTTATTACCAGAGTTGCTTTTTATTTAAAGTTCCAAACTCTTTAGTCCTTCAGGTTTATCAAACAAGTATTTTTAATAAAAAGGCCTTATTATAAATGTTGTTTGTAAATTTGAATTTAACTATGAAACAATATCATTATTACAGTACCATTAGTTGAAAATAATTGAAACTATAAAATCTTTTTTTTTTTTACCTTCTAGACTACTTTTTAGACAGAAGTCTGTTTGTTCCCGATCTTCTCCTGAAAATTCATTAATATCCGTTTAGAGGCTTGTGAAAATTAAGCAAATAAACAAGCGATCACACTTAGGCATTTATAATATTAGAATAATTTTTATCTTACATTAATTCCACTCGATTGTTTCCACCAGATTATGGAACGACGTACAAAAGGCTACGAACGATCGCGGCCAGTCTCTGGACAACGCACTGGACATAGCTCGCAAGTTCTGGCAGCAGCTTGACGCTGTGATGGCCACGCTCGCCGAACTCGAGGACACCCTCACGGCCCAGCCGCCGCCGGCAGCGCAACCCAGAGCCATCCAGGCGCAGCAGGTCGCCCTGCAGGAGATCAGGCACGAGATCGACCACACCAAGCCCGAGGTATGTTTTAATAGCAGATACGAAAAAAAATTACCAACCAATCCAATTATAGTACACTTACTGATTTCAAATTTTAAATTCATGTTACAGTGATGTAATAGTAACGGTATAAATTATAAAATTGCCAAAGTAGTAAGGTCACAAAGATGTCAACCCTTTAACATACAGTATTAATTAATATGATAATTCCATGATAGCTTACAGACTTAAAAGTATCTCAAGCATCCCAATGGATATTTATTTATTTTATTTGACATAAATCTAATCTAATCTAAGATCTGTCTGAATAGAAGAAGAGTTTATCCTACTAACAGGATGTGCAGAAGACATCTCTATTTAGCCTGACGGACGTCAGGCATCAAATATTCAAGTAGAGTGGAACTTCTAGTTTTTTAAATATATTATCTTACACATACAAAGTATATACTACATCTAATTACTAATAAATAATAATAAACCTTATTATTTTATCACTTAGTTATCGTTTGCAAATTAGCATAATTTCTATTAGCAAATAGGGAGTATTGTGCAACTGTCAACGAATGTATAATCTACATGGCTCTTACTAATTTCATAGGTGGAGAAAGTCCGCAAGACAGGATCAACTCTGATGTCACTATGCGGAGAGCCCGATAAGCCAGAAGTCAAGAAACACATGGAAGATCTGGATAATGTTTGGGACAACATAACAGCACTGTACGCAAGGCGAGAAGAGAACCTGATCGACGCTATGGAGAAAGCCATGGAGTTCCATGACACATTACAGGTAAATATAATTAAGATCATGTAGAATTTATTCAAAAAATCTGTATGCAGTTGTTTTAGTAATATATAGCTCAATTGGTAAATATACTGCTGAACAAATATTGAATATGATAGAAAAGTATGGTAAGTTACAAACCTTTTTTAGTTTTAAGTAACAAATTACTATTCTGTAGCAAAAATATAACTATAATGAAATGTTTCATGATAATAATCTATTAAATAATTGTTCTAGAATCTGCAAAAGTTCCTGGATACCGCCGAGGACAAGTTCTCTCGCATGGGTCCGCTGGGGTCCGACATCGATGCCGTCAAACGGCAGATCGCCCAACTAGCCACCTTCAAGCAAGAAGTCGACCCACACATGGTCAAAGTCGAAGCACTGAACAGGTATATATTACGTTATATTTATTAGTTATTCACGCCATATCTCTTATGGAATGCACGGGGAAAGTGTATTATCCTGACATAACTTGAAGTGATTATATCTAAACTGTTTACAAATTATTATTATTTGTTATCATTATACTACAGCTTCTGAGGGAAGAAATATTCTGTTGTCGTTGGGCAGCTATAAACATTTTTATGTCAATACTTAATTATTAATAAAAAAGACAGTATATTATTCTCGTCTATATTTTAAATAGTGTTTTAGAGTATATGGTGATGGTAAATAAAAATAGTTAGTTAATCATTATCATAATTACCTGGTAATATGAAATGTATTTTCCAACATACATATTTAATCCCCCATGTCACTGACATAGCACAAGTCCCAATACCAATAATAATGTTCTTTTGACTGACAGTCAATTTGTTACTCACTGATAGTCATTAATTAACAACTGCTGAGTTGTAAAGTTTTATTGATAATAGCTTTAAACGTAAAATAAACTAACGTTAGCTATTGAAATGTTTTGTCCTTTCTTAAGATATACTGTGATGAAACGATCTAATAGTGTATATACAATCTAATAGAGAAAAATAAAAAGAGATCATACGTAATGTTTGTGTTGATATATTTAAAATACATAAGTATTTTCATTATTTTTAAATACATCATGTGTCTTTGAATTTACGAAGCACAATTATTATTTTAATGTATTACGATTCTAATCTAATGCCAGTTGACTGTAACTAGACTGTCAGTCATCAAGTACATAGCACCATACTAATCGTGTATTTTTCTATGCGTTACCCTGTGGATTGGAAACATGCAGAAGTCTAATGAGGCAAGAATATTACCTTATTTGAGTGTGCCGCTTATGTTCCGTATGTTATAGTTGGATGTAAACACAATTAACATAGTAATATTAGGTTTTTGCTCCAGATATATTTTATACAATTTAACAGTATTATTAATTATATGGGTTAAAATTAAGATGTGTATTTCGACATCTTAAATGTACATGTATGCAAAATTTGATGATGATTGGTATCCCAATCGCGTGGAACCTTAAAAAAATTACTTTCGCCCATATGATGATAAGAGGGAAACGTCTCCTATATATCGTCCTATATAAAAGACACGACGCATACCACAGTACTATATGACATCCGTGATAGCACTCATGCGTTGTCATTCTATAGGACTAAGGTCCTGTAATTACACTGCCTAACCTGCACCCTACACACGAAACACAGCATACAAAACAAAGTTGCTTGGCGGCTGAAATAGGTACCTCAAACTTTGTAATAAGACGTGTGTGGGTACGGAGTAGCGTTGCCACACGTCCCGTATTTCCCGTATTAATTGTCCCAGCGGGACTGACTCTGTCCCGTATTCGAATAGTGCTCCGTTTTTTTATTATTAAATTGATCGATATACGCTAGACAATGTGTCTTTTCATAATTTGTCCCGAATAAAAAACTAAATTCCCCTATTTTTTTTGCCTTGTTAGGCTTTTTTAGGCTAAAAAAAATCTGGCAACTCTAGTACGGAGACACTTATTACAAACTTTACCTTAGTAAATAGTTTATATCCTAAATTAATTCTGAGATCACATTCTATTTATCTGGAGCAATAACTATTGTAGTTTTGTAACATTATAACTACGCATGTTTGTAGATTCATATACCTACTTAAGACAAGCGGTTTAACCAGCAGTTGTCTATATGTATGAACATTGTATTCCATTGTCCTATTATAGATTGAATTGTGTGTATTTGTCCTTTGTAATATACTTGTTATGTGTCGGTATTTATTAAAAAACTGCTTTAATTTTATATAGCTGAATTCACAAATAAGGTGAATGTTACATTCCTATAAAAATACCTTATGGCCTAGTGGTTTATAAACTTAACGTAGACAGATATGTCGTAAGTTTTATTCTGTCTGTCTTTATTTGTCAATTTATATTTTTGACTGACTTTCCAATGAGAAACACTGATAATAGTTAAAAAATATCGAATATTCCCCTCTTTATGTTAGATTAAAAAATACACAGGAAAGTGTAGGCATGTGAAGTGTTTTGCTTACTACAACATCGACAGTCGATAATGCTTCTGAAGATCTCAGCTGGAATAAGTATTAGGTATACGTCTAGCCTAAATCCACGTAATGAACCACTACGCCCCTAGGCTACATTTACAATAACAAGATATAGACAAATATTATAATATTTATATCACTTAATCAAATTATGAGAATATAACATCGCCTTATTACCTAAACAAGAAAGTGCAAAATCCTAACAAATAAATCATCATACAGACAAGCGCAAGAGTTGACGGAGCGCACATCATCGGAACAGGCGGCGGCTATCAAGCAGCCGCTGACAGAAGTGAACACGCGCTGGTCGACACTCCTCAGGGGTATGGTCGAACGGCAACAGCAGCTTGAGAGAGCGCTGCTCAGGCTTGGACAGCTGCAACACGCACTGCAAGAACTCCTCACCTGGATACAGAACACTTGCGACACCCTCGATACTTTACGGCCCGTGAGTATTATCGTAAATCATTAGCCTTGTTCATAAATATAAAATACTCAAATATGTCAAGTAGGTATAATAATATAATGTATAACATATGTTCATCTGGAATAATGTTATTAGCGAACAATGGTACACATTTTAAAATCTGAAAAATTAATTATTGCATATTGGAAAAATTATAAATAAAGTAAATGGTGTTCGTTTACTAAGTTGTTTTTAGTCAAAAAGTAATAATAGTGTACTCCATTTTCATCCTTCAGTACTAGGTTTAATACCAAACTATCATCTGTATTAATATAAAGTATAAATAACTCAAATAAGTTTAACTTCCATGTATGACCCCACAACAAAAACCTCCTCTATATATATCCATCCTCGATAAAGTTTATTAAAATTAAATCTTTGTACCGCTAGGTGGCCGGCGACCCCCAAATCCTGGAGGTGGAGCTAGCCAAGCTGAAGGTGCTGGTGAACGACATCGCGGCGCACCAGGCCAGCGTGGACACCCTCAACGAGGCCGGCGCGCAGATCGTGCAGCAGGGTACGGGTATGTGCCGGCCGCTTGTGCTTTCCTCCATTATAACTTTCTACTCATACTTCATAGTTATCCATGGGCGTAGCCAGACATGGGCTCAGGGCAGGGTAGGCAGCAGTCTAAAATATTATGGCGCAGTCTTACCCCTATTATTTTTTCATGCAAAACGGTTACACCCTATAGCACCCTGTATCTGTGTGTTATTTTTTGTGTCGACTGTCGAGTAGTGGAGAGTGAATTTTATTAAGTATCGTAGTTAGTACTTAGATAATTTATTTTATTAGGTTTACTATAAGAAATCGCCTGCCTGAGTACCTCAGACTCGCATATATCCATCGTTATCTTACAAAGCAAGCTGCTTGAAGCTTGCTTGGTAAGCTGTTTCGGTTGTAGAGTGCGAGGCAGTGGAATTACAGGATAAAAGGCAATTTTAATCCTCTAGAATGGAAACGCATGAGTGTCATATAATAACGTGATGTCTGTGATGAGTGTTATTCATGTGCCTCAATGTATGTGTTCTCAGTTACATTTTGCTTGGACTGTCAGCTTGTTTTCAATTCCAATTAGATAAAAATATCAGTCACTGCCATGAAGATTTCATAGAGTTAATACATTTGTCATAACTGAAACATTTTCTAAAGCCAACATAACTTATGTATCCACCGTTCTTCTACATGTATCGTGCGTCATGCACTAATGCTTTACGCTTTGTGTGTTCGTGTGTCATATATGTATATTAACTTTTAGATTATACAGTATGTATATACATTAAAATTTTATCTATCATTTTAATGTTGGAAAAAATCTAAATATGATAAATCATCAATTGTATGAATTATTGACATATGTTATTGCATTGTCAATAATTGCATTCATTATTTCATACAGCGTAGGTTAGGCAGATCAACATACAGTTTCTTCAGATTAAAGAGTTTATTACTTAATATATAGAATACTATAATCTAATCTATGTAAAATTTTACTGTAATTGACCACGGTTTATTTTAATCCAATTTCTAAACAATATGTAAAAAAAATAAATAATACATTCATACTTAGCAATTATTGAATTAATAACTATCTTCGAAAATGCTCCTAAACACAACAGGTACGGACGAAGCGGGCGAGACGGCTGAGAAACTGGCAACGTTGAACAGAAAGTGGCGAGAATTGCAGCAGAAGGCTAGAGATCGACAGACGGAACTCGAGGATGCGCTTAGAGAGGCTCAGAGGTGAGTAGCAAAATCAGTTTGTCATCCAATCATGTAAATATGACGGAAAGTAACCATGTACACATACATACATATCGATACAAATATTAGTACATACAAGAGCCTCAATTGAGTATATATATGTTTGTATTGATCGAAAATCGAACATTGAACGATGAAGTAGTATTTGTAAAACCACTACACTACAATGATAGTCTAATTTTTTTTTATTAAATCAATGTTTTCCTTTTAGCTTCAATGCTGAGATTGGCGATCTACTCTCGTGGTTATCAGAGGTGGACAGTGTCATCGCAGCATCGAAACCCGTCGGCGGTCTACCCGAGACTGCTTCGGAACAGCTCGAGAGATTTATGGTGAGATAATATAGATTTGTTTTATTAAACAATCAAATATGATACAGAAGCTGGACTTAATGCTATAGCATTATCTAGCATAAAACCTTAGTGAAAAGCAGAGATTCGCGATGGCGACTTAAAAATAACTTCATATATAAATAAATAATGGGAAATGCCTTGTATCTAAATGTACACTGTTCAAATGAAATCATTTAATTATTAATATATTTGTACTACGATTTTGATGAAGAAATTGTTATAGTGTAGAAGTAGGTTTCTTGACAATTTAAATATATAGACAAAAAAAGAAAATTTCGATACAATTATTTGATGATAAATTAAAACTTTCCTATTTTTTGTGCATAATTTTCGCAGTCATCTAAGTATAACAATTTTAAAAATGCCGTACTTTAATAATAGTATATAATTGCTCAGTTATATACTGTTACGTTTATGAATAGAAAAAATGCTGAATTCTGTTAATTCATCAACAGGAGGTATACAACGAGATTGAAGCCAATCGTCCTAAGGTTGAAGCCGTATTACAACAAGGTCAAGAGTACCTCAAGCGGCAGGACAAACCCAACCCCACCTCGCAACTGCACCATAACCTCAAGAACTTGAAGACCAGATGGGACAGTGTTACAGCTAGGTAATATATTATTTTAATTTATTTACGCACCAACTTATGGTCAAAAGATAGGTAAAATATGACAGTCAATAAAAAAAATACCTTCTTGTTACTAAACTCCTATTTTAATTCCACTCAATCTCTTACAGAGCGTCAGATAAGAAGATCAAACTGGAGATAGCGCTGAAGGAAGCGACTGAGTTCCATGACGCGCTGCAGGCGTTCGTGGACTGGCTGACCAGCGCTGAGAAGACCCTCACATCCGCCAAACCTGTCTCTAGGGTCATGGAGACTTTACTCAGTGAGTATACCATTATTATACATACAATAAAATGCCATATGTCATCTCCACCTGCTTTTATATGTGATGACGGCCTCGGTGGTCAAGCAGTTTAGCACACCGCCTTTTACGTTTGTCTTCATGACTATAATTGTTAGTAATGATCTGACTTTTTTCAGAAAAATAATATTGCATATGCATTATAGAAAATACATATTCACAAAAATACTCGTATAAATATAATTGTAATAATATAGTCAGGGTCTAATGAACGAAATTAATATTTTATTAAAATTCACAGCTCAAATCGAAGAGCACAAGTCGTTCCAAAAGGAAGTGGCTACCCACCGCGAGACCATGCTCCACCTGGACAAGAAGGGTACCCACCTGAAATACTTCAGCCAGAAACAAGATGTGATCCTCATCAAGAATCTTTTGGTCTCCGTACAGCATCGGTGGGAGAGGGTGGTGTCGAAAGCTGCGGAGAGAACGAGGGCTTTAGACCATGGTGTCAAGGAGGCCAAGGAATTCTCAGATATGTGGTGAGTTATATAGTACTTAATATTATGACTGAACACTCTGTTTATAATATCAGCATAAGTGATATAAATTCTGTAGCTAGTAATACATGACTTGGTATTTGATTTGTTTATTAATCTGTGTTATGACAACACAGGAACAACTTGATGAATTGGCTCTCTGATACTGAACAACAACTGGACCAACTCAACTCGGAGGCTACCGTCAACGACCCGGAGAAAATTAAGCAGAGGTTAGTGTTTAATTAAACTGAAATAAAATATGTTAATAACTATAACTAATTAGGCAGTGACCTAGTTGTTACTAGTATGGCGATACGCGGTAAGTTCAAATGTGGGGGACACAAAAAAATTGTTAGTGGCTATTTATTTTCTTGACTGAATCTCAAAGAATGTAAAGACGGGTAACAAATCAAACTAGGTCGAGCAACGACCGTAAGCCGTAATGCCGCCTGCGACGTCTGGTTCTAATATACTCGGCGAAAATGGGCATGTTAGGTGTTGGATTTATCACAACGTCGACAATTATGAACACCTCTGACTACACTATCTGACATAACAGTCGTGAAGTCGTGGTACATATTTTATATTTTATTATTATTGTGTATTTTAAATAGGTTGCACAAACATCGCGACTTCCAAAAGTCACTTGCCGCTAAACAACCTGCATACGATCAAACAATGAAGACAGGCAAACAGCTCAAGGATAAGGCACCCAAGTTCGACGAGAATACGCTGAAGACGATGATCAGTGATCTTAAGTCGAAATGGACCACTGTTTGCTCGAAGGCTGTGGATAGGTAAGTCAATATTTTATTGTTTAAACTGGCGACACGCCCCGGCTTTGCTGGGTCCTATTAGTATAGTAGAGATACGATTTTTTAAAAATAAAATGTATGTATTCCACTGAAATAATATTTAAAATCGATGGATTAATACGTCACCAACACAATCAGACAGAACTTGCTGATGTTAAGTGATAAACATGATATCACAATCGTTGGCCCCACAGATATTACGTCAACATGTGACATCCATGATAGCACGATACCATTCGTGATGTCATGATGCCATACCTGAGCACCCTGTATTATCACTGCTTAATTGCACCCCATAAACGAACCACCTCTTAGGCAACAAGGAGGTTGTTGGCTGAAATAAGTGAAACAAGGTGCCCACTAAGATTGTAGAGACCATTTTGTATAAAGTCGTGCTCAATATTTCATCAAGATACCAAGATATATTACCAGTAACATTTGACAATATAACTGTGATGTCCATCCACAGACAACGCAAACTGGAAGAGGCGTTGCTGTACTCCGGCCAGTTCAAAGACGCGATGTCAGCTCTACTGGACTGGTTGAAGAAACAACAGAAGGAACTTGGTAGTGACTCTCCCGTGCACGGTGATCTCGACACCGTGATGGCTCTTATTGAACAGCATAAGGTGAAATATATATCTAACTATCTTATATATAAAATTCTCGTGTCACAGTTTTCGTTCCCATACTCCTCCGAACGGCTTGACCGATTCTCATGAAATTTTGTGAGCATATTGAGTAGGTCTGAGAATCGGCCAACATCTATTCTAATTTTTTTTTTTTATTTTATGGCAAAACAACGTTTGCCGGGACAGCTAGTATTCTATAAAGATATACTGCGTCCATCTTCGTGATATGAGTACAAACTATCTTTGCGTCAAATTTCATTAAGATTTGTACCGTTTCGATGTTGAAAAGTAATAAATAGGCTTAGAAACAAAACATCTTCGTAATTACAATATTAGTATGGAAACACATAATTTTTATCTAATAAGCCTTGTAAGCGCTAAAATATTTCGGATTTTAGTAAAATTGTTTAATACTCATTTGAGTGGTCATCAATTCATTCCAAAATAGGAATGAAATGTTTTTAAAATTTGGCAAAACTGACACATTGGTATTCATTAGTATATTATGTATATTTGTATTCGATTAAGTCTTGGTGTGCTTCGTGTTTTCAAAGAAATATAATTAGTCTCTATCAGCATAAGTTTTGCTTAAGTCTAAACAAGATGGACTATAATTGTCAAAAAACATGCAGAACTCCTCTAACAAAATAATTCCAACAGCAATTCGAAGAGGACCTGCATTCACGCGAGCAGCAGAAGCAGTCGGTGCTGAAGACAGGCAAAGAGTTGGAGGCGACTGTACCGGTAGAGGACGCGTCCGCCATCCGACAGCAGTGCAGCGAACTGCAACGCATCTGGGACCAAGTAATTGGCCTCAGCGACCGAAAGGCTACCAGACTCGAAGCTGCACTCAAGGAGGTAAGCGTACATAACACTTAACTTTACATTTAAGGCTGTTGCAACGAGAAAGGATGTTTGTGGAGTCTATTAGACATCAGTGGTCTCACTGTTTAACACACTTTACTTATAAGATGGTCGCCCGTTCGATTCTGTTTATATATATGCATATAAACATATATTTAGAAGTATTTGTATGTTTATATTGATCTACGTGGCATAAGTATATATATAACAAAATTCTAGAAGTATCTCTATTAGTTGTTTAGTGTCCATAGTACAAGATGTGCTTAGTTTGGGACTATGTGGACTGTTCCAAGATTATTCTTTTAGATTTTTTGTACTGGAATGGCAAACATGCTGACGTCCATTTAACTAACGGTAACTGTTGCTCTTATACATGAACATCACAAATATCTCTCATTCTTGCCATTCCTAAGAGTTATCCTTCAATGTACCTACTATACACAATAATTATACTGTTACCACATCATAGTTGTTAAACCAAAACACATATTACAAAATAGTTGTTTGGCATCATAAATAAGTGAGACAGAGGCATTTTGTACAAGACAGAAACGACTTTGTACAAAGTCTACCTCAATATTCGTAAAACTAATAGAACTTGTCATCGTCACCAGGCTGAAAAACTACATCGCTCCGTCAACATGCTCCTCGAATGGCTCTCCGATGCCGAGACCAAGCTCCGATTCTCTGGCCAGTTACCTGAAGGTGACCAGGAGACGTTGCAACAGATAAGAGACCACGAGCGGTTCATATACGAACTCAAAGAGAAACAGAAAGACAAAGAAGAAACCATCACTCTAGCACATTCCATATTGGGCAAGGCTCATCCAGACGCGGTGACGGTCATCAAACACTGGATCACGATCATCCAGAGTAGATGGGATGAGGTGAGTTTGTTTTACAATTGTTTAACAATGTTTGTATATATACTGTATAATATTGTATAAATTGTTTTTATAATATGTATAATATTGTATAAATTTACATGTTTGTATAAATACTGTACTCTTGTCTGAACATAATTATTGAATTGAATGACAATGAACGATAAATATATTAACAGTTCTTTCTGTCATTCAATTACGTCACGTACAATCAGTAATTGGTTACAATTTTGTTATATGTATTGAATACAGATATATTATCATAGTTATTTAAATTTCGTATGTGATAAAGTATATAATTATCTATAATTATCAATGTATGGACTATGCATTTTGATTAGAACTTAATCGTTAGTATTATATATTTATGTAACGTACTGAACGTGATATATAAATAATATATAAATTATGAGTGGAATACATAAACCTCGCGTGCTCGTAGCACAAGTTTTGCCTATAATACGGATTTTCTCAAAAGCAACTCCTGGTCAGGTAATTGCCTTATCTTTATTTAATATTGCTGTGGTTATACTGTAGTTTCACTGGACGAAACCACTGGTACCACTCATGTGTTACCATTCCGTGGGAAGTAAATAATGCATTGACACATACAATATAATTAGTTTTAGCTATGAATATATTGATTCCATCAGACAGTTGGCCTGTATCATATATTTTTTTGGAATATATGATGAATATGAAAAGTGCACCCGTCTGCGTTTGTATTATACGCTACCGGAGTACCAATAGAGGATGCTAGAATGAGGATGAAGTCAGCTCAATTAGTATCACCCATCGTGGCAAATTCTCCAGGAATTAAACACGAAGGTTTCAAGTAGTGACCGAGTAGAGGTTAACCTGTACAGTACTAGTAATGGGGTTACTAGTCCCATAACTAACAATGCTCTCCCCCGCCCCTCGTATTATATATTAGACACCAATTTTGATGATTGAATGTTAAACAGGTATGGCAGTGGGCAATGCAGCGTGGAGGCAAGTTGGAGACGCATATGCAGAGCTTGAAAGATCTGGATCTCGTGCTGGAAGAGCTGCTTAAGTGGCTCATCGGCTTAGAAAGCACTCTGCTATGTGAGTATTAAGAATATATTTATTTTTATTTAAATGAAATTCCTGGCAAACAAGCTGACGGCCCATCTGGGTATAACCATATTTTGAAATGAACTAAAAAAAACATATTTTTAGATAATATTTTGTCATAGATTATATTGTGTTGTTTTCATTTGTGTGCGTAAGTAATTGTGAACTATAACAGTAAACAAGCTTATGGGACGTTTATTTGATGGTAAGTGGCTCATTATGGAGAACTAAGGCATCGTGCTTGGTTACTCTGTAATTTCACTGCCTATATACAAAGTATATTTCGTTATAGTATGAGACGAATTAGCACTTTACGGTTTGTGAGGAGATATTCAATATAAATAAATAATTCTGCATTTAGCCTTGGAATCGGAACCACTGCCGGAGTCTATTGAACTACTGGAAGGACTGATCGAAGACCATAAGGTGCTAATGGAACACACGCAGAAGAGGCAGAACGAAGTCGACCGCGTCTGCAAAGCGTACCAGGTTAGTATAATACAATAATAATTATAATTTCAGTAAAAAGTATTCTAGGTAATCGAGGATATGATCGTCTCTGGGCCGTTCGTATTTGTTCTTTGTATTCAACATCAATGACAAGCAAGCTGATGGTAAAAGACTACCATCGTCTATATATATGTGTAGCAACATAGCCGTCACGTGATCGTATGACGCCTTCATGCTTCGCCAAAGGATTAAGATGTATTATGGCGGTAAGACCCGCCTTTTGAAATTCATTTTCTTACTTACTTATTATTATTAAATAAATAAATTAAATGTAGAAAATAAAATATAGTTTTCCAATAAGAAAATAGACCAAATTTGTTAGAATAAAAACGTCTACATTCTTACGATTGTTTATGGGTGTATGTCTAACATTATATTTTTAATTACAGGTCAAGAACCAAAGCCAAGGACGCGAGTCGACTCCAAGGAAAGTGTCGGCCAAGAGCGCCACCAAAGGTGCACCTGGGTACGTAAATTTGAACACTTTCATAAGAAGGTACAATTTCGTAGTTTATGTGTATTGTTTTTGTTATATGTTCTCTCGTTCATTTATCATTTTGTTTCCGTCTCTCACGTGTCATGCGCATTCATCGCACGTCCTCACTGTGGCGTCATTGCATGGTATGTCGCTTGGAACCGTGTACGTACAGACGTGGATCGCAGCACGACCTCAATAGAGACAGATCTGTTTCACCTGATTATTACGGCACCAGACGTTACAGGTGTGTTTTTGTTTGTTTCTTTAATTTAATTACGTTATTTTATGTTATCCTCTAATTTATTTATTTTTCTGTACTCTATTAAGTTAATTCATTAACATTTTCACTATTTTCTTATGAGGTAAACCGGAATGATAGTGTTATGACTTCCTGTTAAGCTTCGAGGTTTTACAATCTTTTTCCGAGTGTGGTACAGTCAGAAAAATAATGTATGTGTCGAATACAGTAGCAGCAGTAACCCAACAAGAGACCTTATGAAAAATAAGATATTGAAATTTCTTAACTGTTATTAACTGCTTTATCTAAAGTATAAAATAATTGCAATATATCAACAGACGATTAGTGTATAGGAATGATTTATACATTTGTTTCTCCCGTTGCTTTGTCACACAATCCAAAATATACATAAAGAGACGTTTGGATGATTTAAGATTAGCGGTTTTAATACTGACAGTATGAAAAATAAGAAAATCTACTAACTATTTACCAGGAAATTACAATGGTATCATTCTCTACATTTTGCCACTCACTACGATTTCTCGTAAAGAATATATGGAACCAGAAGCCAGTGGCAGTATTTTTGAAGCTGTACCACGTTAACCAAGAGTCAAAGTGGATATATAAACTACTGAACCAATTTTCTATGAAATTTGACTCGGAGAATGTAATTTGAGTTATTTTAGTTCAACTTCCAACATACCTCAAAAACAAATTCATTTTTTAACCTTTAGATCTCCACTATGGTTCTTGAAAAAATTTGTGCAGTTTCTTGTAAAATCCATGGCTTTTCGTTTAATACATCAATTTTGATTAGATCGATTATAAAAGAGATCATGTATGTATGTAATAAAGGTATCTGGTGTAAAAAGTTACTTTGTAATACCAATTTCAATTATTTAGAATCCCTAAAGCATTTCGTTTTGTTTTAATATTGTATAATGATAAAACAGTACTTTTGTCTCATAATAATATAATTTGAAATCAGATACATACATAAATTTCTAAGTATTGAAATTGGGTAGGTATAATAAATGTTTCATTTTCTCTAGAAAATGTTATGTCATCGTGAATTAACTGGTCTAATGCTTTTGTGTCATTTTAATCAGTGTTATCTCAATTTGTCGTTAGAAGATATAATTAATCAAACAATTGTTTTGACGACTCGGTGCAGAATAAGGAGCTAATATAGCAAATTCAGAGCTAGCTCTGAAGTTGTTACCAAAACCCTTGTTAGTATAAAAAACATTTTTTTTAATTATAATTTAATAAAAAAAAATGTTTTTTTATACTAACAAGGTGTTTGAAATTGATTATTTGAAACAGACAATTCCTTTCTAGTACTATATTACTGTTATAAATCTTTATTATATTTTTACCTGGGTAGACTTGGATATGGAATGAATTTTTATTCATTATGGGTACCACAGTCAAGGCTTATTTCTAACCCCAAGTACCTTACTTTGCCGTTTACCCTAAAAATATAAAATATTCGAAGCTACTCACGATACTTTGTAAAGTTAGCTCCTTATTCTGCACTTAGTCTCATATTGTTTATATTATTTGTCGTTGTGCGTCACTCGTCATGTTACAATGAACAGATTAGGCCGGCAATATACAGTCGATCAGTCGTCAGGTTACCCAGTTAGCAACTCCGATTGGCGCCAATCGGCGGCTTTATAATATCATCTAGCGACAAATTATATACAGCTTTGTTATGCTCTAATACCTTGTAAATGTGGCTTTCTGTCTCGTTCTTATGTCGCACTCCCTTCAACACGGCAGATCCCGGATACACAGTCGAAGTAGGACAGGAAGGTTTGATCAATTTATTTTAGGGTTGTCTCTTTTTAGGGTTTTTAATAGTAGCAGTAGATGTGTGCGGCTTTGCGTTATTGTAGATTAATAATTGTGTTTTTGAATTATTATATATTATATGTATAGCATGAATATTAGTGATATTTTCCCAAAAAAATATGTAACTAAATAAGTAGTACTTTAGTAGTTTTAACTTGGATCTTTTTCTTCTCGCTTTCTTGTATGCAGTCGATTTGGATTCTATTTTAGGTAAATATGTATTTTTTATGTAGAGTAAAAAAACACATTTTTGTTTTCAATTTTGATCAGATCAGAATATCTGTGTACAAATTTTAAAGTAGAAACAATCTCATTATATTGCTTATAGGACAATTCAAGAAATTATATATAATAAAAATATTTTCGAAAGAACGTTTTAAAAGTAACAAATATATAATAAAACAACTGTTTTTTTTAAATATTTTAATGTTGTATGGGAGTATTTAAAATAAAAATATGCATGCTTAATAACACTCAGGGCTGCCAAAAGCACTTTTAACTAACTTTTAACATTTTCACTTGGCAAATTAATCGTTTAAATTACATTTACGTTTAAACATAGGATGTAGTACTAATCATAACGTCTGGTTTAATGTGGTAGTTTTTTTTTTTAATATTTAAAAGGAAGCATATAATAGAAATTCAGAGGAATAAAATGACTATCAACAAAACGCTTAAAAAAATCTTATATTATTTTTCAAATTAAACATAAAAAAAGTTCAGAAATTCAAACACAGATTAAATAAGCTACGGCTTATTAGTACCTAACTTAAAAAGTATGCTTCCTGAGTAATTAGTGACTAACAAACAGTACGGGAACTAACAGCGCACCTTCACCGCTAACCAGGTAATGTACTAACGTGTGGTGATGTGATGTTGTTTGTAATAATGATGCGTGTGCTCCAGCCGTGTGAGCCCCGGCCGGGACAGTCCAGATCGCAATCTACCACACTACGGCCCGAGGTTCCCACCGAAGGGAAGGTAAGTCGCTTCAATTACCCTGTTTTGATTCACTTGGTTGCTGGTGTTCCGCGATCTTCGTAAGGAATCGTATAGGAGCGAGTAGGGGACCTGAAGATCCCTAAGATCTCTGTGCTTCGATTAAAGAGCCCTATACAGGTTTACTAGCAAAGAGTATACCATGCAGGCTGCCAGTGAAATAGTATTCGTGTTCGTGTTTCCTCGAGAAATAAAAGGAAATATTTTAAATATTGTGTTAAAAAAGTATATTCTTCGTACCATTTTTTCTCTTGTTAAAAGTGTACTCTGTTTTTGGCATGGGACATTACCTTTACTACTAATTTATATATTAGTTTATATTATAAAAGAAAATATACGTTACGTACGTTTTTTTATACGGATTAAGTGAACACAAACCTGATTAAAAACATATTTTTGTATAGAAATCTATATTGCACTACGATAATATTATTAATAAAACAAAAATTCCAATCTCTTGTCTCTCTATAATATCAAAGACGATTTAATTGAAAATCCAAGTGAATTGAAATCTGTCCTTATTAAAATGTGTACGTCACAAAAAACCGTCGTAACATCTTAGGCGATGCGATGGTTAGCGTTGATGCGACTTACATATTTTGAAGATACCTATTCTACATTCGCTTAATAGGGTTAATGTACGCTGAATAATTTTAATAGGACGCCACTATCTATAAGCGATGCTTTTGTGTATTTATTGAGCTATTTGTGACAACTCTAAATATATGTTATTTGGATTGAATTTGAATGTATTGCAAGTAGAATGTATTCTTATTAGATTTATTGGTTTTTTTTTATGAATTTGGGTTAAGCATGATATAAATAGAGTTCGCAGTAAATTAAATAGTACATATATTATTTATAGTCTAAGTTACAACCACGTGTAATATATACTAAATATAATATAAATATTAATTTGAAAATACAACAATATCAATTGTCTAATTTTCAATACAATGTGGGTACTTATTCTGAAAAAATGCAATATGATTATTAAAACTAATATCTTTAATTTTAATGAAGTAGCTATTCTCAAGTTATTCTATTAATTAGTAAATTAATTGGGTTAATTAACTTCTCTATAATATATTATTTTTAAAACTTTTCAAATGCTTTATTTAAACATCTAGAAATACACACGTTTTAAATAATGATTCATTTATAATAGGAAATTAGTACATTTACAGACGAAAAACCTCCAAATGTAAACAAACTAATATGAACATTATGTTTATGCAGCAAAGGCGCAGAACCGGAGTTCCGTTCACCGAGAGTCAAACAACTGTGGGACAAATGGCGTACAGTGTGGCTGTTAGCGTGGGAAAGACAGAGACGACTACACGAGCGTCTCGCTCATTTGAAGGAACTGCAACGAGTATCGAACTTCAGCTGGGATGATTGGAGAAAGCGGGTAAGTGGTCTTTGTAGTGTCGGATGCTGATCCGAATCCGAAGTTTCAAAGAAATTTAGTGAAAATCGTAATATAAATTTTCTAACGAGTTATTACAAACTTATGTTCAAATTCGGTTGCTATAATATTTGCTTTGCTTTATACTTTTACTCCAGTTAAAGTAATTTTCAGACTAGTCAGTACAAGAATATAAACTAGAACCAATAAATATATAATATTCTGAATTCGTGTAATCTACAGTGCCTTCTAGTTCATAAACATGTCCATAATTGTATCGTTTTAAACTCTTATAATTTGTCAACAGTTCCTGAAATTCATGAATCACAAGAAGTCACGTCTGACGGACTTGTTCCGCAAGATGGACAAAGACAACAACGGCTATATACCCAGGAACGAGTTTATAGATGGCATCATCGGCACCAGTAAGTAATATTCTCTCCATATAGCGCCATCTAGTCCCAAAGTACGCAGAGCTTATGTTGTAGATACTAGACAACTGAAACAACTAGGTACTTAAATATTTTTTTCTAAACATAAACGTAATATACATATGAAACTACCAGACCTGTACAAACAACATGAATACAAGTTTGTACCATATAATGGAACCCGCCACCATCGAAAGTAAAGGAATTGGCTAATCCGTTAGACCATGGAGCCCGTTATAAGATTGTAGATTTAAACTCTTTATAATAAAGTATATTTTCGTGCAGAATTCGACACATCCCGACTGGAGATGGGCGCGGTAGCGGACCTATTCGATAGGAACGGCAGCGGACTCATAGATTGGGAGGAGTTTATCGCCGCCCTCAGACCTGACTGGGTAAGTTTCTCTAATAGACAATTAAGTAACTAACTATTTTGCTGCGATTTTGATGATTATTTTTGCAATCCGTTATATTTAATACATACATATACAGATTAAAAAAAAATTATTTATTTATAAAATTACATGCTCTTCTCAGTGAGTATTACAGTACAATACCAATGCACTCACCAAGGAATAAAACGTATGCAATACATACATTAATAATAATACTAGTGATAACAATAAGGTCATAAAAAAAATTAAAAAAATAAAAATAATAAAAAATAAAAACAGCAACTATACAAATTACAATAATATCAATAATCTAGAAATATTTAGTATATTTCTTACTGAGAAATAATTCATTTTAACCAAATTAAAACTGTTATTTAAAGTACATGTACAACTTTTTATTGAAACAAAGAAGCTATTTACTGCACATCCACCTATAATATATTTATTAAATTGTGTCTCATTGTACATAGGTGGAACGGCGTGGTCCCCCCACGGACGCGGACAAGATCCACGATGAAGTCAAGCGGTTGGTCATGCTGTGCACATGCCGACAGAAATTCCGCGTCTTCCAAGTCGGTGAAGGCAAATACAGGGTGAGTTGCACTCATATTAAACCGTTAAGTTGCTGGTAACAGCTTTCCGTGTCTCATATTTTTTATGTAATTGGGATGGCAAACAAGATGACGGTCCCAACTGACCGTAAACGAAAGTCGTCATTATACTTGACCAGCACTACAGAAAAAAGTATCACTATTCAAAAGTGGTTAAATTTCAAGTATATTTGAATAAAGAATTTTTATATTTTTTAATTCTGTTCTGTTCTATCAGTTCGGAGACTCGCAGAAGCTCCGTCTTGTCCGCATTCTGCGGTCGACCGTGATGGTCCGTGTCGGCGGCGGTTGGGTCGCACTAGACGAGTTCTTAGTCAAGAACGACCCGTGCAGAGGTATGTACAAATCTAGAAAATTAAAAAAAGAAACAACAGCTCGTGGGTGTTATCCTTACTACGATATGCAATACATATACCTGTTTGATAACTCTGAATTTGACATAATTTATTGTTTGTAACTAGCGGAGACCCGCGGCGCCGTCCGTTAACTATTTTCTATATGTGAAAGAATATATAAAATTAATTTAGTATTAATTGAGTTTATACATGACAAACGAACTAGACAATATTTTTTAGCAGTAATGTTAGTTTCTATGTCAGAATATAATAGGTACAAACGCTATGTACCATATAATACTAACAGTATTATGTTACTTTCTTTAAATTAAAAAGATAGTTTGCAAGATCATAAATCGTTACTATAGTGTTCACTTATTTGTTATTTATGTCTTCTTGTATGTAAGTTGTTATCGACATAATATCGGCTCGTTAGCCACAGCTCCACGTCTTTACTCCGCGGCGCTTGCGCAGGAAATCCCTCCCCTCTTGCGCACGGCGGCCCGTGTACGCTCAACTCGAGACGATAGATAATAAACTGCTAGTGTTTCCACATACACTACAGTTACCATATACTGGACTAATTTAGCTTTATAGATTAAGCGAGTAGTTTTATAGTTGTTTGTTACTCAATCACGTGACTACTTTTTTTATGTAATTTTGTACAGGGGATAGATCGTACATTAATTATAATATTAAAAAACACTTTTAGTAATATTTCAAGCGAGCAAAACCGCGGGTCTAAGCAGAAATCCGTACTCTAATACGCCTATAAACTTTTTTATTCTTTACATAATCTCCAAATAAGACATTTCAGTATTAATATGTATATCATATTCAAGGGTGATGATTAATATGTAATTTTAACTCTTTTTTCATATTAATATGGATTAAAATTGCATAAAAAATAATAAGGAATTCGTAGTAAGGATGGTGATACATATATTACTATAAATTGTAACATATTTGAGTCATATAAAAATTAGTTTAACTAAAATTATTTTAATACGAAATTTGCTATTACAAAGATAACTGATCTTTCTAAATACCTTCTTACAGCTGTAGTCACAATTCTTTAAAAAAAATTGCATTTTTACTTGTCGAAAAAATGCAAGTAATAATGTTAATTAAGGACTCTATATTAATTTTTAAAATTATTTTCATTTTTCAATTATTTTAAGTCGACAAAGTGCGCCTTTTACTCTCAAACGTATGCTTGTTGGAAGTTTGACTTATGAAAAAATGGTTACATACATATAATAGAAGATAGTGTATGTCTGTGAAAATGACTCAAATATGTTTAATTGAAAATGACAATAACATCATTCTAAATATTTAAATTAGATCTAGGCCATGTTTACACCTTTCGGTTTTTGCTTATGTTACTTAACTTTCTAAATTATTGTAGTAAAAAATCATGTTTATAAGAATGAAAGTTATAACTTTTAAAAAAGTTGTAAGTTACTTTGTTCATTTTTTTTTGCAAATCTGGCAATAATATCCTAAACGAAATGAAATTTAGTTTATTTCAATCAATATTAATACTATTTCATTAAAAATTGTGTTGTGATCTAACTTATAAGTGTAAACGCGGTCTAATGCCAAATATTAATATTATGACAATTATTTTAACAAACGCTGACGCTTTTTAGTAGAATGATGTTGTTGGATACAATTTTAAAAATATATTATTAAGTATTAAGAAAATATGTAGGCAATTGTTAATAATATTCTTATATTATATTAATGTCAATTGAATTCAATTTGCTTTATAGTGTTATATTTTCATTATATCAGTCTGGGTGTAGTTGCAATTATAATTTCTTTTATAATTAAAGACGGTGGAGAATTCTTATTTCTCTACATTCTGAAAGTCTATATAGTTCATTTCAAAACGAAGTTATTTTGTGGAAGTTTAAAAATAATACATTCTATCTGCTTGTCTTCTCTGTCAGTATAGGTGTCTATATCTATATTTAAATTACTGATTATAATGACTTATAGTATTGATGCCTACATGTTTTCTAATTTAAGAAACCAAGATAGATATGTTTTTTAATTAGTTTAAGAAATCTATAACGCGAAAATTGTAACGATTTCTAGATTTATTGATTTGTAACTCTTAAAGTCTTGGTTTCTAATAAATATAATATGATTCTGCACTTTATAATTTCGTCTAAAAAGTGCTCTTATTGCGATTTTTGCAATTTGTTATTGCAAATATTTAATATTACTTTTTATATATTCAAAGTGTCAATCAAAAACGTTTCTGATAAAATGTGTTAACACAGTAACAAAAGGGAATTAATAAATTTGTGATGTCCCTAACCAAGTATAAGGCAAATAATTTCACACTATTTTAGGAAAATATTTGCCATCCAGTTTTGCGTCTAATAACAAAAATAACCAATATTATGAATTTAATAACTTTATTAATCAATTATATATCTAAACGAATTACAAATCCCATATGGGCTACTAATAACTACAATATTCGAGTAAAAACTTACAAATAGCGTACATGTTAGACAGATGGCAACACAGTTATTATAAAATAAACCTAGCAATACTGTTATAGGTAATACGAAATAAATCTATCACAGAAAATATAAGTAAAAAATGTCACGAGATTTTGAATGTAATTTGGTTATCAAATTATAATGACGACTTAGGATCAATTCCGAAAAATAAAGTTTGAATTTATTATCTCTTTATATTCAATCAAGTTTTATAGATAAATTTGGAGAATATTGAGAATCAACTCCAGTATATTTATGTATATGGTTTATATACTAGAATCTGATGACCAAATCACATTCTTAAAGCTTACAACGCACATAATTGGAAGCACTGTCTGGAAATGGTCAAGGTCAAAAAACCAGTTGGTAATATTCTGACTCAGACTTTACAATGAACTCGCTAGACGCTGATTTTAGGTAGTTACATAAAAAAATGTTTACAAATTCCATAGCCGCCGTAAATAATATTCAAACTTGAGATCCATTAGTTTAATATTAGTCAGTTTACAGTTCTCCATAGCACTAGAAATCTACGGAAAGTACATTAAATGGTTATTGCTTCATAGATTATATAAATTAAATATAACCTAATAAGGAATACATTTCCATAATAAACATATTAGTACAAAACTTGTTCCTTAAATAAATACTGTTAGAGTTGTTTACTTTACCAAAACTGGATAAGATAATTATGTCACTATTTCCCCTGAGACTAAGTGTTACTTTATCATACAGTTAAGCAACACTGAACTATATTTCAGTTTTAGGACAAATATAATTTAGTCAATAGTGGTTTTTCTTATGAAGGAGGTTAGAGAGGATATCTCACTGCTACCCTCGCTGGGCATTCGATTAAATTCAATCTCCTCGCTCAAATTCTGGGTGTCTGATGTGCTTTCAGCTGTAGGCCAATGCTTGTGACTTGGTGCATATAGCACTAGCAAGGCAAATATGTATATGTTCCACATTCCATATACACCAGTGAAAAATGCTGATGTGTATTCGATTTCAATATGCTCATCCCATTTCCACTGACCTTCAGCAACTTGTCCAAGTATAAAACCAATCACTGTGAGTGCAGCGCACAATAATGTAGCCAACATGAGGAATTTAAAGCGATAGATAATGCCTTCATAGTGCAATCGCCTCACTGAGCACATTGTGGGCAATGATTGACGTTTGTTAGATATATTTATGAAAACTTGCCACACTAAATAGCATAAAAATATGAAGTAAACCCCAGTTGATATGCCAGCCAGTATGATGAATGTTAGGGCGAGATTGGTGCCTATATCTGTCACCCATATGGAGTAGAAGGGATTACGAAGCTGCACCCCGCGTTCACACATGTCAAAGATGAATAAAGAAATGCAACCCATTGCAACTGCACTTAAATGCCTCCAGTACTGTTTGAGGGAGCTCTGCACAGATACATCTTGTATAAGCATGTGCTCCCCTGCAAACACTAGCCAAAAAGAGAATAGCATTGCATAAAACACACCCTGTCTTATATCTCCAAGTAACAACATAAACGGAAGGTCAAAGTGCAATGTCAGATACTCAAGTGGCATATTAAGTAAACATAATGCTAACCCCAAACATAGCAACATCTTTTCAAGTAATACTGGCTTTCTTTGTAACATGTGAATGCGCCTCCAAAACCATACAAGTATGGCTATGATGAATGGGAAAAATGCAGTTTTTAATGATAACCAAACCTTTGTAAATCCTCCATTTTGATTGATGACGGTCAACCATATATCTTGTATGTGTCCTATATTTGTGTTCATATCGGGGCCATCAACGGGCAGTCTAATGTTGAGCAAATAAAAGTCATGGTATAATGAGCCGAGTTCAAACAATGGTATCGCTGAACAGTTGTGTAAATACTCATCCATAGGCACATCTATATCGCAGTCGAGATGACGCTTTTCTACAGACTGTGTGTACAACTTCCATTGATCTTCCGGATCACCCTTATTTCTGTACGCGAGTCTTGCATCTATAGTAACAGTACTGCGCGGCTTTATTTCCATCTGAGAATGATACCTTATGTCGACTTGCAGCACTCCAATCAAGTTTTGTTGCCATCTTGAATAGTCTAATATCTTGCTTTCGCGAGGCACCGGCATTTGGAACGCAAAAACGATGTCCGCCTCAGAAATGTCCTGATGCAAGTTCTCGAGGCGAATTGTTTGGCACGAACCGCGGCCACGATTGTAAAACCACTTTGTCGTGTCATTTTTAATTGTAGAAGTATCTTTGCAAACAGTTCCGAGAATGCTTTGTGCGTTTGCTGGCATGGGCGCGACCAATCCGCCGATTAGAAAACATGTTATTTGACATAACAATAGAAAACTCATTAAAATAGCTAGCTTACGCCCGCTCAGGTTTTCAATTATTGTGCCTGACATTTTAGCAGTTCAATGTAAATTAATTGAAACACGAAATAAAATTAACGAGACAATTCCATTGTTCTTGTTTTCGACGCGCTTCGATCTCGATTTGACATGCGCTGTTCACTGTGTTGCCCGTATAAAGTAAACGCGTTACGTTACAACCGTTACGAAACGGTACTCATAAACAGTTGTATAAAATAACCGTTTCAATGTACTTGTTTATTAATAGAATTAACAGTAACATATGTTTAAAAAATAATATAAATATTATTGTAAACAAAGTAATTTGAATTATTTTACATATAAAGAAATTTATATGTATTCGTATATCTATTCGTTAATTATTATTGTCACGTTCCATTACATTGTAAAACATATTTATATAGTTAAATAAAAATATTGCTAGTACCTACCGAATAGTACCGTATAGCTAAAGTAATTATCGAAAGTCCACAATAAATTAATGTTGCTACTAATTTACTAATTCGTATTCGCTTTACCCATTCCAAATACCCTGGTTCCTTTATAAAAATCATTGATTTACGTTATTTTTTATTTATATTATTTTATGACCCTATGATATCCCCATTACATAAAGTAGTGTCATTAGTGCTACCGCTGCCTGATCCGAGCAAGCCGGAGCAGCATGAAGCTTGTTGCCCGCTCGGTAAGATGTATGACCTGCATTCGGAACCAAAACATATATTTTGTTTAAAACAATTTCATATTATACATGCACTATTTATTATTGGTTTATAGTTACCACTTGAAATGTACAAAAAAAATTTTGGTTCCAAAGCGGGGCATTAGTCATTGGTGTGGCTTTAAATTTATTTTCGCCGTAATTAAAATAATTTGCTCTATTTTCTGTGTAAAAAATTGTCATTATACATGTTTGGTGCTTTTGTTGTTGTTAAAGGAGCTTATATTTATATAGACAATAATATTATCATCAAATGTGTAGAATGGATTGTAGTGTGTCACATTGACGGTAATTTCGAATGGAATAGCGGTATATTTTATTTATTATAATATTTTGCTTTTATATTAGTTGTAACAGCATGATAAAATTTAATTTATTTAAGTACAATAGTTTATGAAGTTTATTTAAAATAGTAGTACATACCTACTAATTTATATGGAACAAGACCAAGAGTAAATCAATTTAATGTTTATATATGTATAAAGTATATAATGTTTTGTATGAATGAAGTATATATTTCAGATTCTGATTTGTAGATTAATCTAATCTTGTTCTTGATTCATATTGAATGCGTTTTGGGTGAGAGATAACTAATTGTATTTTATATTCCTATTCCTAACTGCACACAAATGCAAACATATCCAATTTTGTTTTGTTTTTTTATTATTGCGTTGTTTGTTTATGTTTGATATGTTCTGATTTTGTTTGTTGTTTTTTTCTTTTCCTAACAACCATTGCACGCTGTCCTATTTTATTTAACACTTTACGTGTTATTTTCATACCATCCTCTTACCGAACGGTTTTCTTTGAACCCCTCCCCATCCTGTCCTTTTTGTGATCCCGCGCACTGGACGCCGCCCGCATGCAGCCAAAGGACGCACCAACATCGAACTGAGGGAACAGTTCATCCTTGCGGATGGAGTATCACAGAGTATGGCAGCGTTCCGACCGCGTACGCCCCGCTCTAACACAAACACACCTCCATCCACCGGACCTATTACAAAGGTAAGTAGCTACATGCTGCTACTACATTATATATTAATAAACTCTTCTCTCCTACAGGATAGAACATAGTTGTATTTCGCACATATACCACATAAAGCGCACTGTAGTTGTTGGAGGGAGCATCGGTTTGGGAATTCATTTTTGGCTTTTCTGTTGCAATTTGTACATGGATTATTATATCCATATGCAAAATGCAGTTTCGTGAATATAGCATGTGTTGAGCTCGTAGCGTTTGGTCGTATTGCATTAGTGTGTTCAAGCTATGCGTTGATGCACAGGCTCGTGTAGTGTTTTGGTGTTGTTTAGTATGCCATTCATTGGACCCACTGCATTGGAGAGGTGGCACGTCAACGCATACGGATTGTATGGTAATGTATTTCGTTCATCCTCTCCCGCTAGTCCCATCATACCTGCATATCGAAAAAAACCGCGTCCGTCGATTAAACGTGTGGACTAATCGTAACAAAAAATCGCGTTCGGCAAAAAGATTGGCACTGTGAAGACACATTTATAAAGTACGTGTTCCCTGCCCTGCCTTAATCAGTCTCCCGGTTTTGTATTGGTGCGTTTAGCTGAGGAGTTTATGGAGCAGCTGAAGCCGATATTTGAGGCTTTACGGCAACGGGAAGAGCTCCCGTGCTCGTATCCACTTCACGTCGGCTCAACACATGGCACTAAACAGGCGTTCATATACGGCCACTCAAGATCTCAAGGTTCCACGACGCCGGGTGCCCACCACTATACCCATCACCACGGATATCAGCCGTCACCAGGATACCATTGGGTAAATGCTAAAAAGGCTATGTGTTAGTGACGCGGTTTGTTTGCACTTACAGTTTAAAATAATTAACTGCTCTTATTAATTTGTGGTATAAGTTGTATTTTGTTAATAATATTAGTTAATAGCAATTTATCGTCAAGTCCATTATTTCGGCATGCTTGTATACCTATATTTAAACTGTTAGTAACGTGTGCTGTAATTGTTTCTATCAATAACTTAATCTCATTGCACTTGCATTTCAACTGAAATCTAATGTTATTACCAACACAGTTTAATTGAATATTTGTAATAAAAAAACAAATTGTTATACTTTTTACAAAGACACAATATGTTCAGGTAAGGGAACGTACAGTACGATCGGTTCCGATGTCGGGCGGTGGTGTAACCGGTCGGGCGTCGAGATCTTCCCTCAGCGCCGGCACTCCAGACTCTCTAAGTGACAACGAAGCCGCTAGCGGCCTCGGAGCGAGATACAGAAAGCCTAGCGTACCCAGGTAAGTTTATAAACAATAAACAGTCAGTTTAATTCAGTACTATACATACGTATATACTATATATACTATAGTTTACTATATGAAATACATATAGTAAAATATATATATACAAGTATATGTATATAAGTGTGGCTGTAAGTGTGTGTAAATAATAATCAATCAACAATCTATAATCAATGCGTCAGAAGTTAAAGCGGTATTTTATGGTCCATGGTGCTGTTTGTGTATTTTTTATATAATTAGAACTAGCTTTTGCCCGCGGCTTCGCTCGCGTTAATTTATCTTCACCCCTTCGGGGTGGAATTTATCAAAATCCTTTCTTAGGGCATCTAGTGATTAGATTTAACATTTTTTTAAATTCATTCTGCTATTTAAGCAAGTTTTCAGAAATAGTTTTCTAAATATTTTAAGAACCGAATGTCTTTACAAACTTTGTCATGATATAATATAACAGAATGGCAGTATAGTTGTCACGTTAATTTATCCCCTTAGAGATGGAATTTATCAAAATCCTTTTTTAGGAGATGCCTACGTCACAGTAGCTTTATGCATGCAAAGTCTCAGCCCGATAGGTTTAAAATTGACAAAGTTTCATATAAACTTTCATCCCCTATTTTATCCCTTTGGGGTAGAATTAATCAAAATCCTTTCTTAGCGGATGCCTCGTCGTAACATGTACCTGCATGCCAAATTTCAGCCCGATCCGTCCAGTGGTTTGGGTTGTGCGTTGATAGATCACTATTTCAGTCACCTTTGAGTTATATGTATTTAGATAGCAGACAAGGTGACGGCCCTTTTGTCGTTTAGCGATGATTGCTTTCTCGTAATAATCGCTTTGGCATCTGGCTTATTTTTTTATTTGAGTTATACACAACATCCAAATTTGTAATTAGAATGGCCAAACAGAATTTTTTAATTGTTTTTAATTGGTCATCTGTGCATATTCAAAGGGCAAACAGATCACAATAAAAATCAACGTCAACATTATATAATATGGTTATTATTTTTGTGTCAGATCAACATTAACACCCGGCGGTTCACGACCAGGCTCAAGACCAGGATCAAGAACAGGGTCGAAACCACCCTCGAGGCATGGATCAAATCTATCTCTAGATAGTACAGGTAACATTACCATTACATTATTTATATTAAGTATTAATACAGTGAACTGCGTATAAGATAATATGCATAAAGGTAGAATAAACTCAGATTAGATGAGTGATAGTAGATCAGTAGATGAAGATTACATATTGCGTCGACATCAAATAATGGAATGAAGTTAAGCTCTTTTTCATATTGATATTCCTAAAAACCAGATGAATGTTTGATGTTAGAACATGCTAAAGCTGAATGGAGCAATTTCGATACTGCTGCAAAATACGTTTTTTCTTTTCTATTGTGTTTATAAGCACTGAATAAATAAATATCTTTTCTTCCTTTCAATTAATTCATATAAAATATTTAGGTCACTCATACACAAGAAATGTTATAAATTTTAACATACGATTAAAAAACACAAAGGTTTTGATATTTTTTAAATATTAAATTGGTTCGCTATAGATGAAGTCACAACGCCATCGCGCATACCAATGCGTAAAGTGACGAACACGCGCGCATCTACAGCACGCGCCGCTGCTACGGCCAGCAAACTCGGTGTCAGCACACCCAACGGCAGCTCCAGACCTCGCACTCCGACTGGATTCTTAACGCCAGCAAGTGGAAGGTAGGTTTCCTCAGATTTACATTACTTTAATTCGCATAGATAGAGATAGATTGCCTAGATTTTTGATGTACAATAAAAATTGTCACAGATGAAGGGAAAATCATAAACATAGTTGAAGGTTAATATACAGGAAGGAAGGTCAAGTTGTTTGTTCAAGAAGTCTTTTAATAAAATTTACGAATGTTAATTTTTTTGTCTGTTAATCATTTTGCTGTCATTATTAGCCATTCTTAAATGTGTCCAAGAAATGGCAAATTCATTATTGTGCTTGATATGAAATCTGAGTAGACTATAGGGTAAATTGAATTTGGTAACCTTTAAAAATTTGGTAATAATTTCTAGCTATTATTTATATTATAGGCAGTAGTTTAGATACGCGATGAAATGCGTATTTGACATTATAAAATTTATCTTTATCTATATTACTAATATGAATAGTTAACTCTTTGACCAATTAAAAAAAAATAACAAGATTCTATATTAGATCGTTCTGTATGTTTTTTTCGAATTGTATTAGACATTATCGAACCTTAGTGTTGACCAACCAATTTGTTGACACTTGTTGTTGTACTTATCTTTGTTAATAATAATAGGTAATATTTATAATATAATTATACATGGTGTACTGATAACGCACGGACAGGTACGGTAACGGAGCTATGTACCGCACATCCAGTATACCCACACTGGCACCCGTGCCGCCGTTACTGAGGTACACATTGACAGTTTGTTCATGAGTGGTTTGCCGCGCCATACTTGCGATTAAAATATTTAAACTTCCAAATTTTAACATAAATTTTCAAATGTATTAGTGTCTTGTATTTAAATATTTTGATCGCAAATCGGCCAAATTATCACAGTGTGGAAAAAGCACTTGGCTTCTTACGGGTATAGGTGAATGTAGTGAAGATATATAGGTACTATAGGGAAAAAATGGGCGCACTTTAGTTCATGATCACACCACAAATGCCGTTTGTTGATGTACGTTATGCGTTTGAAGACGTTGTATTGCAACATCGTGGTGATGGGAATATCATGATATCAAAAATAAATTCATATTACGTAGCATGTAAAAGTAGTTAAAATCCAGCTTGCAACGAGTGACTTCCACTAACAATATAAATATAGTATAATTATATACGTAATATATATTATATACTTAATGAAATTTTCTTTTTCCATTCCGCATGCAACGATTACGGAAACGGATATATAACAGCTCAACACATTCCCAGCCATCTTCTTTGGCTTCTGAACATCCCAAATCTATTTCACATAATCATCCAGCATTCCAAACTCAGGGTTCGACTAAAATTCCCGTATATGTCGGCCCACGTTCCCAGAGAACACCGTCCGTCGAAAGACGTATGAAAAAGTCAAAAATACACTCCAGAGAAACCTCACAAGAACCTAGCCCAACATCCCAAGATCCTTCAAGGAAATCCGAGCAGAGGACTCCAGAAGATGATTCCTCATTGCTTAGCATTTCGGGAATGACGAGCGACAATGAATATGAGAGTAATATAAGCGAGTCAAGCGGCGATGCGTCAAAGCCCACGCAACGTGATGCCAAAGGGTACAGGCTTGTAGACTGCTAGCTTCCATTTCTGCTCGATAGTTTTGATTGACGCTCCTGTATTTTGAAGATCGTTTTGATGTCATTTCTACTCAGGCACTTCATATATCATTACAGTGAAATGTGTTTTATCAACATCAACAATTTCAGCCGTTCATCTGTTCTGCTTGATACGTGTCCCAAATTCATTTATATCACATCATAACTTGTCACCCCAATATCAACCCCCTCATTAATAAATCATTTATGCTTGCGTGCAATATAATTTGTTTGGGAGAACGATGAGATGATCCATATCCAGCATCCTTTCATATTACAATTTGCAGCATTGTTAGCGACTAACTGTATCTGCTTAAAATGTTCATAATTATGTCCTATTCATAACTACATAAAATTAAATATACTGTTTGTTTGCACTGGTCTGTCTGTTTCCACAGCACCTCATTCATTAATGCTTTGTTTAACATCTCGATTTGTGTCTTTAGATTTAATTGTTCAAATTTTGCACCTAAACTAATAAGCTATATTTAATAATTAGGTGTTTAAAAATGTACTGAAAATATATTGTACTCACAATCCGACAATACAATTATTTATTCATATATAAATCTGATTGTATAATTTTACCAAAGTAGACTGTAAAAAATCATCTGCGTGGATACCTCAGTCTCACCTAATATAAGCCGCCAAGCAGCTTGGTCTCTTAACGGTTTTGGTTATAGTGTGAAATTATAGAATAAGAGGCATGACATCTTAGTCCTCTGAAATGGCAACGCATGAGTGTATTGCTGTTCATGAACACAGGGTAGTAATAACCCTTAAAATATTAATTTCATAAATTATTATATAGTACATTTTTGAACATCTATATTTGCTATTTGCATTGTAACTACCTTAAAATATATGCTTAATATAATAATATGGAAACACACTTGTTTCTATGTTATTATGTTCAATATCCTTTTTGCTACTTTGTTAATGCACATGAACTCTTTTCAAAATGTATTCTACTTTATTAAACTTATTAATTTCCTTCACCATTTAAGTTTTTACCTTGCACTTTTTTTTTAATACTCGATGTCGCGTGCATTGACATTGGCTGTATAATATCGTATAATCTTCTCTGTTTTCTTTTAACTACATAATATTTTTTCTTATGTGCTCGCTAACACCATCTTAGGAGTGGATCGTTTGCCTCTACCGAAGGACAAACGCCCGGAAGGAGTCGCATCCCTCTATTAAAGGATCACCATACTAACTGTAATCTCAATAGGTAATTACATTACTAAAATACATTGAATGTGCTTTCTATTAGTTTTAGTGTATTTCGAAATGTTTTTAGAGTATCTATTTGTGATTAACAAAAGTGTGTTGTAGTTCGTAGATGGCCTTACACGCGTGACGTAGAATTGCCTTTTATTTGATTTCACTGTCTGCTAATTGTCAACTATTATAGTTATACATGATTGATATTGAAGGTTTAAATTTTTTTGGGTATTTGGATTTTTTCTGTAGTTTGCATGGTTTTGAGTTATGTTGGAATGAGAATTAATTCATTAATATTACAATAGGCAAAGGACGCCGTCGGGAAGTACGACACCCGTCCGTTCAGGGCAGACGACGGCCGTGTCGCGGCTGCTACGGAAGCCCTCGGACGCATCCGACACTGCAGCGCCCACCACGCCAAGCTCCCGACGCGGAACTCCAGCATCATCTCGAACTACGGATAAACGCGAACCATTCCGATTGTAGACGAAATATTAGAGAATCAAAACGTCCACACTTGAAAAGTATGATTTTTAAAAAGTGATAATTTTTTATATTGAAATTACTTTTTGAAAATATATTTGTGTGCCGAATTGAGTCTATGAACTGCTAGTCGCTTTGAAAATTATTCTATTTGACACTTCTTTTGCAAATTTTTTATATTGTAAGCGAATATATTTGTAACATATACCCCACCTGTAAACAAAATAAAAATCTTTTATGTCATAGCGGCTGGCATTCATAGAGGCAAGTGCCCATATTTAATAATAATACTAACATTGAATTAACCAATTCGCGAATTGAGCCAAGCTTAAAAACGAATTTGCGGATGTGGCTTTTTAGTTAAGTGAAAACAATAGATGGTAGTAGTAAAACTTAAAGTCTGCACTTGTTGCCTTGTATACCTATTTGTTTTGTACAAGCCGTGCGATTATTGTGCACGTTACAATATTTTATTTATTTTGTGCTGTCAGTATTCCCAAGTTCTGTTTAATATATTGAGCAAATCGTCAAACTTTTTCAATGTGAATATATCCCTTCTTATTTATTATCGACGTTGCCATAATTGTTAGTGTATGTTTTGTATGTAAAATACGTATTTGGGTCTCTCTGTAGAGACTGGGAAAAGTGTGATTTTTAATCTGTTTTGTAATATTTTTCCTTTAGGGACCATTTTGTTGATTAAATTATTGATAATAGGCGATCGTCTGTTACCGCTATTAGTGGTCACAATTTCGGGCACTTAGTATCGCCAGACTAGGTGTTTCGATAGAACCACTGATTGTTGTCACCGATGATCATATTAGGTGATAATAGTGTTATTTATACATTATTATTTTGTAATGCACAATCATGTTTTTTTCGTATAGATCCTTTTTTTTTGTGTTCATTATTATATGTTACGATTTATCACTATTACTTTATTGTACATTTATGTATGAGATTTATTATGTTTAATTGCAAAATTTCTTTAAAATCATGGGAATAGCATGTCTTTAAGAGTTGTTATTGTGACTATCGCCAGAGTCATGATTGCAACTCATTGAAAATCTGCTCATAAAAAAAATGTTTAATTTTTAAGTGATCTAACTGAAGTACACTGTCCCAAAAAGACATTTACTTAATAATAAAAAGCTAAGGATACATTGCATGTATGCAATAAATGCTTTAAAATGTAACCCTCTATATTTGAAATCGTTAACCAACACTCACCTTTATTTGTTAATTTTTATTATAAATCTGACTTTACTTGTAAGCCCTCATTATTATTATAGTTATAAAACTATTAATCTGGTCATTTTTATTTAAATCATTGTTGTATTTGTTAATTGTAAAATCAAAGCCTCTTTAATATAAAAGCTTTCATTTTTTTTGTATAAAATAATGATTCTGAAAAGCTATAGTTTTTAAAATCTCATTATTGATTTCAAAATATAAAATAAAGAATAACTAATAATAACAAGTGTTTTCATTTATTATCCTATTACATTAGCGAAAACTACAAACAAAATTCTTCGTTATACAACAAAGAAAAAGGTAGCAAAAATAATGGCTCACTTATTATTTTGCTTGTTTTATTTTGTAATTACAAATGCAATTATTTTTTTATTAAATAACAAGCCATAAATATATCTCATTTCCTCTTCATTACAAGATGTATTGTCTGGAGCTATGTAGGTAGACTTTGAACAAGTTCTCTATGTGGGTACTTCAGTGTCTCTTATTTCAGCCGCCAAGCAGCTTGGTTTATAGGTTGTTGTGAGATATTGGTTGTATGATGAGATAAAACTGGAATTACCTGACATAACATTTAAACCTTTTGGAATAATAACCGCGTGTGTATGTTAACATGGTGCCCTTAATGCCTTTCATGACCATCGTCAGTTCATCTTTATCATTCCAAATATATAAAAAATATCTACTACTAGTACTACTATATATAACCAAAATAAATTACGTCGGTAAACAATTGGAGTGTATAAATTACATCGCTCTATTCCTTATACACATATTTCTGTATATATGTAGATATATATGATCGCGAAAAAAAGGTTATTAGAAGATAACAAGGAATATTAAAAATTGTAATGTACACAAAAATTACATTCTATCCAACCATTTAGAGACGCTAGATGACACACGTAGAGATGAATCATGTATATTGCGATATTTTTTAATGAAATCTCATAGCAAGTAATCACGGCGTTTGAACACAACTAAGAATTTAAAATAGATATTATTACAAAATAACAGTTTTATAACTGACTACTGATTTATAGCAACACAATGAACCGCTATAAACTGTCATTTTTATGTCAGTGTCGACAGATCAATGGATGTATGGGTGCAAATCCTTTTGCCTTTCCTTTAGAGAATAAACAGAACCAAAAAATCATTGATGTCAAGATAAAAAAATGTAAATGAAATAATGGATGTACGCGCGCAATTCCCTTTGCCTTTCCTAAGTAATAAAGAAAACAAAAAAAAAAACAACACATAAAATGAAAGAATTTATAAGAAAAAATGAAAAATATGAAAACAAACAGACATGGCTGTATGTATACGGTCTCTTTGCCTTTACCAAAAGACAATAAAACCAAAAAGAAATCAATCAGTCGGTTCATAATCATTCATTCCTTCATTCAGAAGTCATGCCATAATAAACTATACCTTTTTGCTTACTTGTGTGATTTCTGAAAAACAATTTTACGTTATTGCAAAAAGTTCACCTGCCCTTCTTTATGAAAGATGGTTTCGTGTAACATTGAGACCCCGAATGATAAAGCTAGGAGACTGATGCGAGAAAAGGATAAAATCGAGCAGGAGATCGCAGAGTTGAATGCTGTATTAAATACGAATAATGTGGGGATGAGGGAGCCCTTGGTTGATGATGAAGGATTCCCGCGCAATGACATTGATGTAGCGAGAGTTCGCCATGCCCGACACCGTATTATATGTAAGAATATCCTTATAATATTTCTTGAACCATAACTATCCACACACAACGCCCTAACTTAGGGCGGCACCATAGGGTTGTATCACATTTAAGGGTTGAGGAGTTAAGGTTTGTCACCGAATATTATTTTGTTTGTGTTTTTCACTATTCCATGCATTTATTTAAAAATTCTCATGTAACCATATTATCATGCACATTGTATAAAATATTAGCAAATTATACTACATATTTTATAGACGTAATATGTCAAGTATAGCACATATAAATGTCACATATACATTTAATTTTATATACACACTAGCTACTCGCCCCGGCTCTGCACGGGTGTACATGTATTATATATATAATAGTTGCATAGATTTAAGCATACATAGGAACAGACAGACAGCGACAGCTACTTTATTGTATACTATGTAATGATAATACCTAAACATTTTTAATATGTTAAGTATGTTTGTAATGTAATTTCCAGGCTTACAAAATGATCACAAGGATAAAATGAAGGAGATCGAGACAGCATTAGCTGAGCTGCATGCTGAAGCAAGGTAAAATGAACTTTATCTTCTCATAATATATTGTTTATATATTTTTGTACTTGATTTTTTAAATACTTAAAAAGAAAATAAGTAATTACAATATTCTAATATGTATACATTACTCAGCACTATCTTTGCCTGCTAACTACCACCTCTGTCACAGTGTTAAGTTGGCTGGAAGACATCTGTTTCAGAGATGAGCCCACCCCTGCTCACATTTTTGTATAACCATCTTTTATTTTATAGTATTACAAGTGCAATAAAGCATTTTTATAATATTTTATCTTGTTTTGGCTTAGTAGTTTACTAGCCTGGTACATCTGGTACACTCAATACGTTGTGAGTTAAAATTTGGCTAACTCCAAAAAATGTGTTAATGTATATTTCGGACTGACTGAGTAATGGAAACATTGACATTAAACAAAAATTTCTATAATATATTCACTTATCCTTTCACATAGAATTTAAATATACCCAGTGAATGGGGAGCATGTTAACTACTGACTACTGGATTTGGGATAACAGTTGTGAGGGTATACATCTCATAATATTCATTTAGGTATAATAAAGTCTAAAAAAATTCATATAATTATGATTATATTAGCTAGAGCTATAGCATGCTGCCGTTTCTTAGATTTGGTAGTAAGGAACATTAATTCAGTAAATTGTTTTTTTTTTCACTTGAATACTGTTAATGGACAATTTGCTTAATTATATACAATAATCAAATCTGACCCTGACAATTGCTAGTCACATCTTTTAAGTTGAGATAATCTTAGACTTGCCTATCGTGATTTGAAAAGAACCATTTCTTTACATTCTGTAGTTTACAAACAATAAAAGAAAACCTCTATTTAAACATAAGACAAATAATAAATACTAATGAAATGTGGACATGTCAAGTGTTACACCTCCAATGGCTACAGTTGAAAATGCTTCTTATTATTCTCGGGAATGCATGATGACTAGGGCTCTCATAGGACACTGCAAATTAAACAAGCATATGGCAAAACTAGGCCTATGTATGACAAAAATCTGCAGATTCTGTCAAACTGAAGAGGAAACGCCACTACACATCCTATCCACTCATAAAAGAAATATCTCCTTTGGAAAGTTTACACTCTTTCCCGAGGAAGTTTAAAAACCATTGCTCCTAAGAATATCCTTCAATTCTTGTCCCTGACGGGTCTAGGTAGCGAACTCTGAAAAAGGGCGAGCACAATAGATCTTTGTAGGTTGCAGTGCTACAGGTGCTACAAACACCTGACAGGTGCCCAAACACTAAACACCAATAAAAAAAACCTCGGGAATTGTTAGCAATGGACATTAGAGATTCCATTGATAGCAAAGTACTATAATATAGTTACATATTATGTAAAATACAATGGATTAAATGTAGAGGCTTTAGTTGCAATTGACTATCTGATGGACCATCCGGTTCTTTGCACTTTGTATAAAAAAGTGGGATAAAAGGATTCCACTGCACATTTCACAGGTCTATCTCAAAGCAATCCTCACTGAAAACTTTCTTGGGTTATTCCTAAGAAATTTACTACATGCTACTTGAACAAACTTTGTCATCAGTCTCCGCTAGTACCCAGCCAGTATACAATGTAGAGGCCATACACTATTACATATTCATTAAATACAATACTACCTCTGAAAGTAGTGACTGACAGTTATTCCAGTTAATCAGTCCTGAAGGTAGGCACAATTACTTTAATACTCTGAGGTCATCTTATCAGCTGTGTGTGCAATTGGGAAGGGGACTGTTAGTAATGTGGATCATGACCCCATCACTAGGAATGTACCATATCAGGTTGACCTCCACGCAGTTCCCCCTGGAAGCCATCGTGATAAATTCCTGGTGAATTTGTCGCGATGGGCTAACTGACCTGACCTCATGTTCATCTTACCATCCTTCACTGGCGCCCCGCCAGCGTAAACCATTAGCGCAGGCGGGTGCAGCATTCCATTATCATCCATATAAAAAAAATAATTAAAGACGTTACTACTTTTACTGTCTTACTGTACAAATGAAATAGGGTCACAAAATGTGTCATTTACTGATGTTATTTAGTGCATAAGATCAATATTACAATGTATATTTTGTAATTTACATATTAACTCCAACATACAACTTATTATTCTTTATACTTCCACAGGGCGGACGGAGCTGGTCCATCTAACAGGTATATTCCTGTCCTGATTTCCAATGGTCGTCCAATCAATGCAAACGCCCCAAACGGCCACGTCCCAAACGGCAACGTCCGAAACGGCAACGTCCCAAACGGTCACGCAGCCAACGGAGGAGACATTGCGGAGCCAAGGCCAAACGACGCAATTCCGACAATGCCGATTGCGTTTGTTTCATCCGTTTGCGAAGGCTCGCCGGCTTATCTGGCTGTAAGTATTGTAAACTAATGTATGCACATTTATTGCTAAGTATTTCTCTGCACTTCCCATAGGTAACTGTAGGAGAGAAAACATAAGTAGGGCATTTAAATCCAAATTTTGTACCATATTTTATGTAACAGCTACTTTATATATTTATTTTCTATATAGACCTTCTTAAGGGTCGGCAACGCGCATGTGACACCCCTGGTGTTTCAGGTGTCCATAGGCTACGGTAACCGTTTACCATGAGATGAACCGTATGCTTGTTTACCACCTAAGTGGTATAAAAAAAAACCTATATACTGTCTGCTGAGACTATTACTTTAAATCTGGATCATAATTCATAACGTACTAGAGTAGGTGATTTTTGAAACGTCTCTTGTTTTGTAGAATGACAAGATTCCTATAAAAATATTCTATCAATCTTAATCTTTCATAATGCAAGTAATTATTCTAACATGTGATAAATCTCACAAGAACCATTACAGGTCTGCCTGTCTGCATACTAAATCTGCATACAAAATTAACAGTTCTTTAACACTAGAGCATTTTTTTTATTATCTTATTAATGTACTAGCTGTACACGCGACCTCGTCCGCGTGGAATTTTCTTTTTTTTCTAAAATAAAAGTAGCCTAAGTGACTTCTTATTACATCAGCTACCTGCCAAAAATGTCCTGTCCAAGACGGTCCAGCCATTTCAGAGATTAGCCGGAACAGACAAAAATTGTAAAAAATGTTATTTTGGTGTATTTATATTCATACGCATATAGTAAAAAACGGTTATTTCAATATTACAAACAGACGCTCCAATTTTATTTATATGTATAGATGTATAGATTATAAATCCAACGTGAATTTGTTACACTTTCACGTCATAATGAATCGATATCACATTTGCCATATCTGTGTAGTATTTGAGATAGAGATGTTAGCTTTTTTTTTATAATTAATTAAATTTAATAAATTTTGCTCGCCTGTTAGCAGGCTGAATACATTGAACGAATATTCATATTGTAAAACCTACTTGTAACATTGTATTCTGCAAATAAATAAATAAAAATAAATAATGTTTTTTTCCAAAACATCAGGTTTGACGTCCCATATAAAATAAAACATACATTAAAATTTTTCAGGGTATAAGAAGTGAAGATGCAATCCTGCAGTTTGGCTCACTACACATCTCGAATATGAGAGAATCCAATTTGAGAGCCATACACGAGCTAGTCAACCATTCCATTGGTCAGAGAATACGGGTCTGGGTTAAGAGGGGTAACGACATACTGAATTTGGTTGTGGTGCCCCGTCTGTGGCTAGCAGCGGCAGATCAGAACCGACGCTCGCTGCTCGGAGCCAATCTTAGGACTGCAGGGAATTAATATATTTTATTTATTAAAAGCCAACTTTCTAGTCTTGTGCTCGGCGGTTAAAGTTTCCAAACAAATTTTCATTTTTTATTGAAAATTGTGTCTTTCGGTCTAAATTGTTTACTCTATCGATAACTGGTATAATCTTAATAAATATTATAAAAAAATAATTAAGATAATTATACTCCTTAATAGATTTAACATAAGCTTCCCAATAACCTCTGAATGTGAAGGCACTTGGTCGTCGGCCACTCGGTAACTGGAACGTGTGTAACGGCACTAAAGTGTTTTTATTTCCAAAATTTGAATACTTCGTTATTAGTGATTTTTGTTTTTTTATATAGCTTAACAATTCATAGATTAGCGGTGGTATTAATGAAATGAGTTTTCATATCGTTGTCTCCTAATATCTGCAATATTTTTTAATATTTTAGTAGTTCTAAATTAATAGTTAAAAAGTGCTTGTATTGAACTAAAATGTTAATCTTTTAATAAGATCTTATTGCATTACAAACGTACACTAAAATTAAATTGATGTTAAAAAATATTAAGAAGAATCAGGCAGTTGTAATGTTTCTAGATAAAAATTTAATTCAGTAATATGAAATACTTTTTTTTTTGCAACTTTTTCCATGTGATCAATTTTGATTGGGAGGAAGGAGTTTTTGTACTACAACCTAAATTTCATCAATAAAGGCGGTATAGTGTAATAAACAGACCTACTTTGGCATTTATTATATTAAGTATGGATTGTTTAAGTGAATATAAAAATGAACAGATACTGCAGTTATTGCGAGACTTTAATAGTTGGCTCTTAAACACTAACAAGATTGTACTTTAGTCAGAACTAAATATAAAAAATATATTTTTTAAACAGTATGAAATTATGAAATGTGTGATCGTGATCGGATTGGAAAAATATTGGTTTGTTTAAAGGTCTGACTTGATTTTTAAGTTTAATTAACGCCATCAATAAAATTGCCTGTATAGCTGTTAAAGTAGCCACAAACATTGCGAATTGTTTGTTAAGGTACTTGTTGCGTAAGTACTTTCCAATATACTTTTACATGTATAAGTGTAAACTTGCGCAAGTAAATAACAAATGCCACCACTAAGTGTTATATATTTTGCATTTTTTTTGTAATGCGCCAAGCGCCGTACAAAACTTAGAAGTGGATATTATTTGCTATTTCTTTAATATTGTTTTTATTATGTAGTTAGTCGGTTTAATACCATTATAAGGTCTAGCAAGTTTTACCCTAACAGTGTATTAGCGATATTTAATACTTGTAAAAGTTTGTATTCATAAAAACAACTATGTATATTACACATACATACATACCTTATTTAATCTCCAAAAGTTAGCTGTCAAAATGTAACTAATGGCAGTAACGCAGTAATTTTAAATTAGATACAATCTTAATGGGTTGTAAGTTGGTAGGATAGTGGCTCAGACTTGTAGTATTATTTCAAATGGACCTTACTTTACTTTAAGGAAATTGTAAATGATTTAATATATAAAGGGAAACCCTAATTTTTTTATTAATAACATTTTGTGCATTAGATGTGCAAATAAAACATGTTATGTTCTTAAATTTAAGTCAAGTTGTTATATAAAATTTTAAGTTGATGAGTTCTTACGATTAAAACCTTATTATGTAACTCTTGAATATAATTGTATCTTGTATAAAACTTAAAAATAAATCTTATGATTAATAACCATAGCTTTAGTCTTTTTCTTCTCCAATGATTTGACCTTTCTGTCCAAGCCGTTACTTTGTAAGTTAACGTCGCTGCCGCCATCTTGTTTTGCGTCGTCGCCATCTTGTGATTCTTCATCTTCGTCGTACATATGTTTCATGGAACAGTCGAAATAAAGCTTGTCCTCTACTAAACGATAGTCGGGCTTTGTTATGGTGCCACGTACGCAGTCGTGGTAGTGACAAACAATCTTTTCTTGTTCGTAGGTTTCACAGGAACCTAGAATTTCGTAATGTAAAATTGGTATATCTAGTAAAACACCTATGTAGGAAACAAATGAAGGACTAAAAGTACTCAGTTTATATACAGGTATTAAAGGAAAATCAGAAGTTAATTTTCATGTAGAACATTTTTGTCTCTTATGGAAGTCAAGTTTTTGTATTAATATTTTGTTTCTTCCGTCCATTTTGTTTCCTTAATGGGGAATAGTAATATCATCCATAACAATGTATCACGTTAAATAGATCTCCACACCGTCCTCCTGGAAACCATTACTATTAGATATTTCCTGGTGAATTCGCCACTAAACACTAACTGAATTGACTTCATTCACTACCTGTCATTTTCTCGTGCCTATACTATTTGCGTAGCATGTATCATTTCATCGTCAAAAAATATAAAAAGTTTGGAAGTGTTAGTAATAAGAATTAGTATCGACTTTCGCCCTATACGTAAGTATAACATTAGTGCAGGCGGGTGCACTCTTTCATTAACATCCATAACAAAACCTCACCAGGTCTTTGCACTCTGACGGTGAGTACAGCTCGCTCTGGTGCCATATTGCGGAAATATACGAGGTAGCATGCCAGCATGGTCCCGGTGCGCCCGCGACCATGACGGCAGTGCACGCCTATTACCTGTAAATGAACATGGAATGAAAATGTTGGTGACATTATTTATGACCTCATTACCAGCAAGCCAACACTATGTCATAGCTACTATGTCGACACCCTGTTAATGTGAGACGTAATTTATGGATGATGATGGATCCGATATGATGCTCCTAACATCATCATTTATATCATTCCAGATTAACTTCCATTGAAGATGCATCAATTTAAGCGTGTTCCGAATTCAGGGCTGAAGTGACTTCCGAGACATAGTGATGTGCCTTGTCTCGGAAGTCACTTTAGCCTTGAATTCGGCTTGTAGTCTTAGTAATTCTACATTTATGATGACTTTTACGCCCACAGGTTTACTTTCATTCTGATTTCATGTACCTAATATGTTTTAACTATTTAATTTCACCTTTTTATTGTTATGTTATATTATACTAGATGTACCCGCGACTTCGTCCGCGTAAAATAGTGACCTTGAGCAAATAATAAAAAATATATATTAATAATCTAACCCAATAAAAAAGTTTCATCGTTCTAGCTTCAAAAATGAAATTTCCATACATAATTCCATACAATTTAATCAACAGCCAAAAACTAAGTTTCAAACTACTATCTTTAAAATGAAGATCCTTCCATACATACCATACATACATTACATCTCCCCTTTCAACCCCTTATAACCCTTTTTCTTGTTTTTTTTAATGCTACTTATATTAGTGTCATCATGTACCAATGATAAGATGTCGCTATACTGTAACCATTTATGGCCGAGTCCTGTGGCGGTAGGTACTGATATTTTCTCAACAGCTCTAGCTTTAAAAAATGACAATACATGCATACAACATTTTAACTCCCCTTTTGACCTTTCCCCTTACAACCCATTTTCGTTAATTATATTTAATCAATACAATTGAAGCTTAAACTTTTAAAAAATTCCTCTTTCAGTCTCTTATAACCCTTTTTAGCATTAAAAAGTAACCTATGTCCTATCTCAAGATCTAGACTTTAAATTTCATTTAAATCAGTTCAGAAGTTTTGGCTTTTAAGACAGACAGACAGAATCACTTTCACTTTCATAATATTAGTAAGGTATTTATTAAATAAACTGACCCAAAAAAGCGTAAGAAAAAAGCTTCATCGTTCTAGCTTCAAATATGACGAATTTCCATAAAAACTTTTATCTGCTATTTTATTTTACCCCTTGAATGGTGACAATATGATATTTACAAATTTAAATGTCATATTTATTTATATTTAATAAACAGTTTAAACATTTCTTTAAATTCTTTTGAAAATTGGTGGTCCAGTTGGCCAATAACATAATAAAATTTTGTTAAATCAAAATAATAGATGTGATATTCTAAATTGCAAACTATCCCTCTACTTGCGCGAACCATATCTCTGACTCTACTGGCCAGAATGGAGAAACGCGTATTCCGAACCTGAATAGCTCGGATGGAACGGTAGATGTTGTTTCTTCCAAGGAAATGTTGTTCATATGTATTGACAACATTTTTAATATTATATGTTGTTTTATTCTTCAAAAATATTAATAATATGTTCTTACGCTCTTGTCCAAGAGCAGGGTCATCAGTTATAGGCTATACCAGGATTATATTTATGTATTTATAAAATAAAATTGCAGAGCAAACGTTTATTCATTTAAATTCATAAGGAGACAACGGATTGACAATAATCAGTTGCGCGCGCAACGCAACGCATGCGCGCTGCTTATACAAATGACATAATATATGTTTATTTATGACATATGAGCGTTAATAAGTCTCATATTTAGTACAATACTGGTGTAATTCAGAAATTAAAAATTTTTGAAAATAGACTTAATAACACAATTATAAAGTAGACTTTCCAAAATATCTAATTTTTTAGTTAAGCCATTATTATAATAAGTGTGTATTCAACCGCATAAAGATAACCTTGCATTACCATTTTCAACCCCTTACAACCCTTTTTTCGCATTAAAAAGTAGCCTATGTCCTTCCTCGGCGTCTAGACTATATGGGTACCAAATTTCATTTAAATCAGTTCAGTAGTTTTGGCGTGAAAGCGAGACAGACAGACAGACAGACAGACAGACAGACAGACAGACAGACAGAGTTACTTTCGCATTTATAATATTAGTAAGGATTAGATATGTATTATACGTTGTTACCAGTTTCAATTAGGTGGGTCGTAAGCTTGTTTACCATTCGAATTAGGGACATAAAAATTATTTCTCTTACCTCGCCTCTAATGGCCGCTCGTTCGCAAATTTCAATAAACTTCAATATCTGCTTCAATGTCGGCGCGCCGAACTCTTTTATTCTAATTTCTGTCCATTTTAATTTCTTCTCACATTCTAATATTGGTGGTCTTCTCTCTGGTGATAGAGTCACCAAATGATTTACACCTGCGTCCACTAAGTAGTTCAAATTAGCGACCGTTTGCGGCCATCCCATAGCAGCTATTTTATTCTCAACAAACCACGAAAAGTTGTACGGGGGATATGATTCATATTCTTTCTCTTCAACTGAAGCAGCTTTGTTTGTTTCCTTTGCCTCGGTCCTTTCTTTTTGTTCCTCTGCATATTTGTAAAACAATTTCGCCAATTTCACATTGGGCCTTATTTGTACAGTAGTCATTTCGAATTGTGTTGGTATTTTAATATATTTGTTGTATTGAACGTTCTGTAATATAGTAAGTTATTGATTGGGTGTTACATTTCCGATTTCGTCTCATATCGTTAGGACTAAACTATTTCGTAATTACAAACGTGCATTCATTGTTCATGTACCTACGAGATTTAAATTTAATATTATATAGACAGCTAATGTTATATAACTGAAGTTATATGATAGAATGTTAATAGATAGATTTAAAAAAAGTTGAGGTTCGTGCCAGTTCTCAACAGAATCTATCTGAACAGGCTGAAATGTCATAGGTACAGGTTTTTTTTAACTCATTGGAATCGCAATCAAATTGACGGTCTACCTAATCCGTGGTATCTCATTAGGTGCCATTCAGAAGGACTACGATGTCATACCTCTATAAACTCACAGTTTTATCTCTTCAACAAAAACACATCTTTACAAAGCAAATTACTTCTGATAGGCGACTTAAATAGGTGAGACTACGGTACTCATCCGTGGTATACTAACAATTTTATTAGTAGTAAATGTATCAAGGATAATATTAAAGATTCACTGTACTTAATTCAGAATGAAATCGAATTTATTAATATTATTATACTTGATAAAGACACAAACTCACCTTAACGGAAATTCAATTATAATTATCACTTACACAAAACCAACGCATAAAGCTGAAGAAAGTATGTAATGACTTCCGAAACATAGAGAAATTGTAGTATGTATTGTATTTATTTTGAGTACTCTGTTTGGACCAGACATTTTGTTTGTTGGATGTATGCCAGCCAATATATGTTGGCTAACATTTGGCAGACACGGTTTGACATTTAGACTTGGTTTCCATCTGCCAATTTCAATTGATGAGGACTTGTTCTACACTTTGATTTAGTTCGACCTACAGAAGACACTAAAAATAAATAAATTTAGTTAGAGTCGGCACTGTCAACTCTCAACTATGTTCTGAATGCAACATTTGAAATAGCCAAACATCGCTGGGTATATCTTAATATAGTAGTTTAAAGTTTAGTATATACTTTGATATCGATATTACCACCATCAGGGTGTTAGTCAGTTTCTATTGACAAAGTTATTGCCGTCTGTCAAGTTTGGACTTAGGACTTTTTAAACATCATAATGTTCACAATATTATCTACTAGTTGTGCCCGCCACTTTGTTGGCATGGTTATCAAAAACACTGTGGTTTTCGAAGTTTTTGCAACATTTTTCACTGGTGCTTCGCTTCTATTGGTCGTAGCGAAATGTTATATAGTTTAAAGCCTTCTTCGACAAATAGACTAATCAACACAATAATATTTTTTCCATTCCAAACCAGTAGTTCCTGAGATTAGCGCGTTCAAACAAACAAATTCTTTAGCTTTATAATATTATTATATATTATTATTATTACTATAGTTATTTAAATAAATATTATTATAAATTCTCTCAAATAAACAATATATATTCACGTTTTCATAATAAACGTATACATAGTAGTTTTAGTTGGTTTGAATCTCGACTTCAGTAAACATTACAAAAGAAATATCCAGCTGACTCGGCAAACGTTATTTTGCCATTTAAATTGTTTCTTGTGGGATCTCCCTTACTTACGTGTATAAAAAAAATGGCTACGACAGACTCTACCAAATATGCACCATAAATTCATAAAAATTTGTCGAACCGTTTCGTAGCAGTTCTACATATAACCACCACTAACACAAGATTTTTTTATAAGAAATATATATGAATGTAACTATTCTTTTTTTGTTAAATATATAAATTGTAATGTGTATAAATTACATATTCTCTCTCATTGAAGAGATATTGTTTGCCAAGTTTTAGTAACTAAATTAATTTCCGCTGGAGATTTATTGCTCGTGTTAACTACGCACATGCTCTATTTATAATGTTAAAGCTTAGCATTGTCGTTAAGTTTATTTTCAAGAATGACGCTACATAAGAAGACTGTCTACCCCCCCCCCCCCTTTCCGCTCCGCCTGCTTTAATTCATCTGTTTTACAAACCGTATTGAATTACAATTAGATTCACGCACATATAAACCTTCCTCTTGAATCACTCTATCTATTGTTGAAACTTGCATTACAATCCGTTGCATAATTTAAAGTTATAAGCGAACAGACAGCTGCTCATACGTCATACTCGTGAACGAGTGCTGCTTGTAGAGACTGATCTGCTCTAATCACTACGACTGTTTTAATCCTATTTTGTACTTAAAAATCAGACTAATTAGTGCTAGTTGGTGGTTTGTATTCGCATGTTTCGAATTGAAAATGTAAAGTTACAATGATTATTTAAAAGAGCAATACGCAAGTTTCTTGTTCGTTCTTGTGATTAGACAGCCTTCCGAATGAGCGGTAGATTAAAAGAATGATAACTGTGACTATTCAAAAGGGCTTAAATTAAGTTTATTTGAATAAATTATTTTCTATTCTATTCTATTATACTATGTAAGGATAAGGGCGTTTGTTGATGGAGATAAGTGGTCGATTGCTAGCAATATAAAGTCTACCTTGTAAGGTCGAACATCTGAATTGCTTTTCAAAATGAGAGTCATTTTGATCTTGTATGTAGATATATAAAAAGAGATATAGGTATATTGTATAAAAATTAATTTTAATTCTTATATCAGGTACTTACAATTTACAAATCAATTCACTTTAATAATAATTTAGGTACTAATTCAACGATAACAGATCACAATGCTTTCTTGGTAGTCTCCCTGGCCGTTTCAATGAATTCTTCCATCACATCACCGCTTACCCCGAACTTAAGAGGATTGTCTTCGGTCAAGTATTCGAAGTACCGGCCCACTGCTTCTTCATGCTCGGGGAAGTCCAGAGAACCTGTTATAAAGGCGGGAGGTGATTTTTTAGTAATGTGGACTCATGACCCCATTGCAATGTACCATGTCAGGTTGACCTCCACGCGGTTCCCCCTGGAAACTATCGTGATAAATTCCTGGTGAATTTGTCACGATGGGCTAACTGACCTGACCTCATGTTCATCTTATCATCCTCCACTGGTGCTCCGCCAGCGTAAACCGTTAGCACAGGCGCACGCTCCATTCCATTATCATCCATAAAAAAAACCTGTTATAAGTGCAAAAGTAAGCATTTTACATGAAAAATACAAAACTTTATTGTAGTAGTGGCATAATACTTAAGTTCCTTAAAAAAATTATACATCATACTTATGAGAGCGTCATAGCCTATTAGTGGTTTACTACCCATTTTAGAATTCAGCGTGAGTTCAAATCTGGCCGACCCAAAAAATCTTCTGTATCAATTGTCTATCTCTCGGGTGATGAAAACACCGATAACAAATCAAATTATTCCCAGAAACAGTGCGGTTTGTTCTTCAGCGTGCTCGTCTGTTGGTTGGTTGGTTGTCTGTTGGTTTAGTATATGCAAACTGCGCGGACTGAGATAAATTTGTGATATAGAGAAGTGTAGATTCGTGTATTTTTTTTAATTATGCATAATCTATAAAAAAAGCATTACCATGTATTTGACACTCGCACGATTGAACACTTTTGTTTATTGTTAAAATCTGTGATCTGTGTCTCAAATTGAGAATATATTAAAATTGTTTGTCTTTAATAGACATTATGTCTTTATGATTTTTATTAGATGTTAAATTAATTATGGTCGAATTGCGACCACTAGGTGATTAGGTGACTATTAGTTATTATAAACCTCCGTTCTGTCCCGCTATTTCAACCATTAATTTCCACTTTGAATTTGTAATAAGAAGTAATGTTTCATATAATAAATGAACTATTAAAATTACTTATTAAAACAAAATATTGTTTAGTTTTGTGAGGAATCTAATAATGCCAAAAATTATCAAAAAGTACCAAAAAATTATTGCCGTACCGGGAATCGAACCCGAGCCTCCTGGGTGAAAGCCAGGTATCCTAGCCACTAGACCATACGGGATATGCTTTCTTATTTCAATTTAACAAGGTATTCACACTATTTGCTATCTGAAGTATAATCTTATTTTATAATATAATAAATAGATTTGAATTATTATTAATTTATCATATACAGCTAGCCAGATATATGATATTACATATTATTACGACGAACTATGTACATTCCTCGACTTTTATATGTGTGCTTAGAAAACAGTTCTCATACATCAACATAATTTAAAAAATATCTTGTTACGAAGAGACTGTCAAATAAAATATGACTAATGTGTATAAGTACATTACCATCAGAAACAGCCGTCATAATTTGTTATTCATTCGCCTTAGCAAATAGATTGAATGACGAAATACAAATGTTATCTATTTCTGTTTGGGATATGCACTCTTCGGTAGTAATACTTCTAAATATGTATTACATATTTAAAAGTATTAAGCGCGAGAACTATTTTAAGGAAAAAATTGAGCAACAATTATCAGGGTAGTAATAGTTCCCAATTGTGTAATATAGTTAAGTATCGATATAGTTCTTACTACGAATAAATTTTCTTGTCCTTACAATAATGTACTTTACACAAGACTTTCTAATTCAAATAATTCAATCAAGTAAAAGTGTGATCAAGATTGATTTTAATCTTAAGGAAGAAACTAAGTAAATTTACGAGTTTTTATTTTAATTTCTTTTCCTTGTTTTTTACCTACATGCTTAGTTTACTTTTTGCGTAGTTGGGATTTTTATTATATTTATTTAATTCATTATATTAGATGACTTGTCTAAAGGTCTTATCTACGACTCTGCATATTATGGTCCCGTTATTTTTTATTACCTGAAACAGTATCCTTTGTTTGAGGCTCGAGTTCTAGAGTATAATGTAGGAAGGGTATGATTATTACCTGTTCGTATCATCCTGATCACATTCATAGCTTGGTCAGGTAGAAATCTGTGGAAGTGTACCAGGTAGCACGCCAGCATCACACCAGACCGGCTGCGGCCTTGTCTACAGTGGACACCTATTACCTGTCCAAGATACGTTTTTTTTACTGTTACTGGAGTATAAGTTATAATATATAAGTTCGGACAACTCACACAGCGCCATCTAGTCCCAAGCTAAATAGAGCTTGTGTTGTGGGTACTAGACAATTGATATAAATGCTTAGATACATTTTTTAAATACATACATAATATACATAGAAAACACCCAGATCAATACAAACAATAGAATTGTTTGCACCGTTGAATTGAACCCGCGACCATCGGAAGTAAAGCGGTGTCCTATATCTACCACTAAACTACCAGTAAAAGGGAGGTAAAAAGTAGCTTTGCATCCATGCACATTGCATCTCTTATGGTTTAACGGCCCAGTTTTTAAAAGTATGTATTCTCCGTTACAACTGATAAAATTAATGAACAGTGGTTTAGCTGTTTGCACGGTGGTCGCTGGTTCGATTCCTAGCACGATACAAACATTTGTATTTATGAGTATGATTGTTTCTATAATTCCAGTGTTTTCTGTCTATTTATGTAATTCATTAAATTTGTATATATTTCTATAAGTTGTTTATTACCAGATATTCTTAACTTTGGACTATATGGCGCAATGGGTGCATATCGGTTTATATCAATAACCTGTTTAAGCAATATTAAGTATGAAAAAATATTTTAGTCAGTAAATCAATCAGGAAAAACGGCATTCTATAAACTTGCAACATTTAAATGTGATATATTCACTATATTTTTTATCTACAGCCTAACAAACATTTATACAATAAGTAAAAATTTGGTCATACCTCGCCATTCTTGTCTGCTCTCTTACATAGGTCAATAAACTTCTTTATGTGTTCCAAAGTAGGCGTTTCAAACTCTTCTATGGGTATATCTGTCCACCTCAACCTTGGAACATCGTCAACGGGTGGTTTCTTACCAGCGGTCAGTGTTACCAGATGTGTTATACTCTGATTTACAATAAATTGAACGTTCTCTTTGTTCCTCGGGAACGCCATTGCTGCCAACTTTTTAGGAATGATCCATGAGAATTTTAGCGGTGGGTAAGCGTCGACTTCTATCTCTGGAAACGGGTTTTCGGGAATAATAACAGTTAATTCATTCCGTATTTCTTTTTTCGCACCAGCTAAATGTTTATCGTCTTGCTCTGTGATATCTTCCATTCTTGTAATCACTTCATAACTTTCGTCGGCCATGATGCACTGTTATTACACTGCCACAAAATAATACACGTGCAGGTAAATTGGCGCGAAATAATTCAATTTTTAATTTTTTTTTTTATTCAATATACGAACACCAGCATAACGTATGTACAGCTACGGCCTAGTTTAACCATCTAGCCAGATAATTTTGTATTGACTGAACGAAAGGGCAAAGAAACTTGGCACACTCTCCTATTTTCTGGAGAGCGTGTAACATTTATTTCTGGAAGCTGACACCTTGACAACGTGTATTTTCCAATGCCAAGGTAGTCTGCTGTTTAATTATGTACCTTAGTATTTGGTATTAAGAGACATAAATTTTATTTTTTATTATTGTTAATTCTGTTTGTCTGGCATTATATTGCCAGATTTGTTGTCAATGTTGTTAAAAAAGTGATTTGTTAAAGTGAAAAAAAGTAACCACAGACAATATTTTAGTCTGTGACGTGGTGTAGTTTTCTCAATGAGACGATGACGTCTTTTCTGTGCTTGTAAACATCGTCAGGAAGCAACTAATTTTAATTGTTAACGGCTTGTTATTGACTATTAAATCTGTTTCTAAACAAAACTGTTATTTTGAATTTTATCGCTTTGGCTTATGTTTGTTTCCTGACATAAACTACCCAAATACTTCATTTTGAGAAATCTAGTTAGATATGTGTTTGAAACAAGTGTTGCAAAAATTAAAGTTTTAAAACAGGACTTGAACCCGTATCTCAGTCATGTGGCATTTAAATTAATTTAAAATCGGATCAGCATCTAGTAATGGAGATTCCTCGAACATATTTATGCGATGCACTATTTTTTTTAATGGGTATTAAAGGAATGTTGCATCCGATTACTAACGGCGCGGCGCACTGGCGGGACATCACTGGAGTATAACAAAATGAACATGATATCAGGTCAGTTAGACCATCGTCACAAATTGAGCAGGAATTTATTATGGTGGTTTCCATAAGGAGAGGAATGGTCCGCGTGGGGGTCAACCTGACATAGTACATTGCCAGTTATTCGTGGGTGGGTGGGTATTAGTGGTAGGGTTATTAGTGCACATCACAAACCTCCCACACTGCACTATTATCTAATGGTAAACGGTAATCATCGCGTCATAAGTGCTCATCCAATCAATCAGTCCCGTTTCATGCCAGCCTCTCCCTAGAGGGGACTACAAAGGGCGACTGTTACGTTGGGAGCGCGCTCGCGGGCTACCTAAGCGGACATTAACGAAAGACGCGTAGGTTATACAGTACGACCGACATAAGACCTTAGCTGTTCTATACCCAACCACAACGCTATCTGAACGCGACGCAAGAAAGGCGAGGGTAGTAGACCAAGTTACAATGGACGTGCCATGAATAGGTATATACTTGAATAGCACTACGGACATCACGTGTATCTAATTCTAATGAAATGAATAAACTCAAGAAATAAAAAACTCTTGAGTTTATTCTTTACAAAAATATACAACCTTTTCCCTTAATAAGGTACTAATAGCTACTGTTATTGTTGGAACATAATGGACTAAAGTACTTACCCGTAATATTTACGATATGATCACTAAAAAATAATTTATAGTGAGCCTCTACTGAAATCAAAAGTAACACTGATATCATTTAATTGATCACTCGTATGGGCGAGATGTATTAATATCTTAATGCAAATCATAATTTATTAAAACATAAACAAATACGGCAATCTAGACCTTATAGCATGGTGTTAGAATTGACATGAAAATGAGAGTACGTAGGTACCTACTTAAACGGTTGTTTAATTTGGCGCCTGAAAGAGGTTAACGGCCAATATGATATTTGTTTTTTATGTAACTGCAATGGCAAACAAGATTGACCGAGTGGTACAAGTCTGACACCAATTTGACAGAAGGCGATTATTAGTAACGGGGACCGGTGGCCCCATTGCTAGACTAGATCCTAAACCTATATCAGGTTTAAAACCATCGTGGTTCATTCCAACTGACCATACTCCATGAAGAATACTACCCATCCTCCACTGGTGCCCAGGTAACGTATACTGTTAGCACAGGCAGTTATATCAGATCTAGACATATTTACTTGTAATTTGCTGGAGTTTCGTAGGATGGAAGTGGATTATTTAGGTAGTATGTTAAATGGAGATTAGGTATTATTATTATTATTGTTTTTTTTTCTCTTTTGTTTTTCTTGTGTAATTACTGTTTATAATTGTATGTATTTGTATATTATCTTCCTAAGTGGGCATATTGGGAGACTGTTAAGCTCACTTAGTACGATGTAAATAAATAAATAAATCACTCTATTATCATACAAAAAAACGTTCTCGACTTTTATTTAAAAAAAAATAACTGTAAGCCAAGGTGACTGACCCATTTGCGTGTCGAATTGAGATTAACAAGACAAGGTCATATATTTTCGCCGCTTTATAACAAAAAGTGTGGCCTATATACATAATTATTATAATATATTATGACTGCTTCAGTGGTTTCGGGGTTTAACACACCGCTTTACTTCCGATGGTCACGGGTTCGATTCCTTGCACTGTACAAACATTTGTAATAATGAGTATGATTGTAAAAAAACATCTTTGGTCACCTCTTTGATTTCTGTGCCACTTGAAACCAGACCTTGTTTGTCATGACCTAAATGCAAACACGTGGTTTGAAGTACATGTACCATGGTACCGTTGCTTCCAGGGCCGTCCTCGGTGACGCTGTACCTACTATTGATAAAAAGGTGCTATTGTGTTATTTTCAACAACAAAAAACTGTAAGCTACATTTTATTTTATTTTCGGATTACTCCAATGCAGCAGATAGCTTTTAAAAACTCACGGAAGGATTTTTGGAGCGGTTAGATGCCAATTCCTGCCTGACAGATTCGATTTTAGTCTGAGGGCACCGCTAGGGATCCTCAGCTCAGACCCTCAATTTCGACCCCCGTTTAAATTGGACGGGGATCGATATTTTGTACTCGGAGGACTATATATCCATCTACACGTTATATTAGGGAATAAATAACAAGTATAGTAGTTTTAAATAAGAATATATTTTATTACATACAACGCGGGTGCTTAATATAGTGTAAATAAAACTCCTAAACTATGCTATTTGACTAATATAAGATACACTTGGACCATCTCATTTGAGCCAATCAACAATTTTACATTTAAAGTTATAGCGGAATTCAATACAGCCAATTTAACGAAATTAATGATAATCTAAGTAGAGGGTTTAAACAAAATACCCGTAACAATGCAATTTTAGTGTAATGATAATTTAATTTCAATGAAATTGAGCTTTTTTTTTATATACGTAAGGATATTGAAATACAGCGATAATAGTAGTAAAATCTTATATAAGTTTATCATTTTCTTAGTTAATTGGAATGACAAACAAGCTGACGGTCCACCTGATGGTAAGTGGTAACCGTCGCCTATATACATTTATAAATAAATAAAGCTCGAAGACCTTGTATGTAAGAGATATTTGTATGTATAAAAAACACTTTTTTTTTCAATAATATCTTGGCAAAGCCCATGATCTCTAATTGTTTATTTTCAAGAATACAATATCGCTGAGTTTGTTAGCAATTATAATAAAATGTTATACAGGTGAATCGATAATGTACTGGAATCTTCTAGAATTTGTATATTTATTACTAAAAAGAAATAGACAAACTCTACAAGTGTTCTATTTGTGTTTGAGTGATATGATGAATTATATTTAAAATAATGGGTTCTATTGCCTGTTGAAAATATCTTCTTTTACTCTGTGACATAATCGGTCCCATGGTTACTTTTAGTATTTTTGTTACTTTTTAAAGTATTACATTAAATATAAGTCTATGGACGCATACTTAAATTCACCTGTACTCACTTCTTTTACATTTTGGACTTATTTAACATTTATTCGAGACCAAATTGCCTAAAATTTAGTTCCTTGATTATTTTAGGGGTTCCTATTTAGTTCATTATAAAAGTAGTAATATTAATATGACCATCTTATTAATAAAAAGCGCCAAACTACTTGCAAAGTATAGTATAGTATAGTCATTGTTTTGTCCTTCTCCTATCAGTTATTTTGTTCATTTGATAGAAAGTGACAGTAATTATAATGGTTAAATCGACTTTGGAGATTGGTGATTTTTATTAATAAGATGGTTATTATTTATAACAATAAAGGCCGCGTGTGATATATGAATTAAGTACATAGATTAAATGAATCACAGAATATAAAGATGTAAAATGGTACAATAAAAACAATTAGAAATATATAATAGCGTTAATACTCACAAGGTTAAGTTAAGTAATACATGATTATTGTTTTAATTCGTCTTCAACTTTGACATAAAAATTTGTGTCCGAAATTTCTTTTTCCGTCGTAAACCCTATATTCGTTCAGACAGCGAACAGTCCTATTTGATAGACATAAACTATTTCAATTGACATATAACATTCAGGACGAACAAACAAATTTGTACCGTAATAACAGTTACATTAAGTTCATTATGTTTCTGTAAAAGACGTTCGTCATATATTATATTGATATAAAACCGTTTAAAGACATTTCAATTTAGGCTGGTCACACGGTCAGGTTGGGTTGCCCTAAAGTGACTTCCGTTACTATTGGTCCATTTCCAAAGGGGGCGTGGCGTAGCAACCAAATGTGCCAATCAAACGGGAGTCGTATAAGGCAATAATCTGACAAAGTAAATAATGTGTGACGACCGATTAGACTTATTATACATGTTAATGTTTCTTTTATTCATAAAAATATGAGAAATATTGTGATAAAACTATTGAACAGTATCTTCTTTTTTAATTATTATCTTCATTTGATTGAAAGAGACAATACACATAATTACGTAGACTTATTTTTTATAAACAAGAATGTTATAACAATATCGATACTTTTTAATTTAGCCATATTATATACTTTAATACTGTTTTATTAATCAATAAATTTTACGTGCTTATTGCTTAATAAGCGATGATAAATTGAGCATAATAAAATTTAAATATCGTAATATCAAAATTATTATTTCGTAGTACCAAGTATATGTGATAAGAAATTCTAACTTAATGTTATAAAATGGAAAGTGAGTTTGATGTTTTATATATTTATGTTTTAATTAATCACCATTAAAAATCTTACTGTATAAAAACACAAAGATGAATCTTTTATAATAACATTCCTGGACAATTTACACAACGCCATCTAGTCCTAAGGTAAGCAGAGTTTGTGTTATAGGTACTAGACATCTGATAAAAATACCTAATTATATATAATTTTAAATTCATACATAATATCCATAGAGCACATCTAGACTCAATCAAGAATATTTTTTTATAAACTTATGTTTTAACACATTGTATCACACGACGAATCATTTTTAGACCTCTCTCCCCGTTCTTGTCAACGCTGTGCACAATTGTAATTCTCCGTAGTGTGACATTTTTCTAATTTGATTAAATATGGAGATATTTTTAAGTTTCACTTTAATAGTTCAATTATCGTATTTTAATAAATTTGATGTATGACCTCAAGAAATTTTGTACTCCCTCTCCCCTCAAGTCACATAATGTCACACTTTGTCGACCCGTTAGAGGACGGAAACGTTAGACGAATACACTATTTCATAATTATCAATTACAAAAAAACGCTCTGTCCAGATAAATAAATTACAGCAATCCAAACTTACTTTCCTATTTATAATATTATTCGTTAGAATTTAGTTCTCATATATCTATTCAATTATTTATTATAAGCTAGCTAAAGCCATAATAGTATATAACGAGTTTTTACCTAATTCCACCAATCAAACATTATTGGTACAAATAAACATATCCAAATTTTCTATTGCTATGTGAGCATTTTATATTTTATATCGATATTGCATATGATATGTCTTATACTAAACTCCCAGTATTGAAACGTAACTAAAATGGATTATAAATAATGGAAATTAACCTAAAATGTAAGTAGTTATTTACGATAAAAAAATGCTGGCTGTAGACTTGCGTGTTACAACGAACAAATAATGTGATGTTTCATTTTTCTCTTTCATATAATTACGTTGTCTACCTCGCAATACACTTTGCGTTAAGATTCATTTATTAGGAAACATGTAAAATATGTATAAAAGGTAAGATATGGTAGTGAAATTACAGTACACGGCTTCATAACACAGAAGAATCATCAGAAATAGCAATGTCTTTTATCCTGTAATTTAACTGCCTAATCTGCACTTTACTTCGGAAACAGCTTACAAAACAAAATACTTTGGCGACAATATAAGAGACCTAGGTATCCACGCAGATGACTTTTTACAATCAAGAAGTAGATTTAACTTTAAAAATTCTTTACCCTATAGAAATAGCTGGTAAAACAATGCTACAAAAAAAGTAATACATATTTTAATTACTCCATTTTAGTGCTCACCGCGAGTCCAAGCCAGCATTCATACAGTCATAACTCGATATGATAATAAATTTAAAAAAAGGTTTACATAAATACTTTACCGCTAAATTCATAACGAATACTAATACTTCTTAATAAAGATTAACCAATTAAAATACTATAAAAGGAAACTTATAAATATACCATAACTGAACTACAAGGCACTAATTAGGCCTAATGTTATATATACATCACAAAATGCTACGAATAATGCACAGACACATAGTATGCACAAAATAAACATAGTAGCACACTTAGGAATAAATTAGTAAACAATGTTTTTTGGAAAATCAACATTACTACATCTCTATTTTAAAGTCGATAACAGAAAAATAAAATTTTGATAGTCAAGGCAAACTATTAAGCATGTAAATTATCATGTGAGAGACTGCTCAAAAAAAATCAACAAGTTTGAAATGAATAAAAATTGTAATGACTAATTCACTTTGAATGTTTTTAAAACATGAGACTTAGTAAAAATCTATAAAACAATATTTTTCGAAAAACAACTTTACAATACAATTTTAAAGTCCATAATAGAAAAATAAAATTTTGAAAGTTTAGGCAAATTATTATATTATATGCGCATGTCAGTTATCATGTGAAAGATTGTTCAAAAATAAAAACAACTACTGTTAAATGTTAAAAATTCTAATGACTTATTTCAAATTCAATTCAATTTCAGAAATCAAATTGTAAATGTGTTTTATCGTCTAAAAATATATGAAAATGTTTTACACGGTCCGTCGTGACGGATAGCAACTAGTTGGAGAAATGTTATGAATATCTTTAATAAGTATATATTTTCAATGTCAGTAATACTACATTGTTTCTACTGATTGTATTGATAAATGCGTATGCGTGTATTCTGTGCGTCTGCGCATTATTCGGACATATCTTACACCGATTTCGCATAAGTCTCACTATAAAAATAATCCAGTCTGTTGGTAACTCGGCTAAGAGTTATTACCTATGTTTATTCGCACCTATTTTTCATATAAAAGAAGTGTATATTGCATCTCCGCAGTGTTTATATTATCTTAGGGAACACAACCATAATACGTGACCTCTTCGATATATGCCTCACCCCTTTTTATACCAATTAAAATAAAAAGAAATATTATAAAAGTCACGATTAAAAAAAAACAACGCTAATTTCCCCTAGAGGTTATTGACTCCCTCCCTCGCTCGTTTATCACGTAGTACGGGTACGTTCATTAAGTTGCGGAAATAACTGTGCGGACTTAATCACAATGTGAATAAGTTCTTATACGTCACTAAAGCCGAGATTCAAGGCACGATGTCTATTAAAAATGGAATATTGCAAGCAACAGCGGGAAACTATATTTGTCTCTTTCTAAGTTGCCTGTAATAAGTTTATATAGTCGATACATAAGTTTATTCCTATTCTTATTCATTACTCGTGTTAGGGCCAATATGTTTTTAGATTATGTTGCTGCAATCATCGGATTTCGAATAGTATGATACACATATACATATAGTGTAATGGTACCACTATATAACAATGAATTAAGACGTACTGTGTCATGTTCAATAAAAACTAAATGAATGAGATATATATTTGAATAACTATTCATTCTTTAGCCAACATTCATACAATATGAAAGATGATTAGATGACTGTATAAACTTTCATCGTTGCCTGATCTGATTCCAAAAAAATTATTAAAAAAATGGACTGAATACAGAAAACAATAATATAATATCTTCAAACACTATGGTGATTGTGTCCTAATTGCACTTAAGTACTAAAATCTATATACACACAATAATTGTGACTTACCTATTTTGACACTTAATATGTTAAAAATAAGGCATAGTATGGAATGTAAGCGAGCGCGTCTCGAACTTATTGTCTTCGAATTTCAAATAAGAAAATATATTTTTGCACCGTTACTTATAATAAATGGAATGTTCATTTGATTTTGACACTTGTAACCTTGAAGTCAGGCTATAATTTCGCCTGTAACGATTTATTATGTACTAGAGGTGGAGAACTTGCCCGTCGTCCTTTGTGGGAATGTGAGGAAAATTGGATTCTGGTTGGTCTTCTAATGTGACCGCAGTGAGGTCGACTATTTCGTCTTGTTCGTCTTGGTCGAATCTGAAAGAGAGAGAATATTATATTTAATTCAGTCACATTTATACAATTTTGAACTTCGTATTCAGATTTTATATTGAGAATTTAGTTATTACAAAAGCATAGACAATTCGAAATTCCTGGTTCTACAAAAGAAATACGGTGTCATGTCAGTCACCTCGACGATGGGCGAAAGTGGGGAACTGGGTAGAATCTCCTCTAAATTTCCTCGCGTAGAGGTAGGCTCGCTCACGCGGACAACTGCTAACCGAGTTGAATGTTCAGCGGCTCCATGATCCCGGTACTACGCGGCGAAGGATTTGTTTTGTGCGAAGGGAATGTGAGAAGAGGAGTGAGCGTGTGAATGGGAGGTGTATCACCTGTCGTCATCGGTGTCGGTCGAGAGGAGGGAGTGTGAGAAGGAGAGCGCGCGTGCGAGTGGGGTTGTATCACCTGTCGTCATCGGTGATGGATGTGAGGAAGGAGTATGAGAAGGGAATGTGCGAGTGGGAGATGTATCGCCTAACCTCGTCGTGTTGGCTGTGAAGAGTGTGGAGAGAGTGTGAGAAGGGGAGTGAGCGTGCAAGTATCACCTGTCCTCGTCGGGCTCGCTGTCGTGCGTGTCTGCGGGCGCGGTGTCTGCGGGGGCGGGGGCGGCGGCGGCGGCGGGGGGCGCGGGCCCCGCGCGCTGGTTGGCGGGCCGCACGGTGATGATCAGGTTGGACGAGTTGGCCACCATCATGTCAGTCACCTGCATGGATGCACACACCACTCGATCATCACCCCAATACACTTTGTAAATATATGTGAATAGCGAGGAGTGGTTAGATACGCACATCGCGCCGTACAGCGAAGAGAGTGGAACTTTTCACTGTATATTTAGAGAAAATTATTATTTATTAATACATACTGAAGAAAACCATCTTAGCTTTACAATATTAGCATAGATTTATGACCCAACTTTTTTTGATGGTAAAGATGCTCCAGTGCTCCAGCGTTTTTATGCATCGCTTTACTTCCGGTGGTCGCTGGTTTGATTGCTCGCACGATACAAACATTTGTAATCATGAGTATCATAGCAAATATTGGTCTGAGTGTTCTCTATGCATATTATATACATATTTACGAAAAAAAATATTAGTAGTCTAGTGTTCATAATACAAGTTCTGCTCAGTTTGGTTCTAGATGGCGCTGTGTGAATTGCCAATAAAAGTGTTCTCACCTGGTCTAGAGTTTTATTGGAAACGTCGATACCATTGACTTCTAGCACTTCATCGTTGACGCCTAACAAACCAGTTGACTCCGCCAGCCCGCCTGGCACCAATCTTGATATGAATATACCGGGGGAACGCTCTACGCCATTAGGCGTCACTCTTACCGACGTGCCGTCTCTGAAAAATACAATACTATTTTTACGACGTAATAGTGATTAAATTTCCGATTGTCTGTCCCACTTTTTATCGGTTTTGAAGGTAAACCGGTTCAACAGGTAAGGAGCCCTAAACTCATGGCGTGGTCATCGGCGGAAGCTGCTTGTTAGTAATGTGGATTAATAAACTCATTGCTAGCAAAGCACTACGTCTGGTTGACCTCCACGTAGTTCCGTCTGAAAAGCATCGTGATAAATTAATGGCGAAATTTACCACCATGAACGAACTGACCTGACCTCTCATACTCATCTTATTATCCTCGACTGGTGACCCGCAATGGTAAATCATATGCGCAGGCGCCGTTACATTATCATCCATAAAAAACCTGCAGTCACCATTCTAGGTTAGCGCTTTCCAGTATTATTAACTATTAAATACTTATGAACTGTTCATAATATTTTATTGTAAACTTTCATACATTCCACAACCGCAGACCTACTCAATTTTTTTAACATGAAATTAATTTTACTTAAATGACAACTGAGGTAAAGAATGGATTCCTATGAAATTAGACAAAATCTGAGATGTTAGTTTTTAAACATTACTTTTATATGCTTGGGAATAACTTCACAAAGATATAAAAGTACGTATTATTAGCCATGGAGAGATATCATACCTAATGAAAAATCCTAGCGGCCTGTCAGACCCGTGTTTTAACAACTTCACTCTCCTGCACGTCTCCGGGACTATATCCACGTCTATAATGGCCGATACCTGAAAAAGAAATATGTAAATATACATATATGAAATAATACAACGACAATAATGTTACATAGTTCTTAAAATAACTAAATTCTATGCAGAATTGACATACATATCGCATAATTTGTAATTATGCATGGAATACTTATGGGAAAATATTGCTGTTCAAGCTTTCTTGAGGATTATTCTATTATTATATAATATACTGTACCAATATTTTCTCTATACATAATTAATCTATCTGTTTTTCTCTTCCATTCATCCCTGTTCGCAGTCATCATTTATTTTGTGGCCATATCATCTTTTAACAGTCCATCCATCTCTTTTTCGGCCTTCCCCTGCCTTTATAACCCTCCACATTATATATGGAAATAATTCTCAAGAATACAGGAGAACTACGTAGCAAGCACAGCTTTATTAATATTTTAATAACTATTAATAGAGCAGCATTAATAGAGAGAATATATTCAGGAGTAATTAATTTTTAATACCACTCACCATTCTAAAATCGTGTGGATTGGAAATAGCGAGCCCCTTATTTTTAGCCGGCGTTCCACTCAGTATAGAGGATATGATATTCCGAGGACGCATTGTTCCATATCCATTCAACTCTTCTAGGCTATCGCCTGGAAAAATGTACAACGAAATAGAAATAAACTTTATTCAAATAAATTTAATATAAACATTAAATAGTCACAATTTTATATTCTACCACACATTCGAAAACTAGATTTATCACAAAAAGAAAGAGCAAGAAACTTGCGTGTTGCTTAATTAAATAAATATTATTCAGAATAACATTTGGTGAATACTAACTGCCAAATGGCGAAGTTGACATAAATAAATGCATCGTGCCAGGAATCGAACTCGCGACCATCAGAATACGAAGGCGGTGTGTTAAACCTCTGGACCTCCGAGGCCGTAAATATATAGTTTTAGAAGTAAAGGAAGTCTAATACATTGTCTATGTATATGTATATACAAGCGTACTGTTCATTTTATATGGATTGGTATTTAATTCACTCGCTGTTTATGGTCGAGTGGCAACCACACAATAGTACAGAGGTATTGCTCAATGACAGTAGGTACTTAACAGTCATTACCGATTGAATTTATAATAAAAACTACTTAGCCGTTCCAGCTGCATTTCCTATTGTCTTGACTTAAGTTGAACTAAAACTATTTTGTTGCTACCATTGTTTTGGATATCCAGTTAAAAAAATATCCTTGGCTTATTAATTAAAATACAATTACGTTATCCGTTTATGATGTAGTTTTTTATAGAAGAAATAAATTTTAAAATCGAAAAAATAAGAGGAGTTTCATTACAAAGCGCTCGCTATCCAGAGGGAATTCATCTCCACACTTTGGAACCTAAGTGGTCTCGGACAGCACGGCTTCAGAGGAACTTCTTTCCGCGTACGCTTAGACTGTGGACTGAACTACCTGGCGAGGTTAGCTCCAGACTATAGCATAATGTTTTTCAAGAAATATTGAGATTTTTTAAGCACGTGACACATCTTTTCTGACGTCCATATGCTACAGTAACCGTTTACCATCAAATGGGCATTATGCTTTATTGCCACCATCATAATTTTAAAGATATATCTCTTCTTTCAGATTCATAATATTTAGATTGAGAAAGTCGCTCCCCTCTTTTAATTTGAAATCGATTTGGATACATGAGATCACTTCAAGTGCGGTATAGTGTAGCTCTGTCTGTAGCCAGTGATGCAAAGCATATGCTGTAGAGTTGTAGGTGCAATATATCGTAGTATGATTCTTAACTGGATTAACTAAATAATTACAATCAGTATTACGTATAACAAAATCGTGATGAGCGAGGTAAAATACTCAAGCCTAAAATACTCAAGTACCCGTGTGAGACTACTCTACCTACTCACTAAAAACTTCAAGTAACATAATACATCTGAGAAAAATATTTTATATTTTAGTCTTATTAATTTGAAACACATCCTCAACTAATTAATTTATTAATAAAATATAAATAGCGTTGTATGAATTGTGTTATTTTTGTTGTTAGATATTTTTTATTTATCTCTTTAGTAACCCCCGACAGAAAAAGATGACAGTTGCCGCACAATAACTACTTTTTCTTTTTTTTACCTCTTTAGCCACCCCCGGAGCAAATAGAAGGGTGTATATATGTGTGTTAAAATTTATAATTTTTGATATTTTTGTTGAAACAGGTTTCAAGCTAAAGCGAGCCGCCAGTCTATATTAATTGTATTAGGGAATTGACGCATTGCATGGTTACACGTCATAGAACCTTGCAGTGATCTATACAATGACGTCAATAAACAAACAGCATCAATGGCGACGAGTGGTGCGTGACAGCAGGTTAATCACACGTGGAATTAGGGCACGGCATCAAGTTATAGGCGAGAGCGATGAATGAATGAATGAAAAACTATTGTGCCGCTCACAGAAAGAAAATAAGAAAAACAATATAATTATAATATAAGGGTAACAATGGACGGCCTTATCGCTAAATAGCGATTTCTGCCAGCGATTTTAATTATAGTGTGTGGACTTTTGAAAGCCATGCTCCTTGTAATGATAATAATTAAAAGTCATTTTTCTATAGTGCTTTAAGGGCCCTTCATCAAATGGTCTAAAGCAAGGGGTCGACAAGGTGAGATGAGGGAACGATAGGGGTCGACAAATATTTTTATAGTAAAATATTTATCAAGACAACTACTAACCCAAAATCACGTCGTTAAGGTGAGATAAGGGAGCATTAGGGGTCGAAGGTGTGATAATGCGTGACAAGGGGCGGTAAGGGTCCAAATTATCGTGATGTCACATTACAAAAAAAATATCACATGCCGACGAGATGTCGGTGATGCCCTACATTTATATGTGCGAAGGTTGCCACTTACCATCAGGTGGGCCATAATATTACAGTTCCAGTTACATAATAAAAACTACAATTTTAACGGGCTTGTATAAACGATGAAAGTTTGTAACTTATTTTGTATGTGTTATTTATGTTTCATTACCGCTACTCTCGTGTCACGGTCATGTATTTGTGATGCGTGTGAACATTGAACAATGCAGACATAACATCACATCAACAAAGGATGCCACGCCACTATTCTTTAGTGGGTTCAATTCCGGAAACGGAAGGGTGATTAAAAATAAATTAAAAGAATAAAATAAAGGAAATAGTTTAAAATAATTTCTACATTGTCAATATGACTAGTTAACCGACCCGGCTACGCACATGTACATGTATTATACATATAAACCTTCCTCTTCAATCACTATCAATTGCTAAGAACTGCATTATAATCCGTGGCGAATAAACAGCTTCATTTTATACTATGTAAAGATTAGAATATCAAACAAGCTTATTTTCGTGTTTGCTCGTTGCTCAATTAGGTGTATATTATTAATAATACTTCAGATGTATTATATATGACTCTTTTATTATATATGATTACATTCCTTATATTTAACACGACAACCCTTTATTATATGACTCGACTCGACACACCGACAGACCATAGACCAAGTAATTAATCATAACATAGACACATATTTTTATGGCTCTGAATACACAACACTTATGACCCACCTGCCGCAACGTAGTAACCGTAATTTATTTATATATTTTTTACTCATTACATAATTTCATAGAATCGAATTTGGATCTCCCATAATTGCTACAGGGATGGGTTTTTTTTAGACAGTATATTTGAACAGCACTATGTAGAGACGACGTGTCTCAACATATGTAGACATTTCTGAGGATTCTGAGGACTAAGTTGTTATATCTCCGTACACTGTAATTTCACTGACATATCTCACCCTTTAATAAAAACACAGTTTGTAAAATATGCTGCTTAGCGACTGAAATAGAGATTGAAGTACCAGAGGATACGACTTTCGAAAAAATAATAATATTTTTTTTTATAACTAGCTGTACCCGCGACTTTATCCGCGTAGAATTTGACTTTATTTTTCTAAAATTAAAGTGGCCTACTTTTTATTACATCAGCTACCTGCCAAAAAAAGTCCCGTCAAAACCGGTCCAGCCATTTCAGAGATAAGCCGGAACAAACATACAGATAAAAATGATAAAAAATGTTATTTTGGTGTCTGTACTGTATTTATATTTATACGCATGTAGTAAAAAACGGTTATTTCAATATTACAAACAGACACTCTTTTATTTATATGTATAGAATAGTACTAAGAATTAAATTCCTAATGTCAAACCATAATCATAAATGAATAATGTGTCAGTAGGTAACACCAAATGGCAATGCGTCACACGACAGTGGACTTGTGCGATCGCATTTCAATCTGAATTTTAAAGCGTTGTAATAAAGCACAATTTATACTTTAATAATTTTATACTTTTTACATATACATGGCTATGTTATGTTAGAGGCGCGTTCTCTATTTGGTGATGCATAGACTTTACCTACATTGTTTGTTATTAACTTATTCAAGAATTAATCCTCATTGAAGACTAGTTGCGCCTATGGCTGTTTACGCGTGATATTTAGATACAAAATAGATTAAATTAACTATTGTATTTGTAAACCGATTGAAGGCAATTAAAATTTCAATTTTATGATTTTATATAAGTATTTATTTACTTAAGTACGTATTATTTAAAATATTTATTGTAAAGAGATGGCTCACTTTCGATTCATTAAAGGAAAGTGGAGGATAATATGATGAGCATAAAATCTGATCAGTTAGCCGATTGTTACAAGTTAAATATATATTGATTGACCACAATAGTTTACATGGGGTAGCATGTAGTCCACATCAAGAGATGATATATGACATTGGGAGCAATGGATGAATCCATCCTTTACAATCCCATTTTCAACTTTGTTTACAATATTAACAAGATGAGGAGAAAAAGGATTGTCCCTTGTCAAGTTGACCTCCACGTGGTTCCCCCTGGAAAGCGCCTACCTCAAATTCCTGGTGAATTTGTCATAATGTGCTAACTGACCTGACCTCATGTTCATCTTATCATCCTCCACTAATGTCTCGCCAGCGTAAACCGTTAGTACAGTACCGAGTAGTTAGTACCAAGTACCGATTCATTAAAGGAAAGTATGTAAAACTGTTATTCTAAGAGATAATAACAGCGTGGTAATAGTTGAGTAGTAAATATAGTAGAATAGTAAAAAATACAGTCTCCATCGGTACGTCCGTCTCGGCTATTTCAGTCGCTATATATTTTTATGTCATGTATCAGCCAAGCGGATTGTTTGTAGACTGTATTTAGAGTAAATAGATGAGATATAGGAGTGATATTATAGAGTACTTAGATATCAACCTTGTCCTTAGGAATGGCAACTTATGAATCGTACTACGTGCGTTACAGGATGAATTATGTATTCATGTAATCCAGACCCCAAGATCTGACCTAGTTCTGACCTAGTTTGGAGACTACTGATAAAAGAAATGAAATTCTAATGTAGTAAATACATAAATCAATATATAAAATATAAATAAAATACACTGATAGGTTAAATTAGTTTATTGTTGTGTCGACCTCGGAGTCGAGTAATTGTCTGGATGTTGTTCAATTAACTATTTAAGATGTCATGATAATAAAACAATAGATTGGTTCAAGTGCTACGTAGGCAGACTGTGTACTGAATGGTTTGGTAGCTACAAATTTACAAGTTGTAGTGGTTTATTATGTCTATAATAATCCGAAATATACTAGAATTCATTAACGTGCCAGTAGCACGTGGCCTGTATAGATTTTTTATGTACATAACTGGGATGGCTATCATTCTGCGGATTTATGAATAGTATAGGCGTCGTTTATTTAATACTAGCTGTTCTTGCGACTTCGTCCAAGTGAATTTTAACTTTATTTTTCTAAAATAAAAGTAGCCTAAGTTACACCTTAAACTGACATTGCCTGATTATATGGCATGTGTTAAGACACGTAAAATACCAGACTTCAACAACCTGGCTTATGCCAGGCATCTCATGTTCATCTTATCATCCTCCACTAGTGTCTCGCCAGCGTAAACCGTTAGTACAGGCAGGCCACCATTCCATTAATATAAAAAAAAATTAATAATAAACTTAACTTACCTTTCCGCTGTATAATAACCCTGAGCAATGGTCTAGCAGTGAGCAGTGCTCTTGCCAAGTTGTCATCATTGTTGATGGGAAGTAGGTCTCCATCTCGGGGGTCTGTATAGGATATGAGGAATGTGACATCGTGCAACCTGTGCAGCTTCTCTATTAGGCCTTTGAAGTCTTCATACTTTAGCTTTTCCGTCCGGCTCAGTGAGAACCGTCGAAATTCTGCATCAAACTACAATACAGGTTTTTATTAGTTATATTTCTAGAATAGTTGGTCTAGTGTTTTACTACAGTAACTTATAACTGAGAGATCGCAAGTCGAAATTGGTAGAAACCAAAGGAATTTTCTGTATTTAGCCTCTAATTTTGCATATACAAATACTAGTGTGAATATATATTTCTCATTGATATTCTATTGAAGAAAACATCTACGATTAACAAAATTATTCATAAATCCAAAAGAAAGAAACAGTAGACTACCATATTGTACTAGAATAAATATAATAAAATGTGGACATGTTAGTTAAAAAATGAATATGTATGCAACATGCATACATATTAATTTTTTAACAATGCCCATGACTACACCCATGTGGGATAACAGTCTTGATAGTATATTTATTTATAACTAGCAGTTCCCACAACATTCTCTGTTAGGAATTTAATTTAATTTTCTAAAATAAAAGTAACCTAAGTTACTCCTTATTACATCAGCTACCTGCCAAAAAAAGTCCCGTCAAAATCGGTTCAGCGATTTCAGAGATTAACCGGAACAAACAGACAGACATAAATTGTAAAAAATGTTATTTTGGTATATGTACTATATTTATATTAATATGCATGTAGTAAAAAAGAGTTATTTCAATATTACAAACAGACGCTCCAATTTTATTTATATGTATAGATGTATAGATTTAATAGATGACTATAGATCAATCCAGGCTATGGGCATTTCCTGATATAAATAAGATAAGAATAAAGCCCAAGGACTGTGGAGCCCAATCTGATAAGTTATATTACTAGCAATGAGGTTTCTGTAACCCCTATTACTATCCCTACTACTTATCGGTTATATTCAAAGTAACAGTGAACAGTTTATTTCAAGTCATCCTGGAGAGCATTGGAACTAACCCAACTAACCCTGTTTCATTCACAACCTATTATATACCTTTAATGAGGACTCCCTTCGAATATACACTATTAGCACAGGTGGAAACTCAATCTAAATCAATTCCATTATCATCCATATAAAGTCAACATTTGTAGTTAAAATAGAACAATATGTATCCATTATTAAGAATATTAAAGTACAGATATGGAAAATTGTTACATTATGTATTTGGATCAAGATTATAAAGTAATCTTCCAATATTTAATTGTAAAATCTTTATTAATATCTCCTTAAGTCTAATTAACAATAATCCAGGTTGAAGAGGACACGTATTGTGTATAATAGGAAGAAACTTAATTATTTTTTGACAGTCGTTAAGTTTTTACTTCAACTCCTGAACAAAAGCATTTTTGTTCATATCATTACTTAGTTGTGGTGCAGATAGTAAGAAAATAATGTTAGGAATAAAAATTAGGTTAGTAGGCTTGCATGTTTTCATATTAAATAAGGAAATTAGAAACTTTGTTGTACTCACTTTAGTCTTAACTTCGATACTTTGGCTGTCTATCCTCGCCGCAATCTTGTTTTTCGACATCTCGATAGCATTTATGATAAATCCCTAACTGTATAAACAATTTTTAAATATACATTCACTTCACTCTTGTTATAACATTGTAAAATATTATAATCTAAAAACTAAAATTTTATTATAAAACGATGTGCAATTTGTATCAAATAAAATAAATTCCTTCTTTCACTTTACAATTCACATTCATTTCATTCGATCAGTATGTCATGTCATCATTCAATTGACTCATTTTGACTTGATTATGTTGCGTCGTACTCAGATCAATGAATGAACCGCAGAAACATAGCTTAGAACAATAACTAAACCAATAGAAATTTAATGGAAAACGGACTAGCAACAAAATGATTAGATTGTACTTAGCTTATCTAAACTATATACGCCATCTACCTAATATATGTCCGGAGGTACGGAATGACAGGGCAAGAAATGAGTATGTACGAAGAAGTTTAAAAATTGCCTCAGTGATAGAAAAATTACAAACTTACGATCTTAGTATGAACAAGTTATGCAATGGAGTGAGGACCATGTATTAAAAAAGGATGAAAAGTTTTCGCATCCCGTTAATACCTGAAGAATGGAGGACGGTCAAACTAATGCTAGTTTATTCTATGATATCCTTATACAATCATAGTACAATGTGGCATAACTCAATGGTAGACATTTCGTTCATCAAAAAATAAGTGTTAGGCAGGCAGGCAGTGGAGTCTTGATCTATAAATTTTAAAATAATATTTGATAACATTGATAATTTCATTATAATCAATGCGTATCAACTGAGCAAATGATCACTATAATGCACTTTTTTTTTTTTCCTTTACGTTACAGCGACAATGACATTTTCGTGTCATTCTTGACAATGTCACAGTAAAAAAAACGAATAAAATAGGTATAAAAAATTATAAACAAATGAGTTTATGAAAAATATGACAATATATACAAAAATACAGATTAAAGAAATTAGTTTAGATATATGAATGAAAAATGACGAAATTAACTAACCCTAATGCCGCTAGATTTAACCCATGTTTAAAGGTAAATTTTCATGACACAAACAATTTTTTTCTCTAAATTATATAACATGAATACATATATGTTTCTAAATAAACGGCGATTATTAATCGTTAGTCCCTAATACATATTTCCTTATTTACAGGAACAGGAACAATCTTACGAATGCTTGAATAAAAACGGCTTCGATCATGAGAAATGCGAGAAATATTTTGATAATTACAATACTTGTAAAAAATTCTGGGTGAGACATTGGCTATAGCTTTCAGAACAAAATTTTGTTATATATCCAATATATTAATATTAACTAATCAGTCAGGTATAATAAGATTCAATTCTATATATCCCTTTATTTCCCCTAACAAATTGAACTAAATTTCATTATGTATTTGTAGATCTGACTAAGATTATTAAAATTATGGCTTAGTGGCCCCATAGTTAACAATGTAGCTTCAGCTTATCGTCTGGTCTGCCTGGAAACCTGATGATGAAAGTTCTTAAGCTGGTTGATTACTTATGAATTTCCTATTACGGCCTAATTTACCTGACTTAATGGTCAGACCTATCGGCATATACCAGCAATGTAGGCAGGTTCATCATAGCAACCAACAGACTTGAACTCATTATCCTTGACCAACATAGACCAACACTATCTATCAATGAATAAAAAAATAACACCCTTATGGTTTGCTGGAAACGGTCTGTGGCATATGGTCGAGGCCCTGGAGTTATGCACCTGTACACACTTTCACAATCGGGTATAGCAAGATTGCCTGGGCGACGCCACTGGAACCATGGTACTTGTAATGTAATGTGACCTTGTAACTCCGGCAATGGAAAATTGTGTGATTTTTTTTGGTGTAAAAATCAGATACACTCTTTAGTTGCTCCAGCGGTGAAGAGATGACTTTTGAAGAATAAAATTATTATAAAAACTAAAAAATACATTATGTAAATACTTTGTACTTATAATCTATTGCTTTTATTTCAGGGTCAAGTATCTAAAGACAGGAGAGCAAAAGGGATTAAACCATACTTGCCAGATGTTGAAGAAAGGGAAAAAATAAAGGCAGACTATTTCAAGAAAGTAATGGGGAACTGACATACTGTTTTTATTATATAAAAATAGGTATATACATATACATGATAGGTATTTAAAGTGATATTTTATTTACTGAATAAAGTAATATGATTACAAAGTATTTAAAATTCTTTTTTTCATTTATTATATTTTTGTGAAATGGGATTTAAGGGTGGCGATCCTCGAATGGTAATTAGTGACCCCATTGCTACAAAGTTGAACTCTATTCAGTCTTCCTCAGAAATCTTTTTACGGTTAATTCAGTAGTGAATGCGCCATAATGGACTGTTATCGACTTCCTATCATCCTTTACTGGTGGACCGCAAGGTTATACCGTTAACGCAGACGAGTTTACTAATCTATACTTATGTATACATAAAAATAAAACGACAAGAGTATTGTTTTTATCCTTAGGATTCGGATTGACCGAGCCAGACGACTTTACAAAGTCTACCGCGATATAAAAATTCTTGGAGTATCACTAGGAAGAATAGGAAATGAAACAGAAAAATATAGCTGTTGCATATATTTCCATGAAATACATAGTGAGAAGCGATGTCGAAGTGTCATAGTGTAAAAGCTAGCTACGATGTTCTAGATAATAGAAGGCAAATCCCGGAAGAACAAGTTTCTATAAGGTTTTCGTTTGTCCATATTAGGGCCATCCATATATTACGTCTAACTTTGAGGGAGACAAACTGGAAGCCTTTGAAATGTGGTGTTGGAGAAGAATGGAAAGAATTAGCTGATTAAGTGCTTGAAAGGGTTAAAGAAAACAGTCAGATTATAGATATTATTGAGAATAGGCGAGGGAAAATGTTGGGGTACATGATAGGACACGACAAACTTATTAATAATGTTATAGAAAGAAAAATAGATGGAAAGAGAGGAAGGGGAAGACCAAAACACAGCTATATCAACCATGTTAAGGAAAAAACTTGGAGTCGTGTCGTATCAACGGTTAAAAAGATTGATAGAAGTTCGTGGAAGGTGGCAGGTGGTCGACCGACAAGAGCACAGCTCTTAAATTATAAATGAATGAATGAATTGAAGGGGAGGTATACAAAGAGGGACAAGGGATAGGATTGGTCCTGAATTTCGAGATAAAGTATTAAAAATAACTTAAAAATATTTCCACTTTATCTAGTGGATTGTAAAATATGTGACGTGACGTTAGTGAGTGGAGAGTGGAAGGGCGGGGGTGGGGGGACTCACCCACGTGGACTGTTGTAATAAGGACAGGGAAAGGATAAAAAGTAAAAAGAAATCGGTCAATTTATGGATGGCCCCTTACATACATAGGTACGTTTTATATGTCAGTGGTTATCAACCTTTTTCAAACCGCAATCTTTGTATATTGAAAAAATAATAGCAGAAATCCTAGCGTTTAAGGCCTTAGGGCGTGTAGAGGTTACATATATAGAATAGTAACTTTGCTTTTTATCTTCTCTGACATCGTGTCAGCTCTGGTGGTTGCGACCCCTAGGTTGAAAAACACTGATATATATATATTATATATAGTTAATAAATTCATTCTAACAGACTTTGCTACACATCATGCATGCTTCTTAATAAAATATATTAACTAAAAAATGGAAATATGACTTTCATTCATTAACATTAAAGACGATATTCCAATGTCAGCTATCACTTCAAAGTCCGATATAAAAGTGCTATTACAATAATAATTTCTAGGACGACTTACTGATGTGTAGAGTCTATATTAATCGATCATGAATTAAGCCAGAAAGTTGCAGTCTTAGACGAAAGTGTGGGCACTATTTTTATCTTCTTTACTCATTACTTTATAAACATAGTTAGGTCTCACTCTGACATTTAATTTAACATATATTTAAACTAACTATTAATTTCATCTATATCTAAAATACATGTATAAAATTGCTTGGTTATGTACGTACTAATGCAGAATCCTCGTAAGATACTGTTATATACAATTCTGTAATAAGTACATCTATATATAGGTGCAGAGTTAGTCGCACTGGGCATACCAAAAGCGAGACAAAACCTGCATACTTGACTTTGCTCACGAAAATTAATTACTAACACCAACATATAAAGTGAAAATTCGAAAATAAATTTAGAATTTTTAACACGAAATTTCAATGAAGGTTCTAAAAATAATTTCAAATTTACGTTTTATTTGTTGACGAATAATGTTCAGTTTCCAACAACACTATTACTGAAAACCTAATATACCCTTTTACGACTAATCCTGTATTATTAGATATTTAATTCAAGTATAATCGTATGCTTAATAATAAAGTGTAAGAACTAAAAAGAATAGATATTTTGAGATAATATTATCACGCATTATATTAAAGTCAGTTTCTCAACATCTGTATTTTTTTAGATAATGCAGTTTATTATTAAGCGTACATATTATGTTCATTGTAAAAGGTATATCAATCCGTTATATTGTCAAAAGTTCAAGATTAAGTTTAACAAGAATCTAATAGGTATATTAAAACTTAAAAATATAGGTATGTATTATATTCGTTAGTGACTAAAAAAATTACATAATAATCTGAGTATACTTAGGTTTTCGATAACAAGTAATTACATACAGAAAAAAGCCAATCATCATGATTAATAATATACATAAAAATTCATTCAGAAAAAAATTCCAAACGTGTTGATCAACACTTTATATATTACGTGGAAGGTACAATAAAAAATACTGTTTCAAACAGATGTGGAACTTAAAATCTAATGAACATTTTATTTACTTAACATTATAAAACAATTCGAAAATACAGTGCCTTAATTACGTGGAGCATATGCTAATAATTCACAGTTGAAAGACATTTGAAAATGCAATAATGAATATCCAATTATCCATAACCGAATCCAAAATAAAAGTCCGAAGCAATGTCAAAACTAATTGTATTTTACTTTTGACATTGCTTCCATCAATAAGGCCACCTAACTGTATTTACCTACATATATTTTATAATAAAATTGTAAAATCAAATAAAGTATATTCTATCTATGTATCTAAAATCTACAGCTTTACGATTCTGTATGACGTATACCTTTGCTGTAACTCTCAAATGATTCATACAAAATTGCAAAACTGTAAATTTTAATTAGTCACAATTGAGAATTATTAGTAACTGCATATATATAATAATTTAGGTGGTAACGCAGTGACTATGGAATGTTACAAAACCAACAAACAAGAGTCGACATCGGTGGCGTAACAACATGGTGTGGGAGCCGACAAATGACCACGGTTCCACGAGGCATTTTATCAGCGAATCGACCTAATACTGCATATAACAAAAACTAATACAAAATACTCTTTATATTAGACTATATAAAATATTAATTATGTTTTTTTTATGCCGGGGCGATTTAATTAATTTTACTTTAACATTTGAATATTATTCTGTACTAAAATGAATGCAGTTAAAATGGTACTATACCCTATATATATATGGTATAAATTATAGATTAAATTTCTGTTTTGAAGTATAAAAATGAAAAATTATTTCACACCGGGATTCATGAAATTAATTTTTAAATATATTAGGTACCTATAAAAATCATTAGTGAAAATAATATATTTTACATTAACAAAAATACTATTAAAGTGTTTTGTCTCTAAAACATACTTTATAAAGACAATAAAAAAAACTACTTTAACTATTACGAGTTTTGTTACATTTTTCAAACCAATAAAATAGGAGACTGTTATAGTAAACTAGTACCAGCAATATATTTATCTTCTTTCAAACTATTGCGGTTAATACTTAGTGAATTCTTTACATCAAAGACCTTAGTAGCTAAAACAATTAATAATCTAAGTTTTTCTGAACAAAGATGTAATAATAGTTAAATAAGCCTCAATTTCAATTGCACATAAATTAAATATTTATATAGAAAGAGTTAAAATGAATAAAAATTATGTGAAACAAGGACATATTGGTAATTGTTGAGGTCGTGCTTAATGCAATACAATACCTGTCTCAAACAGGCGAGCTTATCAACGGTTAAAATTAAAATAATCATATACAAACTTAGCTCATAACCTTACTCTGGTGGTCATCGTTTTCATTCTAAATATAATATTTAAACTTTATTATTATAATATGTAGACAGAATTTCATTTTAAAAGAGAGCAGAATTTATTGTCTGTTCTTGTCTCAAACGACAGTCAAGAACTGGCGGTAGATAAGACTTGTTATGACTTACGTTAATAAAGATATTTTGATTTCATTTGATAAGAGGTATGATTTTATTCAAACGGTGGGATACAAGGCAAGGAGAACTGATAATGTAACTGTTAAAGACTATGTATGAAGAAACTAATCATTTTATAAATTATAATACTTTAAGCATATACCTAAAAACAACATAGATTATAATAAAAATACTATATAAATCGCATAGTATTCACATAAAGGCGCCATAACTAGGTACAGACCCATTTGGCAGTGTGGGAAACGCACACAAATTAAAATAATTATGAAAATGTACCATTAAGTGAACATTTTATTAGGAGGATTGGTTAATAATTTCCTGATAGATACATATTCATTATTCAATTTTATCCCACAGAGTAAACAAAGTAATCCGGAATATTTAGCCATTATATTATTATAAGAAATTTTATAATTTGTAATTATTATTCACATAGCTAATCGCGTCACACGAATAATTTTATTGTAAATGAGGTTATAACGTACTTGAAGAGTTTCAATGTTCCTACAATTATTGCAAATAGCGAATTGGAAATGCAGTATAAATTATACCATTATTATTTTAAATTTATGTTTCGCTATTGTAGTCTCTTGTAGCATTGTGCCACCTTATTTTACAACTGCCTATAACATATAGAAAGGTAATTTCATTTGAATATTGAATTAGTATTGAAACAAATTATACGAAGTTCAAGATCTTACCAGTTTTTATAGAACAGTAACAATGGAAATTTTATATTCTATAGAACATTATAGACCTCATTATGATACCATCTCTATTCCATCTTTCTAGTTCCGAAATATGCTCAAGACTACACCGAATAATGGATAAAAGCTTCAATTACTTCTTTCATTAACCACGAAATATTAAATTAATAAGTTGTAAGTGTATTCAAGACAATAAAAAGTTGATACACGGCGGAATCCAATGTCTTATAATCGGAATTTCAATAATAGGCAGTATTGCAATATTAGACTAGTGTTACTTAAATTAAATACAATAACAGAACTATCTATAATTATAGAAAACATACTCTAACAATAAATTAATACTTACAAAATACATTTCCAATACTAGCAACATTCTCGACTGTCAAATTTGAATATCAAACGGTTTGCATAGACTAAGGAGATAGATGACTTTTGGATGAAGTCGAAACAATTCGAAAACGTTAAGTACATTCAATACTCATACACATGTAGTTATAGAAACATTAGTGTTTAGTGTAAAATTAATATGAATTAACAAGAAAAAAAAAACATCTTCGCTCTGTTACAACTTCACTGATAATGTTATTTGTAAAACATTTAATTATTACAACTGATACAATATTATTATATTTAAGAGAGAAAATAATAAGTCGAGTTATAGATAGATTCTATCTCGTCTATGCAGGTTTTTATGGCGTTTTTAATCGCACATCTGAAGTAAATTATAAACCTTAATACAATAATCATACTAGGTACAAAATGAACACAAATAGACCAAAAATATTGACATATTTCACTAGTTCAAGGTTTCTCAAACTTATGCAACCACTTACCCCTATTAAATTTTTCTTAGGAAGCGAACCTTCAAATGAAACTTTTATCTGTAGTACTGCATGTCTGTGAAAACTTCGCATCAGTTACTTGTGATGCATACTAGTACATTATAATTTAAATAATGTTTATTAACACTCTTTAAATAATCAAACTAACTTCACTTACTTATTGTACAATAATTAGTACAGTTTTTAAATAAACAATCAAAACTAAACAATATATTACAATAAATGACGTTTTATATTACCATGAACTATTTAATGCCATTTTTATTGGCTGGTGGCGCGAGTTTAGCGCTTTTGCCTCATACTAAAATGGCACATAATGCTAAATAAGAACTGGCTTTTGTAGAAAAAAGTAAACTATTCTAGATTTGGCTTATAGTATCTATTTAGTTTAGTATATATTGTATTTACTTAGTATATGTCGCCGTCCATTATGTTTAATTTTGTTAGGTACCTCACGATAAACTGGTGTACCCCAAGTGGTATACATGACCCCCCGCTTTGAGAAACCCTGCACTGACTGATACCCACGCGCGGTTCATATAATCTTCCATTGTCGAAAATAAATGCGTTATCTTATTGATAGCAACTTATGAATATATTAAAGTATCTATTTAATAAATAATAGCTTCTTTAAAGTCATGATTTTTTAGATATAGGTTTAATACTTTTGATAACACTTTTAATAGACAAGCTTTTATACTCTGTCTATTATTGAAAGCGTAATTAGAAAATAGTTATTTTGCATAGACAATTATATAATATATTATTTAATTGTCTGTTATATAATATATTATTTTATTTGTAAACTATATGAAACTACCACAATCACAATGTTCAACCCCCTTTCATAAAAACGATAACATATAAATGTACTTTAGTTGATGAACCATGTTGTCATTTTCTTTAAAAAAAAAAAGAATCATTAGTTATAAAAAAGAAAAATAGTTTCGATGTTACATTGTAGTCTCATTTTTTTTGTCAGTGGAATACGCTTTAATTTAAATGGATTCAAATTATTTGTCATTTTTTAGCTAATAAAAACTGGTTCTTGTACTTTTCGTTAATTTAATGAACGATATATAGTTTGCCACTTTTTATTCAATTTACAAATCATCAGTCATTTCATACAGACGAATAGGAGTAACGAATAGGACTGTATAATGTAAATATGTTTTGATAACCGAAAATAAAGTTTTCATGTATTTATTAAATAAAATGCTATTACTGGACGTTTGGCGTTTTTATGAATAGGCGGTTGTTATTTACTTAAAAAAATAAATTACAGCTCTATGATTATCTACATTGATTGTGTGGTGATGTATGGTGAGGATGGATACGTTTACTGCGTTGGTGTATAGTGCTGTGTGTTTGTATGTCACTTTGCTAGCACGCATTGTCGTCTAAGAGTCAATCTGAGCGCTGTTTAATGTGGAAACAGCTTATTCTGAAGTGATCACACATTTGTCGTACCTGAAATAAATAAAAAAAATAAAGACTATGTTATGTCTTTATTTAGCGCCATCTAGTTTTAAAACAAAGATTTAAAAACGCTATGTTAAAACGTTGTCTAGTCGCTTGAGAATAAGTGCTTTAATAAGTTGCAAAAATAGTTTTCAACAAATTTTTATTATTAATATTATAAATGCGAAAATAGCACTGTCTCTCTGTCTGTCGTGCTTTAGAGCCAGAACTACTGAGCCGATTTAAATGATTTTTTTTATTACCATATATTTTTTCTTTATTTGTGTCATTGTTTTGTTTATTTCATTCCTCAGATATAGATTACTTTAGAATTTAGTTAGATGTTATTACGTCTGTTGGCGACAGACCTCCTCTTATAGATATTTCTATTTTTCAACCATATATTTTTTATTTACAATTTTTGACATATATTTTTTATTACATTGTTTTGCTACATTGTGTTATATATTCTACCACTAAATACATCACTATAAGTTTGGTAAGTAATTTTATTTATTTTACTCTACTTCACTGCCGTTGCCAGCCGTAATAACGTCAATGATTTTAAAATAATATACGTATAAATAATATTTAACACACACACCTCAAGTATTTACATATATGTGTCTGTAAAATAATTTTCCAATAGAATTAAAAATGCTATCCAAAGTCACATTTCCATGCGGAAAAGTCGCGGATACAGCTAGTATTTCAATAAAAAAAAGTAAGTGTGCTCACCACGCATGCGCCGTAGTGTACATGCGCGACCACCGCTAACCCTGTTAGACCATAGAGCGAGGCCCGCTCCAGTCGCGGCTGGTACAGTGAGAGCACCGCTGTTGCTGCTAGGGGCACCGCCAGCCAGTTAGTCGCCGGGCATCTAGTCGAACTCATTTGGCTTACAATCAACCGGCACTGAAATAATGTTTACATTTTTATTATTTATTTATTTCAAGCTGTTATAGCAGAGTACTTACTACATAATATAAGATATACCATACTTTATGGTATACCCATCCATAAATTACATCATACAACTTCGAGTAGTTTTACCTTTCCTCCATATTTTTTTGGTTAAAATTTCGGGTTTCAGCACTGAAATTGAAATGTGACGTCATAAAATCTAGGACCCGGGTCGAAAGTGATTGTTATTAATATGAACTAATTATTCTATCGCCGGCAAAAGGTTGTCTGACCTTCACGCGACTCCTTGAAACCAACGTGATAAATTCCTAGTGAATTTCTCACAATGGGCTAACTGAGCTGACCTCATGTTCCACTGGGGCGCTAGCATAAAATTATAGCGCGGGCGGGTGCCATTCCATAATTAATTAAAAAAATCCTAAAAGGATCCCTAGATTTCACGATATCTTTAAACCTTCAAACTTAATTATACTTAGTCAACCTTCCGGTAAGGCGTGAGAGGTGGAGTAAGCTCCATGGAGTATGACGTAATTTCCGCCATATTACGAATTATGTATACTGTACATGAGACAACTTACCGCTATATTACTGAATAGAGTGCCTATAAGCAGGAACACCACACGTAGATCGAGTTCAGGGAGCTGGTGAGACTTGTGCATCCATATAGAACAGACTGCGAACACAGTCAAAAACGACCACAACGGTCGCAACGCCTCCCATACGGGGCGCATTTTGCCTGTGCGAATTTTATATGATCTGGAAGAATAATATTAATTAAATTACAATAAAATTTTACTAAAATTAAAAAATATATTAAGTATATAGTTTTCAAATATCATATGACGACGCGACGCAATGCCCACGGTGATCTAGCAGTTTAGCACACTGATTTCCGATTTCGCGGGTTCGATACTTTGTACGGTAAAACATTTATATTCATGTATAACATTAGTATGATTATATGTATCGGTCTGGGTGTTTTTCTATGTATATTATGTATGTATTGACAAAAAATATCTAAGTATTTATATCAGTTGTCTAGTACCCACAGCACATTACTGTGACTAGGAGGCGCATTTTGAAAAAAAATAACATATTTTTAAGTTTAATGTAAATACTAAATATTATAATGTTTTTAAATTATAGTATTAATGATAATTAATCAATTATCAATTATTTTATCAATGAAAATACATATACATATACTCAATGCGTTTTTTTTTAAAAGCCAGTCGTTAGTTTTCATTTCAACAAACATAGTAATTTAAACAATTTTTTTAAAAACAGGGTGTAGATGACTTACTTGTATATGTTATACACGGCTACAGGCAAATTAGTGAATACTCCAGTCGCATAAATAATAATTTCGAACATGTTGGCCAGTGTGTAGCTTCCAAATACGTGACGTTTATAGAAAACTGTACCCTTCAAGCCCGTCCATAGGAAGAACATCGTTGAAGCCTGCAATAATACACCGTCACGACTTTAATCCTATATGGGGTAATCAAGTAGACATCCTCGATGGCAGGGGGAAGGGAATTGTTAGTAATGTGGACTTATAACCCCATTACTAGCAATGTACCATTTTATAGAAAACTGTACCCTTCAAGCCCGTCCATAGGAAGAACATCGTTGAAGCCTGCAATAATACACCGTCACGACTTTAATCCTATATGGGGTAGTCAAGTAGACATCCTCGATGGCAGGGGGAAGGGAATTGTTAGTAATGTGGACTTATAACCCCATTACTAGCAATGTACCATGTCAGGTTGACATCCACGCGGTTCCCCCTGGAAACCAGCGTGATAAATTCCTGGTGAATTTGTCACGATGGGCTAACTGACCTGACCCTCATGTTCATATTATCATTCTCCACTGGTTTCCTGCCAGCGTAAACCGTTAGCGCAGGCGGGTGCACCATTCCACTATCATTCACAAAAAAAAAAGTAGAAATGCTCACATTCCGAGCTGTATATCTTATTAATATAATAAACGCGAAACTTTGTGATTATGGATGGATGTTTGCTATTCTTTCACGGAAAAACTTCTGAACGTATTTCGATGATTATTTTACAGTAATATAGCGTACATCACATCAGAATAACATATAGGTTTCATGCGGATAAAACCGCAGGTACAGCTAGTAGAATCCTGATTAGCGGGCACACCGCCATGTCGGATTCTAGATACCTCGAGGTCGTCTGGCTGAAATTTATATACCACCCTCTTTCGGATTCATTTGGTTTGTTACCAGTATTCTCATCATCAGACAGTTAATTAAAAATACAGCCATTTAGTCGTAACAAAGAACAGACAGATAAATGTTCCCCGCGATTTCTTCTGGTTACTTTGGGATAAAGGATAGCTTTTGTAAATCGTTATAACATAATGTATCTAAATATTAAATTTCATTAAGTACATTCAGCCGTTTAGCCGCGAAAAGATAACAAACAGACAGATATACTTTAGAATTTATTGTAGTATGAATTATTAAATATTCTTATTTATTTACTTACACTTTCTATTGGATGCTTAATAAATACAGTGGACCCGCGGTAATCCGGCCCCCCTTGTAATCCGATATTGTCTATTATTTGTTATTGAATATTACTTTGACAATATACTTCAGAGTGCATATACATACATACATATATAACATAGAATCTTATCACTGGATTTGTAATTTGTCGGATTACAAGATACTCTTTTGTAAAAAATTCCCGGACTATAAGCAGAGGACCCTTAAGCAGCACTCTATAATCCGACAAATACGATGGTCCGACACTGCCCTGCAAAACGTTTGTCGGATAACCGGGGGTCCACTGTATATGTATATAATATAAAGAATCATCATTGGATATATAATTTGTCGGACTACAAGGTACTCTTTTGTAAAAAAAAATCGGACTATAAGGGGTCTTAGACAGTACTCTATAATCCGACAAATTCGGTAGTCCGACACTGCCCTGCAAAATGATTGTCGGACTACCGGGGGTCCACTGTATAGAGGTATGGCAATTAGATAAATAAATAAAGCAGATGGCTACAATATAACTTACCCACATACTAAAGTCGTATCCCCATGGCAGAAATAATACACCAGTGTTATATTTCTCCCAGTGGCTTATGTAGAAATTGAATAGCAAATTCCACATAACATAGTACATTCTGAAAGAAATGATCCATAATGAATATATTATTTTTAGCCTAATTTAGCTGGGTATTTCCTATGTAAAGTATAATTTGATAGTACAACCGGTATACACTGGTGAGGCACCAGTGGAGTATGATAAGTTATAGTTACAATTCCTGGTGTATTTGTCACGATTTGCATCATCACTAGAAGAACGAGCAAAAAACTTTTAAATCAATGTTTTTCAGCATTACATACTTAGGACTTTGAATAGTAATAAATATTAAACTGTTAAATAGTACGATTGACAAAAGAAAACAAATTTAATAGCTATTAAGAAACAAAACCAATCAGTCGTAGTTATCCAGAGCAGACCAGTACCACCTTACCAGCACTATTCTCGGGTATAACGGGTGAACCAGCCATCACTCGCCATTATGATGAGTCACAGGATTAGTAAATACTTACTAATCCTGTGACTCATCATAATCTCATATACATGAGGTTTGCGGTTCAATTGGGGGAAGTAAAGCAAGTACTGTTACTAATACTAGTAACAATCCCAGTCCACTCATTTTTTATTATCTAAATTGATTTGGGGATTTTAGTTTCATATCATCCCCATTATATCAAACCCAGTACAAGTTTGCACATAAAAGTAAAAAAAAACACTAACCTTAAAGGAGCTATAGAGTAATCCAGCCTCCCAAATATAGAGTAAAGGCATGCTGGTATGAAGAAGACTGAGTACGAGTCAAGTCCATGGTCGAACAGTTCGCCCAGAGGTCCCGATGTTTGGGTCCTTCTTGCTTGCTTACCGTCGATACCGTCTGAATATTACAAAAACTTTTTAATGTAATTATTCCGTGTTTTAACAGTACAAACATTTGTATTCATGAGTATGGTTGTTATTGGTCTTTTCTGTGTATATTATAGTAGCTGACCCGTGCAACTTCGCCTGCGTTTCATTTCACCACCTTTTGCAATATTTTTCATTGTAGCTCCGCTCCTATTGGTCGTAGCGTAATGTTATATAGCTTAAAGCCTTCCTCAACAAATGAACTATTCAACACAAATATAATTTTTCATTCCAACCAAGAGTTTCTGAATTTAGCGCGTTTAAACAAACAAACCAAACTCTTCAGCTTTATAACATTAGTATATTATTAAAAAAAATGTATAAGTATTTGTATTAGTTGTTTAGTACTAATAAAATGAGGTCTGTAACACAACATTTGTAATGTACACGCTTCATTGAGTATATTTGTCTGACCCTACTGCAATCTCTCAGATTCGATCTTTATCGGTATTGCCATCACCGGTGCGTCAGAAAGATAATTAACACATAGGAGTAGGCCAAATTAGAACTCGCGACCTTGATGTTAAAGTCTAGGTATTAAATGACTAAGCCATGACGTTAACGTTCAATAATAGTGAGTACAATACGTAGTCGTTTAACTCTACTATATATGAGTCATATTCAATTTACACACAAATTTTTGTTTCTTCTATGAAATCACAATTTAAGGTTGTGCATTCGAGTATAATCTATGTAATCTAGTAACTTTTTTATGTAATTGGAATGGCAAACAAGCTGACAGTTACCCAGATGGTAAGTGGTAACCGTCACTAATATACATAAACAGCACTACCGTTATACCACTCATGCTTTGCCATTCCAGAGGATTAAGATGTCATGCCTATTAACCTGTAATGGTACTGCCTAATCAGGCCATTCAACCGGCTTACGCTTACACAGCTTACAAAGCAAGCTGTTTTAGACTGTCTTACAGTTTGGGGTACTACTAACTAAAAATCGACTACGACTTCAGCCACAAGTTCGTACGTGTAAAACAACTTTTGCATTATTTGAATTTGCATTCTTCAGTGCCTACCTATTAACTGCCATTACATGATATATTCTTTCAATATAGCGCGAAAAAGTCCGCGCTGGCAAACGTGAATGAAAGAGTGAACAAAACAAATAGTTGTATATCTGTTTTGTTCACTCTTTCACACGTGTTTGTGCGTATGATTCATGTCATTTCAATTTTACAATTTTCTTTTCCAGAGACTTGTTTAAGATTTATAAATATTCTTCTATAATTAATTTAAGTAATTCTATAATTATGTTTTTGCTCCATAGTCTGATGTCCGTCATTTTGCAACGATAATTAATTATTTAAAAAAAGGCGCTAAAATTGCCGCCGCGCGCGGTCTTTCTCTTTGTCTACATTTTCATGCACATTCATTCCTGTGTGAAAGAGCGTACGTGTAAAGCAATGTATATGCGAGGAACACTCTTTAGGCCACAATGGCCCAAAACGCTTACATTTATACCACGTGTAGTGCATGTGGTAACACTAGCAGTTTATTATCTGTCGTCTCGCGCCGAGCGTACACGGGCCGCGGTGTGCACGAGGGGAGATATTCCCCGCGCAGTTAACACGTGTAGCTGCGGCTAACGAGCCGATAGCAACTTATACACCAGTAGATATAAGATGACTTAAATAAAAAATAAGTGAACACTACACCTACCTAATGTATATGCGAGGAACAGGAACACGGCCAGTACAAACCACAATGACTGCGGTATATTTTCCACATGGCCATTGAGGGGCAGCTCCGACACGGTCTCATTGTGGTACGGCGCGCTGGCCGCGTAGTAATCGTAGTCGTAATACGACAGCAATAGGAAATCAAGCACGGTGAGCAGGAATCCAGCGAACGTTAATACATTGGGCGCCACCCAGCGAGGTACCAGCTGAAAATAAAAAAAAGGTTAAAGAAAAGATAGTACTTATAATAATAATAATAATAATCTCAGGACAATTCACACAGCGCCATCTAGACCCAAGTTAAGCTAGCTAAAGCTTGTGTTATGGGTCCTAGACAACTGATACAAATACATATTATACATAGAAAATACCCAGACCGATACAAACAATCATACTCATGAATACAAATGTTTGTGCCGTGCGAGGAATCGAACCCGCGACCATCGGTCGTAAAGCGGTATGCTACACCGCTAGACCAACGAGGTCGTCAACTTATGATATAACCACATATGATAAACTAGCTGGCACTCGTAACTTAATCTGCGCAGGAACTTAAATTAATAAAACTAAAACACAATAGGACCTTGGAAGGAAATAAACTAGTCAAAGTGCTAATCGAGTAGCTTATTTTCTTATCTAAGATCCTACTTTTTGTAGGAAGTGTAATTCTAACGGCTTTTGCAGCGAACGCCAGAAAAGCTCGCAGATGGCACATTTTTTCTGAATTCACACAATATCTTTATAAATTATTGTAAACTTCTTTTAAATCCATCTATAGTATTTGCGTGAAAGACTAACAAACATCCGTAAATCTAGACATACAATAATTCACATTTATAATACGTATTAGAAAGTACTATCTGAGCCCGTGTCTTTGTACACGTGACATTCGGAATAACAACAGTTCATGACTTTTAATAAATACAAAATTTAAAATGAACAATTTGCGCATTACTGAAAACTTAACAAAATAAAAATTTATTTAATATAAATTTGAGAGATACAAGTAGGATTCATAGTGACATAAGCTCTTATCTTCTTTTGTCTTGTTTTCTCTTTTCGTCTTTCGCTTTCGTGACGAAATGATAGTAAGCCTGAGAGTAAAGTTAATAATGTGAGTGCAAACAAAATGTCATCTAACAACATGTCAAGGCAAATTCATACAGATATAAGGCAAGTCATTACAGACAGCACTAATGGAAGGAAGAAGGATCTTAACAGCATCATATGGTTTAATCGTCATCTGCTTCTTCCTTATCAGCGTATTATTTGGGGTCGGCGTAATATGTTTTTCTCTTCCATTCATCCCTATTCGTAATCATTTCGTTATTTATTCCCTTCCTTACAATATCATCTTTCACACAGTCTATCCATCTCTTTTTCGGTCTACCTTCTCAAAACCATCCACATTCATACCTTTCTTAAGATATGATCTTCATTTACATTTCATCAGGATTTACACACGTACGATTACTCTTCAACTTCTCTGACGACTTTCAAACTTCCTATAATGTATTCATTCTTTATCTAATCCATTCTTCTTACACCATACATCCATCTCAACATTGGTATTTCCGTTGCATGCAGTCGTCTTTTATCCGTCTCCTTTACGGGCTATCTACTGGTTTATTATATGTATAGATAATTTTTGTTGACTATGTTTGGGGCGAATGTGCACTTAAACAATATCCTAATCTATTTTTTATGTGATTAGAATATAAACAAGATGTTGGCCTATGTGATGCCACCTTATAATATTAGGATTATAAATTCTGAGTCGATAATCAAGTTGATGCGTAATCCACGGTTAAGTGATCGTGGATTTAACTGTGGATTACGCATCATCTTGATTATGGACGTAAAATTTATAAGCCTAATATTATAAATTAGGAATTTATTTTTGTCGGCCTCGGTGAACTAGTGATTCAGCACACCGCTTTACTTCCAATGGCCGATGTTTCGATCTTCGCACCATGCAAACGTTTGTATTCATGAGTATGATTGTTTGTATTGTTCTAAGTTTTTTCTACGTATGTATGAAAAATTAAAAACAAGTTATGCTTAATTTGGCACTAGAGGGTGCTGTATGAAATCCAGAGTTATTATTAATATCATTGTAATTGGAAAAATTAACAGCCTACCTTGTAAGTCACCTTAGTTTTAATTTTCGTTTATGAAAAAAAAACAAAAATAATGGCGCTTTGGTCGTATTTGTAATTGTCGAGGATATAAGTACATAATCCACTTTTACAACCATCAATCAAAGTTGTGGGTATTGGTAGCTATTTATATTTGAGGAAGGTCTTATGTTGCGTCATATGTAAATGGTTTTACGCTTTTCTTGTTATAAATAACATATAATCTATAACTATAAAAAGGCTTGTTATATCTTAACTAATAATCTTTTTATATTACAAGACAGCTCTCTCTATAAACTCGTATCAGTATATTATCTGTATTTCTTCTGATTAGATTATTTTTATAAATCTGTGACTTTCTATAGCCATATAAAGTTAAAGAATTATTTATTACTATGTATATTGATTAATTAGTGTTCCCACTGCTTCTTCTAAGCCGAAACGAAAAGTATCAATGCTGCCCAATATATGTCCAGGATGGATAGTGTTAAGATATTCTGACAACTTTGCTTTTATACAAAGAGTGAAGTTATACACTGCATACTCCATGACCGTGGGCTCCTTCCCACTTTCAGAAACCGTGAACGAAGTTACCTTTCATTCACTTGGCATTCAGAGCTTTGCTACATTTTTACCAAAGAAAAAAGACATAATGTTCTCAATTCGGTTAATTAAAGAGTATATATTAGTATTTTTGTCATGATTTAAAATCTTTAGAACCTTGTGATTTATAATTTCTTCGATCCTCCTCCTATAGGTTCTATAGTTTGGTGTTTAAATTAATATAAATTAAAATATGTTACATAGTGCATTTTTATTCATATCTTCAGACTTCATCATGAGATGATGAATGATCACAAATTGATGATGTAAGAAAAATTACTCCTAAATGGTTTATAATAGTCACTTTTAATAATACTGTCCAATATAATCCAGATTTCGTAAAAAAATCAGCTGTATTTTTTCAGTCCCTTGTTATTTATTACAGTTATATATATAGCTATTTTAAATGTGTTTGTTAAAGGGTTAGATAAGGTAGTGAAATTACAGGGTAAGTAGATATGACATAATAGTTACTCGGAATGGTAACACACAAGTATTACACTTGTGTGCACTGCTTATCATCTGGTGGACCATCAGCCTATTCATCATTCCAATTACAACAAAAAGTGTAACACATAATACTTCATAACTTAAACATGGACTTCGGTTAGAACTTACCTCTACAACTTTATTCCAGAAAGGGTGCATAACATATACACTCAGTGGGCTTGTATCTATGGCCATGTACTGAAAAAAAAAAGTTTATAATGTAAGACAATGTATTATTATGACTCTCTTAAATGGGATAGACACAGGCAGTGCCAACTGTCTGTATTATGGTGACAGCAACACCTGACAGCAATGTGGGCAACATTTGGCTAGTGAGCATTTCCTTCACTGACGACAGAGACAGTCAGAAATATAAATTGACTCAATTTTTTTTGGTACTGGACTGATTTCAACTCAATCTCTTGTGTATAATTCAAGCAATTAGGCCACAACACTACATACAAGTTATTTGATATAAGCTTTACTTTTATGTATGTATAATTCGTCTATATGTGTTTATAATTTAACTCATTCTAAACAGCTGGACCCAATTAAATAACATTTGGTTTGCATACTTTAATAAGATCTTAAATTAATTTGAAGTTGCTTTTAAAAATGCGCCGTTTTGTGATTTCATAACTTTTTACAAGCAATTAATTCAGGTTGTTTTTACTCTCTTTCACTTTGCAACCATATATTTGTTATCTATGCTAAAATAAAGCTAAGAAAATAATTTCAAATTTAAAAAATACATCAATACAAAGTGAGGTTACACTGTTTATGCGTTTTCTATGAAACTAATTTATGATTACTTGACTCAAGAAATAATCATAATAATTATGTACACGCCAATAACTACATTAAGTATTTATATGATTATTTTTACCTTGTAATTATTGAAACCTTCGAGTTGTTCCCGTGTAAGATATTTGTAATTGAACATGGTTACACAATTATATATTTAACAGATGAAAGAATATGCACTACAGCACTATTTATTATGATGTAAACTTAGAATTATGTTTGATAACATTTTATTTATATAATTAAATTATAAAATTTATTTTAAGATTTATGAGAGTACAATACGGTAAAAACATGAATCTATGAATGAAAATAGTGGATTGAACGAATGAATTAAATAGAAATGTTTGACAGTTAAAATTGCAATGAGCAGATGAATGATGGAATGAATGATAGAACAAGAAGAACCCGGTAGGGTTGCCAGCAAATTATATCCTCCCGTTTTGAAGAGTGTTGCCAAATTGCCATATTTTATGCTATATCTGGCACATTTACGTTGTTTAGCATATAGGTATATTTGTTGTTTTGCATAACGCAAAATTTTGTAGCATATAATTATATTTATTTAACAAAAATATAACCTTGAAATAAATGATCCGAAATAATTCCACTCACCAAAGTTTGTCCTTATCACACTTGCAAGTTATGAAGGGAATAGACACTCGTCTGAGTAAGTAACGCTATAGCGATGAGGTTACACTACTGTGCTACAATCATCCTAACTTGTTTGACAACTCACTATGGATCTGTAAGAAAACTAAAAACTCCATCATATCCTGGAGCTAGAAGACCGGCAGTAGCTCTAGGCTGCAGATTAGTAGAAGTCTCTAATGGGAAGCCAACACAACGAATTCGCTCATAGTGTTAGGACTGATTGCAAAAATTTATTTATTTATTTTATTTAATTCAGGCAACACGGCCCATATTATAAATACCATATAGACTAACATAAATAAGAAATAATAATAAAATATACCTAAATTCAAATTGTCTCTATGGTCACGGCACTGACGACGGCAATCTGCCACGGTAGATACACCACCCCCTTCGGCCAGTACTTCTCTTTCATGAAGGTGGGCAGCATGTTGGTGGGGACCTGGACTACGAAAGCTTGAAGCTCGCGTTGTGACTCGATTCCAACTGCGTCACCCTCAATATCAGGTTACTTTTGGTTCGGATATCCCCATGTTCCTTGGTGGCGTAGTGTAGGCGGGATAAGTTAATATGCTTGGTAAAAGCAAATACATATGAAAAATAAATAAATAATTTCCTGTGCTATTATGATATTTAACCTATATCAAAAATAATAATAATATGATTATTGATATACATATACTCTATAATAATAATAATTATTAATTTTACCTTCCTAATTTCCTTGTTTTGTAGATAAATACGTACCTACCTGATAGCAATTAGTGATAGCAATTTTTTTTATTCGAACTAGATGTGACGTGGAATGAGTGACCTTGGCCAAATGAAGAAAATATTAGATTACAACCCAAAAAAGTTTCACCATTCTACTAAAAACATGATGATATTTTCATACAAGCTTTCATCTCCACTTAGTTTTGACCTGTAACTTTGGTATACGTCACATGGCGTAAAAAACCAGTAAAAGCTGTGAACTTGAGGCAAACAATTTTTAATAATAATTATTATTATTATTATTAATTTTTCCTACCTAATTTCTTTGTTTTGTAGATAAATACGTACTATCACTTTATATACTTTATTCCTGATAGCATATTCTTAGTGTTATATAACCAAACCATATTACATAATCGATGCGAAGTTAGGGACGTACATTATTGCTATGGAACGAAATATGAAGTCACAATAAACAAAATTTTCAACTACGTATAAATTATTACTAGCTATTAACTTTTTTTAGAGTTAAAGAATTTATTTAAACCAAAAACAAAGTTATAACAATAAGATGTTAAACGTAAACAACTACATTGGTTTATAAAAATTGTGTTGCAGTTATTTGCGCCTATCTCCAGAGCATTGTATACAATTTAAATAATAACAAATGAATATTACTACTTAAGAACATTTAGAGAAAGATAATATATATAAAATAAACCATGATACTTATAGTTTATGAGCATTAGAGCGCGTGTGGGTGTGAGTATTATAATAATAATAATAATTTCAGGACAATTCACACAACGCCATCTAGACCCATGTTAAGCTAGCTTAAAGCTTGTGTTACGGATTAGAACCCGTAACACAAGCTTTAAGCTAGCTCAACATATAATATGTAGTCATAACCAATACAAATACATGGATATATACTTTTTTCGTAAATACATACATATTATACATAGAAAACATCCAAACCGATACAAGCAATCATACTCATGAATACATATGTTCGTACCGTGCGAGGAATCGAACCCGTGACCATCGCAAGTAAGGAGGTGTCTTAAACCGCTCGACCACCGAGGCTGTCATATCTATACATATAAATATAATTGGAGTGTCTTTTTTTAATATTGCAATAACCGTTTTTTACTACATGCATAGGAATATAAATATGGTACATACACCAAAAGAACATTTTTTACAATATTTGTCTGTCTGTCTGTCGGTGAGTTTGTTCCGGCTAATCTCTGAAATGGCTGGACCGATTTTGACGGGACTTTTTTTAGCAGGTAGCTGATGTAATAAGGAGTAACTTAGGCTACTTTTATTTTAGAAAAATAATGTTATATTTCACGCGGATGAAGTCGCGGGAACAGCTAGTTTATTTATATAACTTTAATTCACACAGCACATTTGGCCACCATGCGGTATTTTCTACCAGTCAATAATCAGCAGTGTAGAGAATAATTGTTGGCGGTGCAAAAATTTATATGGAAATAAAAATTTTGATATAAATGTGAAAAATTAAATAAATAGAGAGATATATACATATATATATATAAATTCCAACTATATATAATAAATTCGTCATTTTTGAAGCTAGAAGCTTGAAACTTATTTTTGATGCTGTTGATTAAATATAAATAAATAGGTCATCGAAGTTTATAAAAATGTTATCCTTAAGAGGGTAAATAAAATAGGGGATGAAAGATTTTAGGTAAATTCGTCATTTTTGTAGCCAGATCTATGAAACTTTTTCAAATGGCTTTTTTGGGTTAGTTTATAAAATACCCCACTAATATTATAAATGTGTCTGTATATCTGTCTGTCTGTCAGTCTCAGGAATAGTCGTCAGGTTTTTGGCCCCCATTTAGCCCCTAAGCCGGTGGGCCTCTATGAAGATTTTCCTGACGTTAAAAAAAAACGTACGTAAGAATCGTCATTTTTATTTTAGGTTGGTGATTAAATATGAATAAAGAAAAATGGATTGTTCGGTATTTAAAAGAGAATTAAATGTTTATATGTAAATATTGTGTCATTTTTAAAGCTAGAAGCTTGAAGTTTAATTTTTAGCCTATTTATTAAATATATATTTAGAAAAAAGTTATAAGGGGTTGAAAGAGTTATGTATATTAGTTATGTATGGAAGTATCGTTATTTTTGAAGCAAAAAGTATGAAACTTTTTCATTTGGCTTTTATTGGGTTAGGTTATTAAACATTTTTTTTCATTATTTGGTCAAGGTCACTATTTTACGCGGACGAAGTCGCGGGTACTTACTTATTAGGATTATGTATGACGAATACTATTAATAAAACCTCCTGTCACAATTTATTTAATCTTATCAATAATATCACAGATAACACAATATTAAAATATTAGGTACATGCAAAAATATGCTTTGTTCTATATTAGTATAATATTTATAAACAGTGAAAGTAGACGTGATATGTGTATAATATATGTTTAATCCGTATTCCGAACCTCCTTAGTCTAAGCAGTTTGTATCACCGGCTTGCTTACTGAAGCAAAGGGCGCTTGGTAATACTGGCCACAAATAAACATGTATGTATTTGTGGCCAGTATTACCAAGCACCCTTAAATTAAATTAAGAATTTAGAATAAAAAAATAATTGAAAATAATAATTGGAATAAAAAAGACGCTCCGTATTTTTAACTGATGCAGGTGAGCAACTTGTAAATTCGATCACTAAATTAATCAACTTTATGTGTTCCGGTAATGTCAATCCAGAAATTGTTCAGATTCTTTTCGGCACAAGCTTCATTACCCTCACTAAAAAGGACGGAGGCGTAGGACCCATTGCTGTTGGTCTAACACTACGACGTCTGGCCTTCAAAATTGCTGTTCGACATATATTACCAAAATTAAATTCGGAATTCGAACCCGTACTGTTAGGCTTCTGTGTAAAAGGAGGGTTTGAAGCAGCCGTCCATGCCCTATGCTCTTTTCTAACTTACGGACGTTTCTAACTTGTCTAACGTGTTGCTCAAAATTGATGTCAAAAATGCATTCAATTCGGTAAACAGGAATACCCTGTCAACGGAAATAAAACAACAAACATCGGAAATATATAATTATCTTCTTCTCAGTTACGCTGACCCAACAAAATTGTTATGTCCTCTGTCTGTCTCTCTGTCCTCGAAAGTAGGTTGTCAACAGGGTGATCCCCTGCAATTTTTAGTTTGGCTATAAATCTGATAATCAAAAATCTAAATTCTAAATTCAACGTTTGATATTTGAACGACGGATCTCTGGGAGGTGATGTGGATACTGTGTTTTCGCACCTTTTTTTAATCAAAAATAAATTTGAAGCCACTGATTTGGAGCTCAATTTTAGCAAATGCGAACTTTTTATAAATAACTGCAACTTAAATTTAAACGACGTAAAACATAAATTTAATATTTTGACTCCAAATATTAAAATAGTTACAGTAATTCCCTTTACCTTTTAGGTTCTCCAATTTTTGATGAATCAAATTATATTAATAATTCAACTGATAAGTTTCAAAATTCTGCTGACCGTCTACTTGAAATCAGTCCTCATTATTTATTTATTTATTTAATTCAGGATACATGGCCCATATTATAAATACCTTATAGACTAACATACATAAGAAATACTAATCAAATATGTAAAATAAAATTGTCTCTATGGTCACGGCACTGACGACGGCAATCTGCCACGGTAGCGCCGATAGACCACCCCCTTCGGCCAGTAGTCCTCCTTCATGAAGGTGGGCAGCATATTGGTGGGGACCAGGGCCACGAACGCTTTGAAGCTCGCGTTGTGGCTCGATTCCAACTGCGTCACCCTCAATGTCAGGTTGCTTTTAGTCCGGATGTAGTCAACAATGTCCTGTTCCTTGGTAGCGTAGTGTAGGCGGGATAGGTACATTGCCGTGGTCGGTGTTGCGGCACGTAACAAGAAGTTGGGCCCTGTCAGTGCTGTGCCACAATGGTTTCGATTGACCCTCTTTGTGCGCCTCTTCTTTTGTACCGTGACAAAACCATCATCGTCACGGTCAGCAGACTTTGTACACATAGGGGTCATTTTCAGAGTCACTTTAGGCTCATTCCGCTGAGCAGTTGGTTTTTTAGCGGCGACGGTGGAAAAATCCTGGCGCTTTAATAGCACCGCGGACTTTGCTGGTGCTGCTTCCACTTGCAGCGGTGCGGGCGCTCGCGGTGTGCGGGCAGGGGGCGCGGGACGAGGAACGACGTCGGCTCTCGGCGTCACCGCATCGGTCGTAGGTGAAAACGCTGACTCGATAGTCACGGCGGACTCATCGAGGCATGCTCCACGACGCGTGTTTACATTTCTAGCGTCATCAGATGACCTAGATAATTTTCGTGAATCACGCAAACTATCTACTTCCTTGCGCAACTCAATAATGGTTCCCTCGGACACGTTTAATCGTAGCGTCACATCGGCCAGGCTCTTTTTCAAGGAGACGATGTCCTTGAGCAGGCAAGTAACGTCGACGTGGTCGAAAGTGACGGGAGGAAGCTTGTTAATATCCTTCGCCACAAAAGTCGGCACGTCATCAGGATCGGTCACCTTCAGCAGCGCTATGATATCTTCTAGACTTTTATGAGTGCCGTCGCGTCTGCGAGACACCATCTGTTCGCTCTTGTTGAGAGACTCATAGAGCAGGACCTTCGCCTTCGCGATGTCGTCCTGGCTGAAGTTGGACGTACATATCTGTACTGCACTAATTTCATCCATTACGTCCAGTTTTTGCTGCAGGAACGCGAGGAGCTCGTTAACCACAAGTTTATCACACATGGCCTTAGCAAACTAGCACGGCTTGCGCCGCGCCGATTGATCCGTATATATTTAATTAAAATAATACGTGCACATCTGAACGCGCGTACTGTCATTATGCACTTTGCATCTTAAAATTCTGTCTTTTCCTCTCAAAATTTACGTTCGTGCTCCGTTGCTGCTCCTTCTGGAAATACCCAGATCTTTTGACACAAGTAGACGATGAATAAAAATTATCTTAAAATCGGTTCTTAATATGCAGCTAAACGAGCAATCTTGGACCCAAGCATCCCTACCCATCCTACCTATTATCATTAATTAAAAAAAATAAGCTACATTGGAATTTCATCAATTATGACAATTTTTAAAAATCCTTCAACGTAAATGTTTTTCTGGCTAACATGACTACAGAGATGAGAAAATGATATAGTCAGCCATTGTACAGTCCGCTTATATAGTCATACTAGCTGACGTCTGCATCAGACTTGATATTTATGATTATATTTTGCCCAATTTACATAACATCTTTCTAAATTGTAGCCTATATGTTATTCTGAAGTATAAACTATGTTTCTGTAAAGTTTCATCAAAATCCGTTAAATAGTTTTTGCGTGAATGTTTAACAAACATCCATCCATACTCACAAACTTTCGCGTTTATAATACTCGTATTAATAAGATTTGAAGATCCACCTGCCATTTTCTTTACGTAAAATCTTAACATACAAAATTATCATCTACACTGGAGGCGGTAAAACAAAATTTTAAAATGTAGGTATAATTAGTTGCTTATGGACTTAAAAAGTATACTATATGAGGACGAATTTAAACACAAATTTAAGGATTTTTTATTAAAGAAATGTTATTATAAACGTAAATTATTTATAAATAATTACAATATTGGATATATTGTAATTATTATAAAATTAACATTTTCCTTTAAATTATATGTATTTAATTTGGATATTAACTAGTTAATATAAATTATGTAATACATTTAAAAATTCAACACAATGTAAATTGTTATGAATAAAATAAATTAATTAATGAAATATAAACGGACAGACAGTTTTCGTATATTATTTTATTATATTTAAAGATAACAAGGATTCCTATCTTTATAGAAGATAAAGAAAAAAAGACAAAGATAAAACGAAAAAAGAGGAAATCATTATTGTCATGAGTTCGAATGCGATAGCTTTCTCTCTAGATGATGACGAAGAATGGGAACAAAATCAGACAGATTATGACGTCACTTATGAATTGGAGAGACACTCGAATGACCAGAAAGTTCTTCATATTTTTAACCAAATCAAATGTGATGGATATGGTGAAAGATTTGGAACGGTATATGATGCTAAGTCTTTGCAGAAAACTTTCGAAGCAAAAGGTTTTCGTGTATTTGTTCATAACGACAAAACTCTGATAGAAATTAAAGATATACTCGACAAATGTAAGTATTGATCACTAATCTAATTACATCGCATAGTATTTTTTTATGGCTCAATACAGAATATAATATTCAAACATTATACTAGGATGGACCAATAATCAGTTTGTTTGGAAGATATGTTTCCGTTGAAGAGCGAGTTAAAGCAGTGAAATTACAAGCAAGCAATGTATGGTTGTTTTCACGGGATGTCCGTAGTGCTGTTCATGTATTATAGGCGAATGTTACTGCTTAATATTAGGGTCGTCAGCTTTATACCGATTCCTATGATCTACATAACATCTTCACGTATCGAGATATCTTCACAAACTTAATCTCATTAGAGTAGTCAAAAACCAACTATTAACAGCATGGGGGTATTGAATGTAATATTACAAATAAAATTTGCTTAAAGTTTCAGACCAAAGGACTGCAAATTTCACAGATTACGGCTGTATAGCGGTAGCCGTGCTTACTCATGGATGGTATAACGGAGAATTGAGAGCCAAGGATACGAATTATAATGAACAAATGATCATTGACTACCTGAAAACGAGCACCAACAGGACCTTCATCGATAAGCCTAGAATTGTAATTATTCAGGTAATAATTTATTAGGTAAATTTTGTATAAATCATCCACATGGACAGCTCTGATTCAACTATTTCAGCTGTAAGCAACTTGCTCTGTGACTTGTATTTCAATTGAAAGGTGAAAAGTGGCAGTGAAGTGTGCGTATGTTAAACGCGCATATATTTGATATTTTCTTATTAATTCAACATATTTTTAAGTATTTTTGTGATAAAAGAGTATTTATTAATAGAGACATATCTATTAATAGTGTAGATGACAAATTTCTTTTTAGTAATGTTTACTTATTTTAATAGTGTTAAAATAAGTAAACATTATTAAAGGAGATCTGCTGATCTGTTTTTTGTATACAATTTATTTACTTTTACGTTTTTAGTTTTACCCTACAGATACAGTTGCAAGCCCAAATTTAAATAAACAGGATTAAAAGTTTACAAAACTAAGACTATCCAGTTTAAAAACAGAACACAGTAATAGTGTTGCTTGATGTCATCAGGTTTTTAATAAAAGTATTTAATAAAATGATACTGGTGAAATTCTTTAATTAAGAGGCGCGCATATTTTAAAAAGGACGCTGCCAAATTACTATTCAGGACTTCCCAGGATACTTCTGAAACTAGGACATGTCCTGGGAAAACAGGATGGTTGGCAACTCTACTTTACTCGGAAGCTAGTGACAAACATACGCTATACAGAAAAGTTTGTTGAGTTTATTTTAACCATTTTAATATATTCTACTTCCTGACAGCCATATTAAACAGAATTAATAGTCCTAATTAATATCAATACCCTTACATCCCGTTGACCGATATTGTCCCTCATTTTAGTGTAGTATTTAGAGAGTTTGTTGTTTTAGGCTTGCAGAGGTGAAAATGACAGCTGTGGTGTTGGGGTGCATCAATCTACAGGTACACTAGAGCAGTCAAATCTTGATCATGATTGTCAGTGTCATTATACATTGAATTTGGAACCGGATATGTTGGTTTTACATAGTTCTTATATCGGAAAATCTTCTTTCAGGTAAATTTGTACACTTCTATATTAATAAGTATATACAGTATTTTTTTATGTACTTGTAATGATAGATACATAGAAAATTTATAATGATTACGTTATTTCCCTTTAATGTTATTTTTTAATAAAATAATTGAACCCCTTCTAATTGATATTTGCCGTGTAAATGTACTCAATATTTCATAATTTGCTAACTCAAATAACATATTGGACGGTTTTAACCAATATTCTGTGAGGCATACAATGTCAATATTAAATTTACTTATACATAATTCTATCTCTAATTCTGCCAAGACAGCAAAACTGATTTATACAGCGCCAGTATAAATCCTTTATTTATTTACGGATAAATGGTACAATGCAATGCTAGTATAATATATAAAAATCTCGTATGGTGTTAGTCGCCATAGTTCTTCAAAACCATTGGACCGATTTTGATGAAATTTTGTAATGTATACTCGGTAGATCTGAGAATAGGGTTAGATACCTTATTCTCTCATTTTTTTTATTGCCCTAAGTAATAAGGGTGGCCCAACGGAAAGTTTTTAATTTTTTGGGAAAATATTAATATATTTTGCATTAAACCCTGAATTTTCACCCTCCAACCCCTATTTTTTATTTTGATATAAATTTTTATGATAAAACATTGTTTGGCGGTTCAGCTAAGCATTGTATCAAAATTTTATTGTCTACAGGCCGGGTACGGGTTCCTGGTTTATTCAAACCCTTTGTAAAGAGATAGACAAAAGCGCGTCTACCACTGACTTGAAATCTATTATAACTACTGTAAAATGCAAGGTTGCCATAGACAAGACTCATGAAGATACGATAGACAGGAAGCGGGCAGGCAAGACTGGCAATGTCTGGCTGGAGAGAGTGACAATATATAATAAACAGATGCCTATGTCGTCATCTACATTAACAAAGTAATTTTTATGAATTATTTATCTCATTTTTTAAGTAACTGGAATGGAAATCTATCTGTTAGCCCACCTGATGGTAAGTGGTAACCGACGATTACATACATGTACAAAGTATATGGTCTTCTTCTTTTGTTTCAATGGCAACTAACTACATATACATATTTAAATATATTTTCCCCAATATGTTGCGACGACTGTTGCGCATTCTGTCGCATTTTATAGGTCTTCCTTAGTGCAGGATTTTGGGCACGAAGGACAAGTCAATAGATGTGCCATAGTCTGGGATGGCGCTCCGCAGTCACAAGCCTCCCGTGAAGCGACACCCCACTTTACCAAGTTGTACCTGCAGCGGCCCATCTGGGTTCGCAGTCTGTTAAGCGAATTCTAAGTGAGCCATTGCAGGTCGCTACCTGGAGGCAGGTGTTCGGCTGGTTGAATAAAGTCCAAAGGAGCGGGATGATTTAACTTTTATAAGTACTTTACATAATTTACTTTGGCTTTATGTGGCTGGGTGGTCAAAGCTCTTGTCCTTCTTAAAAAACTGTTCCTGCTTTTTAAGCCACTAATTTTGCTGCCACTAATTATTATTATATTAGACATTAGAATTTATTAAAGTGTATAATGGATGAGAGCAAATTTGACGCAAGAGTTGAAACCCCAGTCGTTAAGTATATCGTATGCTGCTGATAAATTGTCAAATACGACACCGGTTATTTGTCCTGTTTCAAAGCTAGTTTCAATGTGCTGTGTGAGTTTTAGGGTTTGGTTAGAACACGATTTACCTGGTCTGAATCCTGCCTTTCTGGTATGAGTTTTGGGTCTAGGATAGGAGGAAGAAGGTTGAGGAGCATTCTCTCAAAGAGTTTGAATGTGTGGCATAATAAGGATATAGGTCGGTAGCTTTTAGGTTCATTTAGGCATTTTCCGGGCATAAGAAGTGCTACAACTTTAGCTCTACGCCATGATTTTGGAATATTATTATTACTTGTTAGCAAGCATTCATTACATAGGTCAGTAACCATGCGAGTGCCATAGGCCCAAAGTGTTTTATTTGCTCAACTATCATATCGTCAGCCCTAGTAGCTTTTCCGTTCTGCATGATGCCAATGCAGTCGGTAATCTCTGATAAACTAAATGGGTGACTGATAACGTTAGTAGCTGTGGGTGATTCAGTTAATTTAGTGCTTCTAGGCAGGCAGTGGAGAGGTTTGCCATTTAACAAGAGATCAACTCTTGAGATACCTCGTTAGCTGTAATTAGTCCTGGATTTTTGGGTTCTGGAGGTTCATCAGTCAGTTTTTAGCTGTAATACATGCTTTTTTGCTATCATGTGTCATTTTCATTTCGGAAACAAGTTCCATCCATTTTTTTCTGTGATCCTCTCCAATTTTCCGCATGAGATCCTAACCAGTCAGCAAAGTTTCTTCTGAGAAGGGATCATTATTCTATAGCGAATAATAAACAAATAAATAATGTGAGAGAAGCATAGCCGATTCGCCACTAACACCAGGGACGTATGATGTCCGACAACCTCTTGGTATGTTCTGGCGTGAGCAGAACTGAACTGTTTATACAAACTCGTCATAATTATTTGATGTTGGGGTCAAATTTTATAGTTTTTGTAGTCTATGCTCGAAGAGAATTATTCCCAATCAGCCTTTGTAAAGATAAATCTAAAAAGGTACTATAATGGGGCGCACTGCGGCGACAACCCGACATTCAATAAGCTCTTTTCCTACTCAAAAACACAATATTGTCACTAACGAATATAAGGTCGGGGTTATAGCCACGCTGCCACCGTCTGCTGTTAAATGTTGCAGTGAGTTTAGCATTGTGGACAAGGGTAAGATTCTCGACCTCTGTCCACTGTTCGACAGCATTGCCGTTATTGTCGGTGGTAGCATAACCCCATGAGGTACTATGGCTGCTGAAATCACCTATTACTAGTTTTATAGGTCTGCCGTAGATAATTGGAGCGGCTTTGAATGTAAAAGGAATATTGGGAGGTTTGTAGACGGAGGTGACAGTACAATGCCCTACGTCAATCGTTATGATTTCTATGTCGTTATCAGTAGTGCAAGTAGATGAGGCAAGTGACATTGCGGGTTTTGTGAAAACTGCACTTCCTTACTTGTCATGTGGGACTAGTGACATTCCGGAGATTACTGGTATGCTAGCGTATTTGTCTCTATGGGTTTCTTGTAGGCAAAGGACATCACACTGCGATTTTTGGCAGAGATCTGCCAATAGGATAGATTTAAATTGTGAGAAGCCCTCAATGTTAACTGAGATCACATGTAGAGCGGTGTTTATAGTTGTCATTGTGGTGAGAGGATTGGCCAGCCTAGACACTGCGTTAGTATATGGTGGTGTAGTATATAGTGCTTTAGCGCCGCTTTGAATCTGATGGCCGCGGGTTCGTTTAATCCTGAGGATTAGTTGTATTGGTCTTTATTATATATGTATTTCGAAAAACAAATCAATTTAAGTTTTATTTTATACAAAGTAGGAGCCCAATAAACATACGGCTTATGTGGTGATAAACCGTTACTGTAGCCTATGGATGCCTGAAACATCAAACACCGACCCTTAAGAAATTTATTTTTATTCTAATCTAATAAAGTATTTCTATCAGTTGTCTAACACCAATTAATACAAGCTCTACGTAACTTGGGGACTAGAGACGCAGTATGAATTATACTATTATTATTATATATTGTGATTTAAGGACACTCTTCCTGCGAAAGTATCAAGGAGAGCAGTCTGTAAACGAAGTGTCGCCTATTGACAAGGCATGTGACTCTATTTTGCTGTGTTTTTACAACGTGGTGGAATTCATCAGGTAATATATTGTCGTTATCACCGGTACCATCTCTCACTACCATCATATTCATAGTCTACTGTTGACGTTACGACTCCCCATAATACGAAGATATTTCTATTAGTTATGGTAATTTTGTGTCTACTCAATTCTAACATTTAGCACTACACTCGCGAGCAAAAGTATAGAATCATTTACTTGGAATTGATGCCGCGCGATCTTGATTACTTAATTTGTTAAGAGTAATAAAAATTATATCATTTCAAAGGTTTAAGTTTAAATTGATACAAAAGTTCATTTAAATCACACCATTATTTAAGAAGTTATCCCGAATTATGTGAACAGGTTGTATGTTCAATTGTTTGATACGTCACGAGTTGCGCCCTATTGACCCACTATAAAAGCATGCGTTATCGGATTTTCTTTACCCCCTCCGATCTATCACCCGTCCAATTCAAACGGGGATCGAAATTACGACGGACTGAGCTGAGGTTCGAATCGCTAGCGGCGCCCTCAGATTAAAGTCGTATTCGTCAGGCGCGGAAGTTGCCCATAAACCGCACTATAACTCCTTCCGCGGGTTTGGAGTACCATCAAGATCATTAGATCTCAAAGAAAGAGCTCTCTGTAGCCAAAAATAATAAGGTTTGGAGACCACTGTCGCTGTCGCTGTGCTGTTAATGCTTTATTAGATCAGACATATATTATAAGGAACATAATTTAGACTGAGGGAGGGAGAAATAGGATTTCGACCTGGAAGAACGTCTTCCACACTCCAAACACTCCAAAGTAAACAATGTAACATCAAACTTACTCACCGTTGCTTAGGAACGTCCGGTTGTGTAGTACAGTTTAACGACCACGCACTCTAGAGTGTATATTTTAATAAAAACAATGATATTATATTAATTTTCTTTTTTTAATAGTTAAAAATACGGAGCGTCCTTTTTATACCAGTTTATATTATCAATTATTTTTTTATTCTAAATTAAAGTGGAAATTTAAGTGGTTACATGTATTTATTTGTGTCCAGTGTTACCAAGCGCTCTTTGCTCCAGTATGCAAGCCGGTGATACAACCGGCTTAGACTAAGGAAGTTCGAAATACGAAACACCCAGATTGGCACAAACATTCATAATCATAAATACAAATGTTTTGTGCCGTGCGAGGAATCAAACCCGCGACCATCGCAAGTAAGGTGGTGTGCTAAACCGCTTGACCATCGAGGCCGTCAATATTACTTGCATTGTTTATTTTATTATTAATTATTTATTTAACTGTGTGTTTTGTTTTCTCAGGACTTGCTGCTATCTGAGGAGAAGACAGAGACATTTCGATTCAGAACCCAACATTGCGCTCCTGAATAGAGCCCGCAAGAATTGACATCCGTGATCCTATAATTTTCTGATCAAACGTTTAAAATAGTACAATAATAACGTAACAATATTTTCTTCCATACGAACCTCTCTCTGTGTTTCTTCTTGTTGTTTTATTATACAAGCGTTCCGCTATTAAAATCCAATATAAATCTAATATATGTTATAATAATAAATTGTGTTTTATTGATGATTTTCTATATTCATACTTTAAGTAAGTTTAGGAACACCTTTTACTGATCTGTCAACCATTTATAAATTTTCCAGAGCGAATCTTTGTATAAAGTATACATGTTTTGCAAAGAAATAATATAGAGTATTAATATATATTTCTATTTTATAAATGAAGTATGATATTTCTACACAAGAGGCCATTCACTCATGTTACATCAATTACTGAATCAATTCAGAAGAATAAGAATAACCCAAGACAATTCACACGGCATCTAGTGAAAAACTAAGTAGAGCTTGATTTATGGGTACTAGACAACTTATATAAACACTTAGATAATTTTTTCTCTAAATTCATAAACAACATACAGAAAACAACTAGATCAATAAGACAAATCATGAATACAAAAGTTGCCATCGTGCGAGGAATCTAACTGGTGACCAATGGAAGCAAAACCGAGTGCTAAATCGCTAGACCATAAAAGGCATCGAGACGAGACTATATTACGATTACATGCATGCATGACTTTTTACACGGACGCGGCGAGTGCTATCTAGTGGAAATGTCGAGAGTGGTAAACATCTTTATCTTATACTAACTAGCTTTCATTGCAGCTCCGCTACTATTGCTCGTGGCATAATGTTATATAGCTTAAAAACTGCATCTCTATTCAGCAGAACGCGTTGTAGCTCCTACAACATTCTGAAAACAACGATGAAAATAATTGGTTTGTCTATAATACAACATTGTGTGTACTTGTTGTAGACTTCTGTGGTCTTACAATTTGTAACGACTGGTACTGTAATATTAGATAGTTAAGAACTGTACAAACATTAGATTAAGAAAAAAAAACTAACAAATGGGCCGTTGGTGTCAAAATTTATTATTATTATTAGAGCCTTCCTCGACAAATGGACTGTCCAAAATCAAAAGATTCTTTTAATTCGAACCAGTAGTTCCTGAGCGCTGTTCCTAGCGCGTTCAAACAAATAAACTCTTCAGCATTACAGTATAGATATAAAATTCTCGTGTCTCAATGTTAGTTGGTAACTAACTCCTCCGAAATGGCTTGACCATATTTTATGTCATTTTATTTATTTTATAAGTAAATCTGAGAATCGGCTACTATCTATTTTTCATACTTCTAATCTAAGTGATAAAGTTTACCCCCAAAAATGTTTTTAAATATTTTTTGGACGACATATGTTTTTTTTGCCAAATTGGCACTAAAAATACATATAACCCTAAATTTTCACCCTTCTATCACCAACCCCAATTTTTAATAGCGATTTTAATTGAATGTGGCAAAACAACGTTTGCAAGGTCAGCTAGTTTACTATAAAATGATGCGCGTTAAAACACGTTTAACAATCTTATTAACGGATATAACTTGTTTTACGTGATGTTGTCACATATACATATGTGGCAACGGATACCACTTTCCATCGGGTGGGTAAAGTTTTTTTGCGATTCCACACAGTTACTGCAGGCGCATTAATATTAGTTTTTAAATATTAAATTATATGCATGTTAGTCTATAAGGTATCATCATTACGTAGTAGGTATAAAACAAAGTCGCTGTCGCTGTCTGCCCCTATGTCCTGCTTAAATGTTTAAAACTATGCCACGGATTTTGAAGTGGTTGTTTTTTTTAAATTAATAATGATTCTAGAGGAAGGTTCATATATATAATACATGTATACCCGTGCGAAGCCGGGGCGAGTAGCTATATTATAATATAGGCCTAGTTGCCTGAAATAATTGAACAAATAAAAATTAACAGTGGCAGCAAGTTCAATTTCCTTCTAATCGTATCTTGATTAGATAAACATATATTAGTATCGCAATATTAGTCACATATCACAGAATATTATTATCAACCCACTGAAACGGACGCCGCCATTACGTTTTTATTTGATTACTTCGCATTTACTTGTGGATGACAGTGAGAACAGTTCAACAGATTTATTAAGGAAGCCTTACTTCCTTATTTTATGAAATTTCTTGTAAGAAAATAGTGTCAATATTGTGTAAGTTTATTTATGTGTTGTAATATAATAAAGAAGGACCGATGATCCGGTCAAGATCGCTGGAAGGCATTGGATGCGAGCAATGCAGGACCGATCGTCGTGGAGATCTTTGGGGGAGGCCTTTGTTTAGCAGTGGACGTCTTCCGGGCTGAAATGATGATGATGATGAATATAATAAAGAAAAGCTTATTTCGATGCATTAAATCAGTTCGGTTAGAGATATATTATTTCCTCTGGTAGCCTACATTTAACAGGATACTAGTTTTTATATGCGATTGAGTTTTGCGATGCATTCATCGTTTAGTCGTGAAAAGATAACAAATAAATATACATTTTTACAAAATTTAGCATTTATAATATTACTTTTAGCCGCAATTTCGTTTCCATAAACTTGAGTTTCTATTTCCCCCTCTTTCAGATACCTATAACCCTTTTTTTTACAATAATGGTGGTTCTATATACTCTGTGTATCTTTATGTCTTCATTTCTTTCATTAAGATCAATTGAATCTCGTAAGTTAGTTCAGTTGTTTAATTGTGAAAATCTTCATCGCCTAATTCCTGGTGTATAATACGTAATAGTTCAAAAATTTAGTTTCAGTACGAGAGTAGAACTTCCAGTTGGAAGGGGAAAGATATAGGTCGCAACGAACCATGTTATGTTGAACCCCGTGGAACCTTAAAGGGGTTTTTCATGTAGGTAATTATAATGGCAAACAAGCATTTACGAAACATGTGTTATGTGTGTAAAACATGTGTAAAGAAATGCTGGAAATTATTCAGAACAGGTTCCACCCAACTGAATTTAACAACGTTAGGGACACAATGATAATTGTAGGCCACACGTTACGTCAACATAACTGCAATTTAAATACCATTAGAGTATATAATACAATATTAAAAACGATACTAGATCTACAATTCAATAAGATATATACATGACTTATGAACATTTTTTTCGACTTTAAACATCTGTTATAGTTGGTAACAATTTAACGTATCTTTTAACATGGGTTTTTATAATACCTCCTTTTGGGGAAGGAGATTGTTACTATAATCTGGATTTAATCTGAATTACTAGTAATGTACCGTATTATGTTGACAATTAAGACAGTTCCCCTCGAAAACCATCCTAATAAATTAATGGTGAATTTGTTACAATGACCTGCAGTTAGTCCATCGTAGTATATTCACTTCATGCTTATCTTATCATCCTTCATTGGTGCCCCACCAGCGTGAACCGCTAGCGTAAGCAGGTGCAACATTCCCTTATCATCCATTAAAAAAACCCTTTTTATATTTTATGTACCTTCATCGCCGACTTTTTAAAAGGAAAAACAACATAAATTAAAAGGGATGGATACTAACACATTACTGCCAGGGAAAATGGTAGATGGTGACAATAAAAAGAAAACATTAAGCAAATCTCGTGGCAATGTAAAAAGCGATGATAAACAGAGAACATCTTTTGATGCTGTTGTATATGCAACACATACATCCAATTCATCAAAAGATGATGACTTATTATTGCCAGGTAGCCCAACAAAAAACACACAAACGAATGGAAAGAAAATTAGCTCAACTTACCAATTGGAGAACTATGAAAAAAGAGTTCTTCATGTTTTCAATCAAGTGAATTGTTATGGCCAAGAACCTAGACATGGGACGGAAAAGGATTTCGAGAATTTAAAAAGCACTTTTGAAAGTTATGGTTTCGAAGTACTAGAATACAAAGATAAAGATGTATCAGAAATTGAAAATATACTACACGAGAGTAAGTACTTTGTATATTTCCTTGCTATGAACGAGTATAACTAGCTCTAGCTGATCTATTTCACACTCCTTGTTTTCGATGGTCGCAGTTTTGATTCTCAGAGAAACATTGGTCTGGATTTTTCTATTCGTATTTAGGATTACTTTATTTATCGTACGGAAAAGATGATGTAACATTAATTATTTAAACACTTCTTAGCTAATTGGTTTTGATGTTTTTATTCTATAATATAATTTTTATTACTGATCAATGTTATTTACGAAAATGCATCGCTCATTTAAATTTCTGTTTGCCGACACGAGGTGTTAAGTATGCTATTTAAACCTTCATTACACATGTCTTTGGTAAATAAGTAAATGCTAAGCTAGGCTGCGTGAATAGAAATATTATCTACTAGCTGTCCCACGCAACTTCGTCTGCAACACACTACTTGACATTTGTTATTATATTTCGCCCAATTTACATAATATCCTTTTAAATTATAACCTAGGTTTTATTCTGATATATAAGCTATATTACTGTGAAGTTTCATCAAAATTCGTTTAGTAGTTTTTGCGTGAAAGAGTGACAAATATCCATCCATACTTACAAACTTTAGCGTTTGTAATATTAGTAAGATCTGTCTAATTGCCTTACCTATTGAGTTTTAAATAACATATGTTTACAGTTACAGATCCTAACACTATGAACTTCTCTGACTATGGCTGTATAGGTGTGGTTGTCCTTACCCATGGCTATTACAATGGAATTTTGAATGCAAAAGATGACACCTACCATGAACAAATAATAATAGATCATTTCTTAACAAGTAGAAATACGACATTCATTAATAAACCCAGATTTATAATAATTCAGGTATACGAGTATACTGTTTTATATTTATTTTTTATTTTTATATTTAGAATTATTAGATAATAAAATTAATAGTATTGTTTGATATATTTAAATAATATTGATTGACACCTAACTAAAATAAGTGTTACTTATCTATCTATATTTGATATATAATACAATTTTTAAATGTAAATTACA